TTTATATAAAATCTTATCCTAATATAAAATAAGGAAAATTATTCAGATATTTTTAGGGCCCAGATATATACTATAGTAAAAAAGATTAAAAATAGTTTAAATAGAACCTAGTAAGACTATAAGTTCCTGGACTCTTTTACTATTAGGACTAGTATAGAATACTAGTTTATTTATATTATTAATAAATTAATAATAGTAAATAGGTCCGCTAATATAGAAAGAGAAATAAAGAAATAGCTACTAAGAAACTATATTAGAAAAAGTAGAAAAGATTTAATTATTTATTTTAAATTAAAAGCCACTTATTAAAAAATATTTATTAGAATTTATATAGAGAATCTAGTAAAAGAAATAAGAGAAAACTTATTACTGACTTCTTTAGAAAGTTAGATAGTTCTTTACTTAACTCTCTAATTCTTTATATTATTAAATACTTACTTATAGAGAACTAGCTATAAAACTATAGTCTATAATTTCATAAGACTAGATCCGGCTATATTTTAATTTATAAGACCTTAAAGGGCTCTAGGTAACTTATTACCGGTATAAGAAGCTATAGCCTAGGTAGCGGCCTAAGTAACTCTCGCATTTATAGTCCGTTAAGCTTATATAGTAATATAAGTATTACTAGAAAAGTAGTTAGGTTAAGTAATATGGCTTATAATAAAAGGAAATACGGAAAGAAATAGTTATAGGGTTATTAGAATAGGAGGAGCCTGAAATAAAGCAGAACTAGTACCTGGTAGTTATATAGTAATAATAACTAGAGGAATAGATATAATAGATATTTCTAGAAGAAAAGATATAGGATAAGAATACTAAGAAAAGCTAGAAATCTAAAGTATTCTAGATATAAAAAGAGGGGCAGATATAGACGGAATTCTAGAGCTATAAGGTTTAAGTTTACTAGTATTATTATTCTAAATAAGTAAAGTAGTAGCTTTTATATTATATTTATTATTAGTAAATTAATAGAACTTATAATATTAGATATTACTATACTAGTATTTGGCTATAGGATATATAGTATTAGGATAGGTTTTGAGAAATAATAATACTATTTTAAAAAGTAAGAATTTAAGGATATAGAATATTTATATAATAGATAAACTTAATAATTCTATTAGTATTATTCTTAAAAGTAAGAAAGGGATTTCGAAAATAATATATTTAATAATAAATAATACCTATCTTAATATATCTAGTTATTTCATAACTAGCTTATTTAATTACCCTATATTATTAGAAGTATTACTAATAAAGGGCTATTTCTGAGTAAAGTCCTGGACTATTAGGAACTATACGGGTATTTTTCCGGCCTATATATTATTTATATATTTTGTATTTATTAGAATAACTTACTTAAAAATCCTATTTTATATAATAGTAGTATTATATTTACTAATTAGCTTCTTAAACTCTCCTAATATTAGTAGCTGCCCTGAGGCTATATGTATTCAGACTATATATTAGAGCTAGTAGTAAGCTTAAATATATAGTTAGTTACTATTTCTATTAATATCTCTTATATAAATATTAGCTATATTTATATTATAAGATATAAGCTTTTAATAATACTACTCTAGTATTTCTCTTAATAGAAACTCGTTAATATCTATATTAATATATAAGTAAACTATTTATATAGAGCTATATAAGGTTATATTACTTACTCTAAACTAAATAATTATTAAGAATTATATTATAAAGCTCTATATTTATAGGGCGACCCTAGTACTATATCCCGCCTAGGGGCCTTATATATAGTCTAAATAGCTTACTAGCTATTATATTAGGCCTAGATCTGTCTTTTCTAATCTTATAAATATTTTACAAGTTTATAAACCTATATATCTTGTTTTGGATCTGCTATATATAAAGTACTAATAGAGTAATCCGGTTCTATAGGTATTAGTAATTATAACCCCTGATATAGGCCAGTTCCTAAAAGTAATTTTATATATACTAATCGGAATTAGTTATATAATCCGGTACTATAATATTAGACCTAATAGCCTTAATAAAAAGTAGTATAATTATTAGTACCTAATACTTCCTTCTAATAATAAAAAGAATAAAAGATAAATATAGGGAAACGGAATTATTTATATACTACTAGTATAGCTAGCTCTTCTAAAGCTCCTACTACCAGGATTTAACCCGCTAATTCTCGGTACTTTTCTTAGAAATAAAGTAGTTCTCTATATATATAACTAATAGATTAGCTATCTATAAGAATATAAAGTATACTTTGGTAATAAGAAAGAGTTTAGAGCCTTAATTAGCCCTAAAGAAATAAAGGTAATAGCCTATTTAAATATAAATCTAAAAATATTATTATATAACCGAATAGGTAGTTTAATTAGAGATTCCGATATATATCTAGATAATATTATATAAATAAGTATTAATATAAGTATATATCTCGATCCCAAATAGTAATAGCTTATTATATCTATTAATTAACCAAATCTAGTCCGGCCCAGATATAATATATTCTTTTTTCTTGGACTATATCCGTTATATTTATAATATAATTATTTCGGGATCCAGGAGTTATAATATTATATATAAGCTTTCCCTATAGATAATAAAATATATTAGTAAATAAGGCCCTAACTTTCCAAGCTAGGGCAAAATAGTAAAGTATAAAAAGACTAACCGGGTTACTAGTAAATCTTATTAACGGAAGTATATATATAAATACCGCCGTTTATAACCTATAACCCGCCTATTATTTAGCTTACTCTATAATATTATAAATAATTACTCGTCTGCCGCTTATCTGTCTATTATAGTTATATGGCAAATAAGACCAAGCTTCTTATATATACGAATAATTCTAGTAATTAAAGCTATATAACCGTAATCCTTAAGATCCTTAAGTATTTCCTTATTTATATCTCCCAAATAATACAGGATTATAATCTATATATAAAAGAAAGGCATATCTACTATTTAAGTATATATTTAGATATTTTATTCTTATAGTTACTATTAGACTATATACGGATTAACTGAGATTTTATATAAATCTTTTAATCTATTTGTAATTTCTTCTTAATTAATATTTATACAAGCCTATTTAGTAATAGCTTTATAATATAGTAATAGATTTATTAAAAGTTATAGTATTATTTTAATAAGGGTTAAGTTCAGGGTACGCTTTACTATTATAATATACTTTTTAGTAATATAAGTACTAAAAAACTCGAGTAATATTATTTCTATATAATTTTATTAATTAATTACTAAAAAAAAGTAATTAGCTAGCTTCTTAGTTATTTTAATAATTTAATTTTCTCATTTCTAATCTCGGGAATATTAAGGAAGTTATTAGATCCTATTAATAGTATTATTCTAGAAGGGCTTATAGCCTGTAGTTACCTGACCATAGTAATTTGTAATAAATACTTAATTTTATATTATACTATCCGGCCTAATTTTGGCACGATTTCATATAATAGTATGGGCTCTTACTTCATTAATTAGATAAGCAAGTAGCCTTACTATTATTGCGTTATCCAAGCCGAAAGTTACGTATGGGTGCTATACCCCTAATTAGGAATTCTGCCTTGGGGGGGGGGGGGGGGGGGGTGTGCGGGGCGCCAGTGCGAAAATCAGAAAATCAGAAAATCACTTTTCGCTTCTCGGATTTGTCCGCTAGCTAGCTGTGGGCCTCAGTAGCACATGCGGAGGAATGTAATAGATGTGGTTTGTCATGACGGGATGTAAGAAAAAGAAGGAATTTAGCTTTTGAGATATGTAAAAGAGAAGTGAGGCGTTGGAATTGTCGAAAATCAGGGGCTGTGCGCTCTGTGGTCCACTTTTAAGTGGGGACGTAATTTCCAGAGTTTTAAGGAAGCTGGAGCTTTCCTAGAAAAACACCACAATCAAGAATTCAGTTTAACAGGAATTCCCCTTCCCGATTTGGCGCACTGGTTTGAGTTGGTAGGAAGTCATTGCTTCATTGCTTCATTGCTTATTTAGATTATGCTTGTGAAATTCAGTTATGATATATTTGTGCCTGCCATTTTCAAAACAACGCTCTAGGTTCTGCAAGAGAAAACGAGTGGCAGTCAAGCCAGAAGAAGTGTTCACTCAAGTCACATGACTCGAGCTCCCTATTTCTCGGTCATTTTCGGGTTCAGGGGCATCCGAAGCCGAAGTCGGCAAGGAGCCGTTCGCTTCAGCGGCTGCGCGCTTTGTCCCCCAACTCAAACCGTCGTTCCTCCCGACCTCCCTCAGCTTCATCCTTCCTTGATTTCGGCTCAGCCTCTGGCCCCCAGACGGCCCCCAGACGGCCCCTTCAAACGCCAACATCCCCTGCTCATGGGGTTTGGCCGCCGCCAGCAACGGGCTGGCGTCGGGGGAGCTTGCCTGACGTGCAGATGATAGTGTTTCACCAGCAACGTTCGTCTTTCTTGTCCTGCCCACCACTGCACTCCTCCCGCACGCACGCAAACTTCGAACCTCGAAGCCTCGAAAAGCTCTGGTACGAGAGATACACCCTTGCTATCACGCTGCATGTGCTTCCTGCATCGAAAGTTCTGCCACTCAGCCGTGGATAAAGTACTCACCAGTAAGCAGTAAGGTTAGTACCATTATGGCAAGCCGTCCGAAATGACCCCCAATTCTTCCAAAGGACCAACAAAATAATCTCTTTATCAATGGCTAGCACAAGGCTTGAAGGTTTCGGCTGCTTGTCGATCGCGGCAAGCCACGGAATATTTGACACTTCGGGGAACGACGGCCGGGATCTTTCTCAAAAACGTATGATCGCCTTCCTGCATGTTCACGTTGCACGAAGGCGTGCTTGAGGCAAGCATGTCGCTCCTCGAAACTTTGTGGAGTCTCGCGCACCGCGATCCTTCGCTGTGTATAACAACGAGCATCCCGTCCATGCATTGGATGTTGGTGATGGATAGCCAGGACCTTTTCTTCGCCTCAATTGAGCCCGCGCATTAGATATTGAGGATTTCTCAGCTATAGTTTGCAAGATGCAGTTCTCTCATCTCTTGTTGATCCTTAGTTGGGCAGGGAGCCTCAGCCTTGTCGCTGCTGGTATTGCTCCTTTGAATAGCAACATTGAATTTCGTAATGCTGCTGGAACATCATCGTCAGACACACTACGAGCTGTTCGTCGATCTCTGGCTTCGGCAGCAACGAAAAGGGACACCGTTTTCAAGAACAGCACATCTATAAATTCCAGTTGGGATGGTGTGACGTTATTCAGCATGTATGTACACTGTCCCTGTATCACTGCTCAGACCAGACGAGGCGAAGGCATTCTGGGTGGCTAACTTTCTTCCAGCGCAGGTGAGAAACAGAAGGGCAACACCTCTGTCTCCGCGAGCGTAGAAATTGTCTGCACAACTTGCTACATTAAAGGCACAGCGACGGCGCAATTCACAATCAATGGTAACCTCAATGCCAGCCAGGCAATTCACAACGTTACCTCCTCGATCGAGACAGAGTTCAGCAACATCACCACGACAGCAGTTAAAGATGTTAAGAATTTCGCCGAGAATTTTACAAGCTCAATTTTGAGCGCCGGATTTAACGTCAATGACATTGATTTCCCGCCACTCGAATTAGACTTCGACGTCGATGTCCCCGCGGTCCCAGCATCCGATCTCAAGTTTCAATTCGACGGATTAGAACTATATATGGAAATCGACACCATCCTATCAAGCGGGGCAACCTATACCTTGAACTTGTACACATCAGAGACTGCAATCGGCTTTGCAGTTGCCAACGATCTCTTGGTCGGCGTCGTCTTCGGCATTGATCTGATCCTCAGCGTTGAGTCTGAAATCGACATCAGCACCGGCTTCCACATCCAACTGCACGATGGAATCGCGATCAATATCCCCATGTTTGACCAGGACGTCTCGAGTATAAACTTGTGAGCTGCTCCCTTCCCGTTAACCCAATCTTTCCCTCCCAATTCGTTCGTTTGACAATAGCTAATACCCACCCCCCAGCAACGGAGGCAATTTCGAGTTCCTCCCCGTCACAATCCAAACCTCCGGCGTCGTCCTCACAGCCCTCCTCCGCGTCGGCATCACAGCCGGTGTCGACATCAGCACACCCAGCGACACCATCGCGGACATCACTCTCGACTTCAGCGCCGGCGTCGTAGCAGCCGTTTTTGCGGACGTAGCACAATTCATCACCAACGTAACTGTTGCCCCGGCAGGAAGCGGTTCCGAGTGTGATCTTCACATTGTCGAAGAGTACACCATGCTTCTCGGAGCGAACGCTGGTGCCACTCTCGCGCTAGGAGGCCACACATGGGGTCCCACGCCCAACACGCAGGTCCCGCTCTTCTTCACTACCCTCGCCGCTGCGTGCGCCGTGACAGGAACCGTGAGCGCAACAGCCACCGGAGCAACAATAGCAGCCCGCAATCCAGCTCCGAATTCAGTATCGTCAACAACAACAAGCACAAAAGTAACATACACGAACACAGCAATCCTATGCCTCTCAACCGGACTGCTAAACTGCCCTAACTCTCTCCAATCCACGTCCCATAACACCGTGACCAAGACACTGGTATCCGTTCTGCCTTCGGGTTCAAAAGCGACATTCCTCACTGCAGCGAGTAATACAGCCGTGACCACCATTGCCTTCGGGACGAATGTGAAAGCCCTTAGCTCCACGAGTGGGAGTCCTGTATCCTTCGTGCCGACTTCTTCGCCCACCAGTCCCGGGATCGTCGGCGTTCTAAACGGCAAGACAGGGGGTGTGAATAATAAGCTTATTATTGGAGTGAGTGTTGGTGTTGGTGTGCCGGTGTTGATTGCGGTTGTTGTTGGGTTTGTGTAAGCTCTCTACTTCCCTCACTTGACTTCCGTTCGGGAGTTAATGGAGGGGTGCTAACGAGAAACAGATTCTTCTGCAAACGCAAGAGGGCGCGGAATGTGGGTACGACCCATGGAAGCCCGGTTTCAGAGCCGTATACACCTGCTTCAACGTATACTTTTAGCAAGAAGAGCCCGATTATTATGACGCGTGAGTCGAGGCGGAGGGGGTCGTGAATGGAAGGGAGGGGTTGAGGTTTATGTTTGATGGATATATGCGTTATGGATGACATTTCGTTTTCAATCGATATGATACAATGATTCTTTTCGGTCTTTAGTACCTCTAATGAAGTATTTATTCCTCGACATTATTTCTCAATTCTCAATTCCCGTTTCCCAGTTCCCGTTTCTCAGATCCCATTCTCCAGTTCTTCTTACCTAGCTCCCATGTCTCATTTCCCACCTATCAGCCCTTGTCTCCTCTCGAGGCAGTCCATTTTGTCATTTCGAGTCACCCTTTGTTAATCTCGATCCTGGAAGGTCGACAAATTAGCGCGGCCATCTCTCAAATTCAGTCTTTGCCTGTGGTACCTTCTTCGATCCATGCCCCACGTGATCAAACCCTCCTCCTGTTGGTTCTCCCCAGTCTGGAGTCCCGCCTAGTTCGTATCTGCTCCCCAAATGTAACCATAGCCTTGAGGTATCAAGATTCAAACCACCAAGGCGGTCCTGCTAACTTACAAAGTTAGCACAGCCCGTTGCAAAAAGTAGTCCTTGTCTGACATACCTCCTTTGTTCCATGTTTTATTTTTGACGCTCCAATATTTCTTTATGTCGATTCATCCCTCAATCCACGGCCCAGCCAGCCTCATCCTCTCTTTCAGTGACTTGACATTCCTTGGCTTTGTACCCCATTCACTGTGAAGTGCTGCAGCAGCTGCTAACCACACAACTTCCTCCAAGGGAAACAGTTTAATGGTTGGAAACCCTTTGAATGGCAAGTTCCTGAGGATTGAATGTTAGCACAGCCCTCTCCGAGACGCAGTTCCGATAGCCATACCTTGCACTTTCCATTCATTACATTGCTGCCTCAACTTCGTGTCTTTGTGTCTGCTTCAGTTCAAAGCAACAACCTCTTCTCTTCTTTCCGAACGGATTCCTGCACTCTTTCTTGGCATAAATTTGCAACACTGCAATCTTGAGAGATTGAATAGTTAGCAAAGCATTGAGCCGCGAGAGAACCAGACGGTTTCAGGACAAGGAAACTTATCTCTTCCCGCCCATCCTCACATTCTTCCCTGTTTGATTTCAGCATAACAACCACGGTTCAGAATCACCATGTTCCAAGGAGAGTATGAGACGAAAGCCCGAAAGAAATCTCCATTCACTAAACTAATCTAACATTCGTTTAACGTCCCGTGGACGATCGACCGGACGAGAGGGCGGGGAGGGACGAGACCGAGAATTGTCGAGGGAGGTCGTCGTCTCAGAGCTGGACTAGAAAACTGTCAGTATGGGATGAAAACCAGTGAGCTCTCCTTGCGGGAAAGGAAAAGTTAGGACGAAAAACAGAGATCTTTGTCAAGGAGAAACGGGAAGAGCGAGGTGAGACGAGAACCAGGATTCAGCCACCAAACGAAAGGCAGAGGGTATGATGAGAGCCAGGATTTCGTCCCGAGCAAACAGAAGAGTAAGGATGAGACTCACAGCCATTTGGAGGCCAGGTTGCAGCAGCAGCCTGTGCTCCCGCGAGAGCAGCACCCCGGACCGTCGTGTTGGCAATGTTGCCCGCGCTAAAAGGGGTTAGTCGGTCAACTTGCAATCAACAACGGTCAGGCTTGGCGATAATCCTGGAACGGTTGGAACGATCCAGGGCAAAGTACCTTACATAGTAAATTTGTATAGGAGGTACTTCCTAATTAAACGAGCCTCACGAAAACTCAAAACACTTCTTTTTGCCGCATCGAGATAAGCTTAAATCTAAATTTCCTATATATAATATAAATAGAAAGCTAGGATTAAATAGAGTAATTACGTAACTAAAAGTTTTTTTATACGATTAGTAGTTATAAAGTTATTTATAAGTCTAAGTGGAAGTACGCTATAAGCTCCCTATAATTATAGGGCAGTTTAAGGCCTAAGGTACAATCTCGCTTAGGAACGATACGGATCGTTCCAGGATCATCGCCAAGCCTGACAACGGTTCCACCTCCACCTCCAACTCCCCAAACAATCTCAAAGAAAAAAGGCCAAATTCAACATACTACATGGGGTCAATGACGCCCCGGAGCGCAGTCTCCATTGCGGCGGTGACGCGGCCAGCGTTTTGAACCGCCGGGGGGCAGTTCGGGGACTCCAAGATCATCTTCCGAGCGCGAGCCCGGGCGCGGTTGCGTGCCGTATTCGGACTTTATATGAACGTTAGCTTGATATTCAGATGACAGAGAGCATATGAAAACATACCGAACCATTGTGATGGTGATGATGGTGTTGGTGGTGGTGGTGGTGCTTTCAACCGATCTCCAGTCAGCTGTTACCCCTTTTCATCTGGAAGATCTAGAAAACTTACGAGGTGATTGATGAGGTTTGTTTGTGTGGAGATGGAGTCTATTTTCATTTGAATTAGCACTGCTATTACCAGGTGGAAGGGTAAATGGTGGTGGTGGTGGTGGTAGCTGTTACCCCTTTTCATCTGGAAGATCTAGAAAACTTACGAGGTGATTGATGAGGTTTGTTTGTGTGGAGATGGAGTCTATTTTCATTTGAATTAGCACTGCTATTACCAGGTGGAAGGGTAAATGGTGGTGGTGGTGGTGGTGGTGGTGGTGGCATACTGAAGTTTCTTGGTTTGCTTGGAGAAAAGGGATCGAGGAAAGCAACATCTATTGGATATACTGCCTCCGGAATCGGCAAGCGAGAGCAAAACCACGCTAATGGGGAGTAATTCTACGTACCGGACCAACGTTCACGTGCAGGGTTGCGAAGAAGGCGTTTGAGGGTTACTCAAAAGGCTTCTGTTACCGTAAAGGCAAGATCTTGATTTAGGAGAAGCATTCTATTCTATTACAGTACAGTACAAGACCCCCTCTTCTCCACCAATATTACAAAATTGTGCAAGACTCGTTGAAGCAGTGTCTGTAAACAATTAGGTAAATTTCATCCATTTGCTGAATCTCAAATACTTACACACATCATGTTCCATTCCTCAATTGTCAACGCCCTCCTCATTATCTCCTGCTGAGGTCCTCATCTGAATTCGTGGCACCCACGCCCGGTTGAATGGACCTTGGGCAACCGGATTATATGGATTTTGCGCGACCGGGTTGAATGGATTCCAGACGGCTTTGGGTTTGGCATTTCTGGAGCCTTGGCAGGCAGCACGATCAAGCTTTCGATTTGAAAGTTGGCTCAAGACGCAAAACCTCGGAGACATTGCAAGATGCCCAATCCTGACAATCGGTAGAGTTTGCAAAGAGGTTGTTTCATCAGAGTCAGCAGGACTATCTGGCCTCCTTCCAGGAAAGGGGCTGGGTGGAAGAGAAGATGCTTTGGGTGTGGCTCTGGCCTAAATTCGCCCCGCGGTGTTCTCAACAAATATCTCTCCATGTTGTTGGCGGACTGTGGGACCGATGGATGATCTGGGCCAATAGCTTCCCACTGGGAATTTGTCTAGCGATTTACGATTTCAAGGTCTGTTCAGTTCACCGTCTTCCTTCTTGGCATCTCCCTCCTCGCCCTCTTCATAGTCGGTCTCTTCCTTCCATCACCAAATGTCACCTCTACAACCTCATTCACTGGAAGGAGCCAGGGGCAGCAGGGTCGGTGTGGGATCTCTTGATCCTAGGATGACCTCCAAAAGAACCTTGTGTGGACGGCTCTTGATGCCTCCACATCAATCCAGCTTTGCTTCATCCTTCGCTGGCTATTATAAGCCCAAACCTCTAGCACCGGACAGAATCGAAGCCGACATTTTACTTAGGACTCTCTCACAGCTGTGGCAGTTTTCATTGGTAGAGATCGGTCGCTCGGCCGGGACTTTGCAGACTGGGAAAGTCGGGTTGGAGGCGGTGGCTGAACATACTCGCTCTCTCCACGTCATCCGCGATGGATATTGTTGCTACTCTTCGGTTTACTAAAGTTAATCCTGTCAACATGTGTATCTCTTCAATCACAACCTTTCCACAGCCAACGGCGTCTGCAATAACGTACCTCCAGGATGAAAGATACCATTCTCCCGATGGTACCAGTTCGGCAGACCATGGTTTCGATTGAGGGAGAGCTGGGTCTCACGATCCATCGGCATCTCGTGGCGGTATTTACACCCCATCCGGGTTAAAGCGCAGGTACCTTCGTGGATCCACTTGCCACCGGCTTCAACGTCGTTCTCCTCATATTCATCAGACTCGTCATCCTCGAGGCTGAATCCGAAGTCCTTTCGCAGCTCGGGATCGGAAGCATCACCGTTCTGGTTCTCGGGAGCTGGACTCTTCTTCCCGTCATCAAAGTGCACTTCTTGAAACCCTTCCAGCACTTGTAAGCAGCGGTGGAGGGGCAACGGGACCAACGGGACGAACAGCCACAATGGCATCAATCTGCGCCTGAGTATTCGCAATAAGTGAGGTCAAGTCTTTTGCTTGATTAGAGCTGCCTTTGACTGTGGGTCCTGATTAGCAATTATGATTTGCGCCCAAGACGATACTGCAAAGCAGGCAGTAAGGTGTATTTACACTTACATGGTTGGTATCATTCCGATCATGGGTTCTGAGGCGAAATTTGTGGGCGCTGTTAGGACGGCGGACACGCAGACCACTCGATGGACTTGAGAACCCACAGCCAACTGATGCGTTGTCAAGCTTGTCCCAAACTTCATCCCCTGCCTTCTTTGCATTCTCGTTATGGAAGTCCACAACTTTCGTAGCTACCAAAGAGTCCAAGAATGACTTGCTGAAAGTTTTGTCACAGACCCAGACTTCGGCATATCCAGCAGTCGCAGCGAAAGATGTAGTGGGATCAAAGTGCCAACGAGCAGCTCTGGTGCCTTTACAATCTCAACAAATCCCAGACTTCGTTTCCTGCCTTTCCACATTTTCCACATTGAAGATGGCGACCTTCATAATAACCTGTGGGTTCTGCTCTTGCTTCACCCCAGAGGAAGCGTATTCTGTCAAAGAAGGATGGTATCGTGCAAAGCGCTGATTAGTCCTTCTGAATCCAGCTGTCTTTGATCATTTGGTGCCATTCCTCGGTCTGAGTAAAGCCCTGGACAGTTGAAATTCAGGAACTGGCGTTGGCAGACGAAGATGGAAATCGCATGGGAGGTGAGAAGATCAAGTATTGGAAGGCTCTGCTTGGTGAATGCTTTATTGTCTTTTCTCCGAGCCCTCACAGGGGAAAAGATATTTCGTTCTGCTGAAATCCTGTATGATATAAATGATCGGTCGAAGAAAACGGCAAATTTCGGCGCGGGACTTTCTGAGTGTGAGGAGGGCGAGCAAAGACTTGATCTCCTGGACCGGATCCAAGATGGATGAGGTGGGGGTCATGATTGCGTGGTGGCATTTGGACTTTGCATTGTTCTATGACTTGCAATGAAGTCCGCAGGGGAGGACAAGCACGCGACCGCAAGATCGGTAAAGAGTAGGATAGAAAGAAGGTGGATCGATGGAGGCCCTTTTTACAGGTACTTGTCTGTGGCTTTAGCTGAAGCCAAGAGTTCCAGGGCGAGTTGACTTACGAGCGTATTGGTCCGTATCCCACTGCATCAATCTTCACAGCAAGTTTTCACCAACGCCTGGCGGCGAAGATACTCCGATGTACCCAGCCAAGCTTCCCCTTCTCCGATATCGCTGTATTTTTCTCAGTTCTATTCTCAAGGTGATATCATTTCTCCTTCGTCGTACGGAGAACTCGCAGATTAGAGGGATTAAGCGGGAATCGTTGCAATATGGTTTCCGAAAGAAGATCGGAGCCTGCCACACTATCAGATTGAGAGGGTCCCTTAAGCTTCAGCTCTTCTTCCTGAATCTTTGGAGGACTTGGCTTGGTGCAGAACAAGAGCATACGTGGCGATGAGACAGTCACAGAACGTCCGGTATCTGACTTGCTTGATATGTTATTGAAGTTGATTCCCGAGTTATATGTGTTGCCAAGCAAGAGCACTGAGTTGAGACCAGCAACAATTGGCTTGAACAGGTTGTTTACACCAAGTAGGATCGCAGCACTCTTCTTTGTGGCGTCAATGACGCTACCGTTAATCAATGTGGTGACTGTTGGCGGAGCGAGAACGGTATCATCGCAAGCGAGGGGAACTCCTCCTAGTTGCATGCAGCGCTTCGGGTAGTAATGTTGTAATTGGGTGAGCGGAAGCAGGGACGGAAGTTGAGACAGAAGGAGAGACAGAAGTGGAGGCCGAGGTGGAAACAGCGATACCTCTTGTGATCTGGCAAATGCATCGAGTACTGTGATGTTCGAGAGTTGAAATGTGGCTGATAAATACCCGAGCAGCACATGTCAATGGTTGGAATTAAGGCCGGAAGGGTAATTGTGGTCGTGACAGGACCCGTTAAGCTTGCACCTGAGGCCCAAAGAGTCTCGAAGAGAAGATTGCAAGGAGAGGAGGTTGCGGTAAGGGCAGGATTTGCATCGATTGCTGTACGGAATAGATTGAAGTAAACACATCGTTCGAGTTGGACATGGCCTTCTCATCACGTGGAGGTTCACGATTTGTTCCGCCCTGAGTTGCACCACCGAAGTAGTTATCATCGTAATCGCAGATTCGAGATTCAAAGACGAACGATCCGACATTAGCTAAGTCGGAACCCTCAGAGAACACCGGAGAAATCCTGAGGATCGGGTTCGGAGCAGCAGCGGAGATCGTGAGGTTAACCATGCCGTCGACCTTTGTTCAGAATGTAGTTTTATGTCTTCTTTGGAGACCAGGGTATAGCCATACTCCTTTGAAAGCTATCCGAAGGTCTCGGTATTGGCATCCATAAGATTGAGCCTGTTGTACTTGCAACCCTCGATGTCTAGGAAGCAGATGAGCCACTCGCTGAGTTGATGGTGATTGAAGAAACGATATGCATTGCAGCAGCAGGTGAGGAAGTCGGCTGCTGGTTGTGTTCCCGGGACCAAATGCTATGCATGTTCCTGTGCTGGCCGTATTCGGGTATTGCTACCATACGGCCCACATTCAACGCTCGTCTCTCAACCAGATCATCAGTGGCTCGATGTCTTTTTCCATTTGCTCTCGAGACGGCAGGGTTGGGTTGTTCCTCGTCCAATTTGCCGGGTCTCCATTCATTTTTGTAAAGGCCTTTGTCGGGAGCATGAAAAGTGTTTTTCCTTGATTCATTTCGACCATCTTATTGTCCCTTGTATTGAACTCCTGGATGCTCGATGAGCCGCCCCGTGGAGTCGACGTGGCTCATGCTCTCAAAGGTGCTCAGTGTACCAGCGTCTGAAGTCTCTGAAAAACTGCGTTCAATGCCAGCCATTGAGAGAAAGAAGCAGCAATGATAATTTCGAATGCAAATGTTCAAATCCGTAAGGTTTGATTCTCAAGACGAGGACCACATAATGCTCGTTGAGGCAACTTTTCGGTGTCTACTGTTTTCTAATCCACTGTACCTTTTAGGTATCGTTAGCCGCGAAGTCTACGTCAAAGTCCCGTGGGGGAGTCATACTTGTGGGTGACGTTTTCGATGCGAGTGCGAAAAAAAAAATTCGCGCTCAGTTGAACAGCTTCAACTGCTCTTTTGGCTTGGTTCGTGCTTCTCTTTCACCGGGTGGTCGTTTCTGAGCCATAGAGGAGAAATCAGTAACCTGTAGATACCTCAGAAGAAGGTACGTGTCCACAAGAAGAGTTGTGAAGAATCGCCTGCTTTTTGGAATACTTGACAGCAAGTTTCGCGATATCTCTCTCAAAGCAGCACCGTCCTCGCATCCAAGCGTGCATGGACGTCCTTGGCGGGAAAGCAATCTGCAGCTGGCTTTGAGACCTTGAAGAAGGAGCGATGTAGAAATTTGAAAACTAGATGGACGAGAAGAGTGTGTTCCGCTTGGCCCAGAGAATGCGATACATATGTGGGTGCGGAGATCGGAGGGAAGGCCAGGGAAGGAAATGTTGGTGAAACCGAGAGGTGAACCGAACGCGGAGGGAAGGAGGGACTGACGTGAGGAGAGATCGGGTCATTTGGGTTTCGTGGCAATTGAGGAAGGATGGGGCTCGGAAGGACTCGAGAAAGGCGAAACGTGATTTGGTATGAGATGAAAGATCTGGATTAATCGATTAGCTATTTTCCTCTCTAATGTTGTAGGCAGAAGAAGCGCTTGAGATGGAAAGCAGGAGCAAAGTATTGTCATGCTTACTTGCGATTGTAGATTAAAGAAATTGCCCTGGAGGATAGTAGAAGTTTTTTTACTGGCGGATGAGAGAGAAGGCGCGCCTGGACAGCGGCGCAGACCAGTTGAGAGCGTCTAGGGTTTGGGGAGATGTGCTGGCAACGGCAGGACCACAGAGGTATTTGTTTGAATCTCTAAATAGAAGGGTTTTCCACGTTTATGGGTTTGCATAGCGACCTTTATTGTTGTCTTAATTCATCGGCACTCACTAGAGCAGTGAGGGTCGGAGAGATGTGTCGAAATCGAAGGCGCCTGTGACTCCTCGGGAACCGCAGGAAATTCATGCAAAGCAAGTAAGTCATAAATTATTGCTTTTATTAGTAGTACTCTTCTACTTCAGCTGGGGTATACTGGACAAAGTTCGAACTGGCATTTTGTATATAAAGGCAAGTTTTGAGAATAAGCGGATACATTATGATTTCTCTTTTCATTGTAATATACGGCAGTTTCTTTCTTCTTTTCTATTTGCGGTTAGCAATTGTCTATGCCAAGCGAGAATTATTCTCTAACAAAGTACCTTTCGCTTCGCCAGCGAGACGGGACAGAAGAGATGTGCAACAAAGTCTGGTGAAAGGGGCTTGGGGATTGTGATGTTGTGACAAGATCCTAATATGTAGAAGGCCCCTATTTGCTGCCGACATTCCCTTTGCAGGTTGCTTTCATTTCCATCAAGAATTCGAAGCGATGTTGTTGATCTTATCCTTTTTTTTCGTCCATTCTCTTGTGCACAGAGCACTTATCCCTCCACGAACTTTCTTCAGAAATTCCGCTAGAGCGAACTCAGGGATCTAAAACCAAAGCTCTTTGCCTAGTAATCCCAGCTCAGCCTATACCTTGCGTGTATCCAACTACTAGAATCAAGTGGCAGTACTAGTTTTGGGAGGTGAAATCTGGTCTGGAAGGACTGCGGGGGCCTCCTAGGATAGGCGCTTACGATGAGGTTAGCGTGTATTTTTGTCTTCGCATTATATTGGGAGTATGCTCACAAGCTTGCAGTTGTCAGCAAATTCTTACCCCTCGACGCTATCCAATTACTTGTCAACTGGAACCGTGAGGCTCCTCCGGCTCGCCTTTCTAGGGAGAGCCCTTGCAACAATGTCGTTGTCGAGGTCCGTCGTCAGTTCTCCGAGATGATGGCCATCCGGAACTCTAGCTCTACCAAGAAGTAAATATAAATATAGTATTGAGGTTTGTATCGCCATCAGTCTTGCGTAGCAGTGCCAAGGAAACATAGGACGTGTTCTTCTCGAGTGGTTTCGAAGTGGTTTCGAAGTAGAATATCAAAGAATGTTGGAATGTCATCGGGGCCCCAAGGGAAAGGAAGGGTCGACAGCGAGTAAAGATGGGATTGGCTCTCGTAAAGAAGGAGGAAAGAGCCAGTATAGAAGGCATTGAGGGAAGCAGAGAGCGCGCTGGTGCTTCGTAGGAGGTTCTATATCATGCAATTAGCTCTCTGGTGCTGAGTAATTGGCGGGAACGAAGTGGTGATGAGCAAAAGCTTGGGAAGTGTGCAGGTCGTGTGGCTCTGAGAGACATGGAAAGAGCCACGCTCGCAACCTTGAAAGTTGCGTCGGCACACGAGTTCCTTAGCGGGACGACGGATAAGGGCATACTGCTGTAGGTTAGTGCTCTGTGCCAGTCTTGAGATGAATGCCGCAGAGTTTACAGTGTATGCAGTATGCGGAAGCCGAGGAAGGGGTTTGTCAAGAACGGTGTGTAGTGCCCGTAGATCTCCCTGGAATAGAAGTGCCGCTCTTAGGGGGAAGTGAAGGGAGTTTGTTTTGTGCAGATATTTACAGCCCTGATAGCCTTCGAAGAGTTGCGGATGTACTTGTCTCACAAGAGAACATAAGCTCTTTCCAGACATAGGAAACTTCGTTAGCTATTGTATCAATGCCGACAAAATCAGGCATTGACAGCAGAGCGCGGCATCGGGTAGTCACATCCAAATTTCATATGAAATTACAACTTATAGCAGGTGGTTAGGGAGCTTTCGAAAATAATCTGTACTCTATGGCAAGGGTGCCATGAACCTTTGTTCAACTAAAACCAAAAGCAGAGATTTATCTTTATATCTTAGCTCGTGAAGTCGGGCTTCGAAGGCATAATGGCAGTTCCACGGTGGAAATCACGCTTTAATATCTATTAATAGTCATTGCCATTTGAGTGCGCTCTTTAATAAGAGACACAAGGTTAGTCAAGCGTTGGGGCAAAATATTCAGGCCTCAAAAATCCCCGTACGCTAGCTGCTCTCAGTGTGTAGACATATCATCTTCTTTTTGGCGAAACTTCTCTCTTTACAGTAAAAGGATTCACTTCGGGAGAGCTTTGAGATAATTGCCAGGGGGTGCTATCCCTCCAAACTTTATCCGTTTCAAAATTGAGGGCTTGCAAGCTATTGGAAACAAGTAATTAGAGATTACATGACAACATATATTTCTTTGAAAGACACTAGATAATGAAATTTGTGGAGTGCAACTCTGCTGCTTCCCACTGGCACATCCAACTTCAGCTCAACCCTTCAGGTGCACGTCTACTACAAGGCTTCAACGCGAGCATGTTCGTCATACACCGCACTCTGAAACTTCCTATACATCTCACCAGATAGCTTCTCAGCAGGACCAAGAATCTGGGTGCCATAGAAGCCACAGACTCCAGCAGCCCTATCAATCCACTATCTCGTATTAGCTCTCCACTCTCGAATGGCAAAGATGTCTTACCCAAAAGCTCTTTGTCCCTCCTCCCCAACGAACACTGCCAACCTTTCGTCCCGTACTCTCTTGCTTCAAATTTACCAGCCCGCAAAGGCAATGATCATATGCCATATCAGGCTCCGCCGGGTCCTCAAAGAACTCCATCACTTTCTCGCTTTTCATGATATCCTTGTCGGGGATCTTGTAGTTGAACATAAGATTTACAGTCTCTTGCTTCAATACTTTGCCATCGTTGCGAAGAAGAGATGTGAGGAATACAAGATAGTCTGGAGCTGAAGTGTAGAGACCGCTACCACCCAGTTCAATCGTTGGAGTGATGGGATATATGCTGGCTTCATTTTTGATGGTGCCATCTTTGTGGCGGAAAGCCATTTCCATGAGGTTTTCGCGGATGTGAGGGTGGTCTGCTGGGCGAAAGGTTGTGCTTTTCATCGAGAGGGGGGCAAAAATGTTGGCTTGGCAGTAGGGCTCGATGGACTGATGGGTCAACCTTTCCACCTGCAGCGGTCAGTAAGAGTTATGAGGAATGTATTGAGTCCTAATCGCCTACCAACTGTCCAGCCCAATCTGTACCTTGACCATAAGTCCAACCCGTTCCAGGCTCGAAAAGGAGCGGCTCAACTTCCTGATATGGTCAGTGAATCGATGCCTGGCTGACCATTAAGAATGGGGAGGTTACTAGACTGTTCATAACATGTTGGACTTCGGGGAGTGCTTTCGCTCTCACGTCCTCGTCCTCGGACATGAAATACCGCATGAGTAGAGTTCCTCTGGAATCCCCAATAGCTTGGTAATATCCCATGATCTCCTCGTCTTCGAGAGATGAAAGCCCGCTGGTATGCGAAAGCATTTGACTTTATTACCAATCCTTTAGTATGTGGACAATAGTCATCGAAGCGCCTACCTCAATGTGATTGTATTCTGAGCTTTCTTCATGACTGGCTTCCCATCCTCAATTTTGGTGAAGATCTGGGCACCTTTCAATTCGGGCAAGAAAACAGAGACATCGTCATCTAGACTAATGAGGCCACGCTCGACGCATTGCATCACTGCGACGGAAGTTGCGAGCTTGGTGGATGAAGCGATACAGAAGGTCGTCGATTCTGATACTTGTTTCGCATCGGGCTTCAGGCCTGTGTTGCCGAAGTAGCTGGTATATTTGAACGTTCCTCATGATCAGTCAGCTTGTTACGCATGCGAAAGCCTTATCGAAAGATCTCGACAGAGAGGGGACTCTGATTGCGTGAAGGGAGACGACATCGACATACCATCATAATTCGTAGCTGCGAGCATGACACCGGGGAGATTGTTCTTCCCGGTCTACTGAGGCCATTAGCGGGCTAGCGGACAAATCCGAGAAGCGAAAAGTGATTTTCTGATTTTCGCGCCCACCCCCCCCCCCCCCCACACCCTCACTAAAAAAAAAAAAGTACAGCATATACGCCTTATTCTCGACTACTCCTAACCCCCCCTTAGCTTGCGTGGTCCGTAAGGCAAATCCCATAGATTACGAGGTATATCTCTATCTCCCTTATTCTCTATATCCTCCGTACTACCTATATTACTCGAATTATCTATATCTCTTTTGTTCCCTTCTCCTCTAGTATCCTTACCCTCCTTTACTATAACCTTTTTCCCTATTACCTTCTGACCTTATATCTGTCTTTATACTTGCTTTTTATATCTTATAGGTAGTCGAGGCTTTAGTATAAAGGGTTTTACAGATACGGAGCGAGGCTTTTCAGACTTGATAAGATTAGTATTAAGTTAATAGAAAGTATAAACTTTACTATTATTATTATATTTATAATTTATATAAATATTATTAAATTCGCCTTCCATAACTATATAGTATTTAAAAGGGCCTCTCGGTCTCTTCTTATTACTATAAGTAATATAAGCTTAAGAGAATTCGGTTTCGCAAGTATATACTAAGCTTGCCTCCAGATTTATCTTACCTTTCTCTAATTCCTTTAGCTCCCTATCTTAGCATAGCTCTATCTCTCTAATTTTAGCCTTATTATTAATTCGCTTTACTACTTTAGTAGTAGTATTAAGTAATATAAGGAGATTAAAGTATTATTATAGAGGAAGAAAAGGAGGTTAAGAAATAAAGGGGTTTATTAGTTAAATATATTAACGAGAGAGGATATTATAGACTGAGTCTAGATTATTAGAGGATATATTATAAATATTATCTTTCTGCTTATTTATAGCTTTATTACCTTTTCTATTACTTTTGCCTTTACTAAAACTATTGCCTAAAGCTATATTTAATATATCTTTAATAAAGAAAAGCTTTAATAATAGTATTATATATCGGAATTAAAGTTATTTTCGGAAGGAGGTTAAGGTTAAGGTTAAGGCTAAGATTAAAGCTAGTATAGCTATATTTTTATTATTTACTTTTGGGGTATAAAGATATATATTTAATATAATTATTTAAATTCAAATAAATTTATAATAAATAATACCTGAAAATGAAAATATTAGTACTTAATAGTCCTAGGTTAAGTATATTTAAATATTAAAAAAATTATAATTTTAGGTATTATAGTTATAAAGATAAAGATATAAATATTCTTTTTCTTACTAATTTGCAAAAGCTAAAACATACTAATAATAATTAAACTATACTTGACCTATATAGTTAGCTAATTTATTTTGCTAATTATAAATAATTCGAGATAATTTAAATTTCCTTAAATTTTTATATATAGCTTATTATATAAACTTTTATATTTCTATATTTAGTAATACTATAATTATAATTTTTAGATAAGAAGAATTCCCTTATTCTAGTATATATAATTATATTTATTTCTTATTTTTCGAATATATAGTTATTAAATTAGAGAGGCTTAAGAATTCTAAATAATACTTTCTCCTAAGAGATATATATTTTTAATAAATAGTAAAAGTAAATATGAAATTATATAATAATATAATTACCTTATACTAGTAACTTTATTTTTTATAAAACTATAATTCTATTTTATTTTTATTCTAAAATCTTTATTCTTCTTCTATATTTTTTTGATTTTACTATTAATACCAAGAGCTTCTATTTTCTATTAATACCTTCTCTATTAATACTTTTATTAATACTTTTATTAATACCTTTATTAATACCAAGAACTAGTATCTAATTATCTTATAACCTTCCTCTTTTTCTCCTTATTTTTCCTTACTCCTTCTCTGAATTCCTTTTCCGAATTTCTTTTCTAAACCTCTTTTCCTTTAATACTTCTTCTATTAATATTAAGAGCTAGTATCTAATTACCTTATAATCTTTCTCTTCTTCTCTGAACTCCTCTAAATCCCTTCTCCGAACCCTTTTTTCTTTAATACTTCTACTAATAATACTAAAAGCTAGTATCTAATTACTATTTCCGGATTACTTTTATCTAGAACTTCTATATTATAAGTCTTTAACTTACTTACTTCTTAGAAAGCTAAATTTTAGATTTCTTTTTCTTTTCTCTAATATCTTTTTTTCTTCTTTTCTAATATCTTTTATATCTTTAGGCCCTTTAGGAGTACTTTCTCTCGAATTTCCAAAAAAGAGGCTAACTCCTATTTAGATTTCTCCGAATTTTAATATCTCCTCTTCTTCTTTAATACTTATAAAAGCCTTTGGGCCGCTACTAAGTACTCTTATTCTTTATCTTGAAATATATACTAATTTATTCTTATAGGAAATAGCCTTTCTTTCTCTAATCTCGATTTCTTTAATATATATTTCTTATCTTTAGGCTATTTAGATATCTTTCCGTTTACTTTTATGAAATATATACTAACTTATTTTTTAGTTTCTCTTGCCTTATTTCTCTTTTAATATTACTATATATATACCTAATTAGTATTAGTTCTTATAACTTATAATTAGGCTTTCTATTTATTAAATATCCGGGTATTTTATTTTACTTTTATTTTATGTATTTTATTTTATATACTTTATTTTTCTTTTATTATAGGTTAGAACTCAAATAGTATTTACCTTAAGTACTTATATTCTCGGGTATATAAGACTTCTATAGATTTTTCGGGATTATAAACTAGCCTATTTTAGTTTAGGGAAGCTTTCTCGAGAGTATTTTAGGAATTATAATATTTATTATAACCTTTCCTAAAGATTAATATAGTATAGATATTTCTGGTCTATTCTCTTTCTATAAAGTAAACTATTATTCTAAGTCTATATAAAAGTCCTAATTATTTCTCGAATTAAAGTATAGGCATTTCTTATTTCTATTAAATTAGATATAAAGAATAGCAGGCATCTTTAGGCTAGACTATAGTACTAGTTAAGTACTAAGACTTCCTATACTTATCTTATAAACTTATAGTTCGAGATATATTATATTTAATAGGGCTTTTATATCTAATTACTTTATACTATAATAAAATATCTTAGTATTATAATTAGGAAAGTTCTGCTTTATAATCTTATTTACTACTTATAGATTTTCTAGCTAATAAGTCTTAGCTAATAGCTAAGAAACTTATTAGCTACTTTATCTAAAGCCTCTGGGAATAGGAAGTTACCTTAATAAAGACTTAGTATTAAAAATAGATTTAACTAATTAATCTAAATAAGAAATTTATAGTAGGAGTCTTTATATATAGGTAATTTCATATAATAAACTTAAGTTCTTATCCCTAGTTATATAAGTAAGCTATATAAGAAACTCTTTCTGGCCTATTAGAGTAATTCCTATCCCTAATTATATGAGTTATAATATATAATAAACTCAAACTTTTCTTGGGTTATTTTTAGAAGAATTAGTAAGCTTTTCTAGATAGACTTATTAAGGCCTTGGTTTTTAAAAATATTAGTCTAGCCTTTTTATTTCTTTTTTAGATAATAGTTTAGTTTTTAGGAATTATATTAAATATCGGAATAAATAAAGAGATATACTATATATGCTTTCTAGATAAATTAGAATAGAACCTATAGGATTTCCGTAATATTTTTATTAAATCTATAGTACTAGCTAGTAAAGACTTTAATAACCTTAATAAGACTTGAATTACGAGCCCGGCCCTCAGATTTCCCGCTTAACTTAAAGATTAAGTAGTTTATAATAGATTGCCTATTATGAAATATATTATATTCTTTTCCTAAAAAGTACCGGGTACTAGTAATAGTCCGGAAGCCCTAAAGCCCTTGAGACTTTTCGTGAGTTTCGGGCTTTAGGGCTTTTCTATAGCTAGCTAATTATATGAAGTCACGTGACCACGCGGGTCCGGTATTAATATAAAGTAATTAGTAACTTTATATATAGATATAGTATGGTTTTTAGTATAGCTAGTCTAATATATTATATATCTATATATAAATACCTATAATTTCATTATTATAATATAATATATCTTTAATATATCCTTAATATAAAAATTCCTTTATAACCCTAGACTTTTAGAAGCCTTTTCTATACTAAAGGTAAAGTATATAATACTATTTGGGTATTAAACTCAAAAAGTAAAGAATTATAAAGGCCCTAATAATTATAAGACTTTATAAACTTGGGTAAATTTGAGTATTATAAAAGTATTAAATTTAGTAGCCTGACTTTTAAATTATATAAGAACTAATTAAAAAGTATTACTTTAAAGTATTAATTATAAATTCCAAGTATATATATATTTATAAGGAAATAAGACCTAAAATAGTACTAAGCTAATTATAAGATATAGGAAAAAATATATTAGATATTAGGCCTATTTTTTCTTAATTATCTTAACCTCGGCGAATATTTATATATAATTTATTAGACCTTATATAATGAGTTTACTTAGGAGAAGTAAGGTTAATTAGCCTAGGGAGTTTAATAATAATAGTTAGACTTCTATCCGGGGTAATAAGTAAAGTACTAGTAGTAGCCCGGGTACCTTGGGTTTTATCTATAAAGCTAAAGATATTATATCTATTAATTCTCTATATCTAATAAGAAAGAGGAATAGTATATTTATATCTCTAATATGTTTATTATTATAGAGTAATACTTATATAATCTATGAGATTAATTATAGTTTCTTTTATTAGAAGAGAGAATAATAAAATTAAAGAAGGATCTAATAGCCTATTACTATTATTATTATTATTATTATTATTAGGATTAGCTTTAGTAATACTTTTAGTAGTACTTTCTATATTATCTTATAGCTCCTAGAAATTAGTAAATAGAGAAGAATCCTGGTATATATAAGTTAATTAAACCTAAAAACAAAAAAGAATCTATAAAAGAAATAAAGAATAGGAGCCAGAATTAAAGGAGAGAATTATATATATATCTTTATTTGCTTACCGGTTTATTAGATTTCTTCTTACTCTTAAAGTCTTATACCTATACTAGCGGGTAATACTTTCCTGGGCTCTCTGGGCCTCCTTAGTTTATTATTTAATCTCCTTAAATTACTATATTTTCTAAGTATTTTCTAGCTCTTTATAAATAATTTTAAGATAGAGATCTTTATATAAAGTCTTTTTCTAAGTATTTTCTAGCTCTTTATAAGTAATTTTAAGATAAATATTTTTATATAAAGTTTTATCCTAGTATAAAATAAGGAAAATTATCCAGATACCCTTAGGATCTAGATATATACTATAGTAGGAAAGATTAAAAATAATTTAAATAGAACCTGGTAAGACTATAAGTTCCTGGGCTCTTTTATTATTAGAACTAGTATAGAATACTAGTTTATTTATATTATTAATAAATTAATAATAGCGGGTAGGTCTACTAATATAGAGAAAGAAGTAAGGGAGTAGCTACTAAGAAACTATATTAGAAAGAGTAGAAAAGACTTAATTATTTATTTTAAATTAAAAACTATCTATTAAAAAATATCTATTAGAATTCATATAGAGAATCTAGTAAAAGAAATAAAAGAAAACTTACTACTAATTTCTTTAGAAAGTTAGATAGTTCTTTACTTAGCTCTCTAATTCTTTATATTATTAAATGCCTACTTATAGAGAACTAGCTATAAAATTACGGTTTGTAATTCTATAAAACTAGATCCGGCTATATTTTAATTTATAAGATCTTAAAGGACTTTAGGTAGCCTATTACTAGTATAAGGAGCTATAGCCTGGGTAGTAGCCTGAATAACTCTTATATTTATAGCCCGTTAAGCTTATATAGTAATATAAGTATTACTAGAAAAGTAATTAGGTCAAGTAATATAGCTTATAATAAAAGGAAATACAGAAGGGAGTAGTTATAGGGCTATTAGAGCAAGAGGAGCCTGAGATAAAATAGAACTAGTACCTGGTAACTATATAGTAATAATAACTAGAAGAATAGGTATAGTAGATATTTCTAGAAGAAAAGATATAGGATAAGGATACTAAAAAGAGCTAGGGATCTAAAGTATTTTAGGTATAAAAAGGAAGATAGATACGAACGGAATTTTAGAGCTATAAGGTTTAAGTTTACTAGTATTACTACTCTGGGTAAGTAAAGCAATAGCCTCTATATTATATTTATTATTAGTAAATTAATAGAACTTATAATATTAGATATTATTATATTAGTATTTGGCTATAGAACATATAATATTAGGGCAGGTTTTGAGAAATAGTAGTACTATTTTAAGAGATAAGAATTTGAGGATATAGAATATTTATATAATAGATAAACTTAATAATTCTATTAATACTACTCTCAAAAGTAAAAAGAAAGTTTCGAAAATAATATATTTAATAATAAATAATATCTATCTTAATATATCTAGTTATTTTATAACCGGCTTATTTAATTACCCTATATTATTAGAAGTATTACTAATAAAGGGCTATTTCTAGGTAAAGTCCTAGACTATTAGGAACTATACGGGTATTTTTCTGGCCTATATATTATTTATATACTCTATATTTATTAGAATAACTTACTTGAGGATTCTATTTTATATAATAGTAGTATTATATCTACTAGTCGGCTTTTCGGACTTTCTTAATATTAGTAGCTACCCTAAGGCTATATGTATCCGGACTATATATTAGAGCTAGTAGTAAGCTTAAATATATAGTTAGTTACCGTTTCTATTAGTATCTTTTATATAAATATTAGCTATATTTATATTATAAGATATAAGCTTCTAATAGTACTATTCTAGTATTTCTCTCGGTAAAAACTCATTAATATCTATATTAGTATATAAGTAAACTATTTATATAGAGCTATATAAGATTATATTACTTATCTTAAACTAAGTAATTATTAAGGATTATATTATAAAGCTTTATATTTATAGGGTAACCCTAGTATTATATCCCGCCTAGGGGCCTCATATATAGTTTAAATAACTTACTAGCTACTATATTAGGCCTAGATCTATCTTTTCTAATTCTATAAATATTTTATAAATCTATAAACTTATATATCTCATTTTGGATCTGCTATATATAAAGTACTAGTAAAATAATCCGGTCCTATAAGTATTAGTAATTATAACCCCTAATATAAGCCAGTTCCTGAAAGTAGTTCTATATATACTAATTAGAATTAGTTATATAATCTAGTACTATAATATTAGACCTAATAGCCTTAATAAAAAGCAGTATAATTATTAGTACCTAATACTTCCTTCTAATAATAGAAAGAATAAGGGGCAGATATAGGGAAATAGAATTACTTACGTATTACTAGTATAGCTAGCTCTTTTAAAGCTCTTGCTACTAGGATTTAATCCGCTAATTCTTAGTACTTTTCCTAGAAATAAAATAGTTCTCTATATATATAACTAATAGATCGGCTATTTATAAGAATATAAAGTATGTTTCGGTAATAAGAGAGAGTTTAGAGCCTTAATTAGCCCTAAAGAAGTAAGGGTAGTAGCTTATTTGAGTATAAATCTAAAGATACTATTATATAACTAAATAAGTAGTCTAATTAGAGATTCTAATATATACCTAGATAATATTACGTAAATAAGTATTAATATAAACATATATCTCGATCCCAAATAGTAATAGCTTATTATATCTATTAATTAACTAAATCTAGTCTGGCCCAGGTATAATATATTCTCTTTTCTTAGACTATATCTATTATATTTATAGTATAATTACCTCGGGATCTAGAAGTTATAATATTATATATAAGCTCTCTCTATAAATAATAAAATATATTAGTAAATAAGGCCCTAATTTTCTAAGCTAGGGCAAAATAGTAAAGTATAGAAAGACTAACCGGGTTACTAGTAAATCTTATTAATAGAAGTATATATATAAATACTGCCGTTTATAACCTGTAATCTGCCTATTATTTAGCTTACTCTATAGTATTATAAATAGTTACTTGTCTACTACTTGCCTATCTATTATAGTTATATAGCAAATAAGACCAAGCTTCTTATATATATGAATAACTCTAGTAATTAAAGCTATATAACCATAATCCTCAAGATCCTTAAGTATTTCCTTATCTATATCTCCCAGATAATACAGGATTATAATCTATATACGAAGAAAAGGCATATTTACTATTTAAGTATATATTTAGATATTTTATTCTTATAGTTACTATTAGACCATATATAGATTAACTAAGATTTCATATAAATCTTTTAATCTATTTGCAATTTCTTCTTAATTAATATTTATATAAGCTTATTTAGTAATAGCTTTGTAATATAGTAATAGATTTATTAAAAGTCGTAGTATTATTTTAATAAAATCTACTAAGTTATTTTAATAAAGGTTAAGTTCAGGATATGCTTTACTATTATGATATACTTTCTAGTAATATAAGTACTAAAAAACTCGAGTAATATTATTTCTATATGATTTTATTAATTAATTACTAAAAAAAAGTAATTAGCTAGCTTCTTAGTTATTTTAATAGTTTAATTTTCTTATTTCTAACCTCGGGAATATTAAGGAAGTTATTAGACCCTGTTAATAGCATTATCCTAGAAGGGCTTATAGCCTGTGGTTACCTGACTATAGTAATTTGTAATAAATACTTAATTTTATATTATACTATCCGGTCTAATTTTGGTACGATTTTACGCGGTAGTATGGGCTCTTACTTCGTTAATTAGACAAGCAAGCAGCCTTACTATTATTGCGTTATCCAAGCCGAAAGTCACGTATGGGTGCTATACCCCTAATTAGGAATTCTGCCTTGGGGAGGAGGGGGGGGGGGGGGTGTGCGGGGGCGCCAGTGCGAAAATCAGAAAATCAGAAAATCACTTTTCGCTTCTCGGATTTGTCCGCTAGCTAGCTGTGGGCCTCAGTACGGTCGCTACACGCAGTTCGCGCTCGAGGGAATTCATTGTTAAGGCAATGCGATGCGTTGGAGTTGGAGGATCAAGGTTGACTGTTGATGGATTGAGAGAAGTGATGTCGCGTTGACGGCCCTCGAGATGTTGATGATCGACTGCGCCGCTCGCTTGGGAGAGACCAGCTCGCTTCACCCTCTGTTTGCCCCTATCTGCCCCTATTTTCTCGGTAGAATATCGGGCCATTGCCAGAACTTGTCTAGGCTAGAAATAGTCTAGCGCTAACAGACGCTTCCCCCGGGTTTTCCGTGAAGCTGGTACTAGTCGCGACGTGAAGTCCGACTATTACTTCAGAAATGCATCTCGCCTAAAGAATATGAAGGATTCAAACAGCTTAGACATCGAATCGGAAAGTCGTTTACACGCGTAGCTCATAGAGCTGATTTTGCAACCCGTGGCTGCTGAATCGCTGATGCGCATAGTTTCAAGCTGGAGAGTCGGCCTACTGGGTTAGAAGGGAGCGAGAAGACCTCGACAGCTGCGCCTAGTGAGTATGTAACCTGGCTGGCATGGGGCAGCCGTCCGGGCCAGCAGTGGCTGATCCAGGTTCGAAGCTCATTCGTCAGTGGCGCATGCCTTCGGCGGTCTATTTTGATCTCGTCAGCTACCAACCTCAAAAGCAGGTGATCTTTTTGACTGCAGGATTGGTCCTGCGGGCCTTCCTCAAAGAAATATATCGTGGTTCAAGCGCTCTAATTGTTTCCTGGATCTTTCTATGCTTGTGTCATGTGTTACGGCTTCCGGCCCATTCCCCCTTGCGTTCACCAGTACTCTGCAAAATGATGGGGCGATAAAGGTCTCTGCGGAACAATTATGGATTTCCGAGGTTTTCTAGCCATGGAGAAATCGTTATTTCCAAAAGCGGGGTCAAAATTTTTCCTCCCCAGCCAGTTTTTGAAACTGTCAGCTGTTGCAGGCCAGGGTAACCCAGAGCGGGACGACCCCAGATTCTTGCCCCCGGCGAAAAATTCGACTATAAATAACAGGCTGAATGTCCTTTTTTCAACCGTTATCATTTTGCAGCAAGCTTTTACATCTGCATTGAAAACTTGAACTTGGAAATATGGGGAAAGTTTTTATGATCTCGCTAGCAATTTTTGCCAGCACGGGGTAAGTTACCTTCCCACCATGAGCTGCCAATACTCACAGTCTTTAGATCATTCTTGTTCGGATACGATGCAGGTGTAATGACAGATGTTATTGCCTCGAAGAACTTTTTGGCCTTCTTCCACACGACTTCAGATTCTGATATTATCGGAGCTATCAACTCTACCTTCAATGGAGGCGCGGTTTTTGGAGCGCTTCAAGGGGGCCTCACGATGGATCGGTTCGGAAGAAAATTAACAATTCTCATGGGAGCCCTCATCTGTCTCGTTGGAGCTATTCTTCAATGCACAGCTCAGAATCTTGCCATGATTCTCGTTGGTCGGATTTTCACCGGATGGGCTGTCGGTCTTCTGTCCATGGCGGTACCGGTGTACAACTCGGAGTGCGCGGATCCCAAGATCCGAGGATTTATCGTTGGACTCTCGCAGCAAATGATCGGCATTGGGTTCATCGTGTAAGATTATTATGTTTCCAGCATTTCGGTAACCTTTCTGACGAAGACATAGTTCAACCTGGGTCGGTTACGGTTCTGGAACTGCCTCGGCTGACAGCAGCATCCAATGGCGTCTACCTCTCGCATTCCAAGTCTTGCCTTGCTCCATTCTAGCTTTGGGAATCATGTTCTTCCCAGAATCTCCACGTCATCTCATGGAAACGGATAGAGAGGACGAAGCATTGAAAGTCCTCCGCAAACTCCACTACAATGGCTCAAATGAGGAGTATATCCAACGCGAATACCACGAAATCAAAACGACTATTGCTGCAGAGAAGGCAATTACTGTACCAGGGTGGAGCGTCATGTTTACGGTCCCCCAGTGGAGAACCCGATTGATGCATGGTGTTGCAGTGCAAGTTTTCACCCAGTTTACTGGGATCAGTACGTTCTCAACTCCAAATCAAAATCACCGCTAACGCCTTTCAGATGTCATCGGATACTATCAAACCAGCATGTATAAAGCCTTGGGTATCGTAGGAAACAGGAATTTGCTGGTCGCCGGAATCTACAATTGCATGGGTCCTCTCGCAAGTAAGTTTTGTATATCCGTGATTTCCAAGTCAATCGCGCTAACATGATCCTTCCAGATCTCATCTTCATTATCTTCCTCATCGACCGGGTCGGGCGACGCAAGCCACTGCTCTGGGGAACGATCGGCATCACAATTGCGTTGATCTGCGAAGCCATCGTCAACAGTCAGATTAACACCGAAGCTCCCCAAAACGGACTCTCGATTGCCGGTGTCTTCTTCCTCTTCTGTGTGACGGTCATATTTTCTCGTAAGTTCTCCCTGGGTACCCTTCGAAAGCGGAATGACTATAACTCTTATAGTCTCTTGGGGACCGATATCCTGGGTCTACATGGCAGAGGTAATGCCCATGCAAATCCGCGCCCGCGGGAATGCCTTCGCAACCGGAATCGGGAACTGGCTTGTACGTCCTCCCCTCCCCTCCCCTCCCCTTCATTTCCCTATATCTCCTAACAATACCCAGGTTTCCACCTTCTGGGCACAAGTTTCGCCAACCGCTCTCAAAGCATTGACTTGGAAATTTTACTTCCTGTTCGTTGCTTGGAACATCGCCGTGACCTTCCCCATCGTCTTCTTCTTCTTTAAAGAGACGAAACAGATTAGTTTAGAGGATATCGATCTTTTGTTTGGGGAGAGGGCGTTGGGTACGCTGCCGGATGATTTGCATAAGGCTCCGATTACTGAGCCTCTCAATGAGATGGAACCGAGTCCTGTGGCCACGGATACGGAGGCCAAGCCGAAGGTTGAAGGGGAGGCTGTGTGACGCTGCTTTCCCAGGCATGTGGGCTTAGAGAATCCAGCGGCATGTGTTCAGTTCTTTCTGGTTGACAGATACCCTTAAGATACAGCCCGCTAGTTATATATAATCTAATTACAGACCCACCTTTCTAAGTAAAGTACTAAAGAATACTACAACAAATTCTCATATACCTAAAAGAGAACAAAGTACAAGTTCAACATTGAATTTAGTTTAGCTAAGATAAAGACAGAGCCACATCACTGAGAACGATTATCGAAAATTCAGGTCTTGACAGGCTATGGTTTGTTCGAGGTACAGCTAAAATACTACTACAGTTATTTATACGGTCGATCTTCGCCATATCGGGAGTTCCAGACTGATATGCATACGAAGAAACAGTACTACCGTTCGGGTCAACATGCAAGAGGTAGAAGGGACAGAGGGACACCGTTGATAGACATGCCCGTGTTCGCGTGCAAAGTAACCTTGGGGCTGGGATCCTAATAAGTGGGGGGCGGGGGAAAGATCATTGCCGCACATACATGTGGGAAACGGATATTCAGAAGCCGGGACGAACTCCACCATGGAGCTCGAGTGACAACGGGATTTAACATCAGAAAAGTAAGGAGTCTAGCCGTTAACCAGATCCAGTGTCTTGTCTTGAAATTAGGAGAAAATGCATGGTGAAGACTTGATGCATTGCTGCAAAGTTGGACGACTTCTCAGAATAAGGTACCAACCAGGCGTGGACATTTCTCGATTCTCCCACTGAAAACTTTTTGATGGCTACCTATAATACCAATTACCCCTCACAGAACCATCTGCCAAGCAACCCTTTTCTTCCTCAAGATCGTCAGTATCCCCAACGGCAGCAAATTCTTCTCCACAATACTCATCCCCCCGCATTTCTCTAGCAACTCCCTCTCATACAACTGCAGCAACCACTCCAGTTCTCCCTTGCTCTCCTGCCCTTCCTCGTTCATGCTCTCCTCAAGCTTTTGAACAGTGTTGCTGACCCTCATTGACGTAACAATTCGCTTCTTTTGGGGGACCTCCATCAGCTCCTGGTACAGCGCCGCCAGCTCTGGGGACGTCGACTCCCGGTACGCGATGAACTCTTCCTTGGTCATGAATGCCTCGAGAGATTTCTCCAAATCAGAGGAGATGGAAGACTCGCCGTAGGAGTCTGTGTAGATAGCTCGTTTGCGGCGCTTCCTGTCTTGCTCGGTCAGTTCCTCAAATTCAGCTTTCGCGTTATTGTACATGTCGTCTTCATCCTTGAGAAACTTCTTCATTCTCGCGGCTGGGCTCTCGCACACCTTGTCACGGACGAGAAACGGGTCGATGAATGGGTTTCGCACACCGAGACCACCGAGGGCTTCAGGAAGGAAGATAAACGCGTCTGGGACATCAGAGACGCCGAATCGCTCTTCGATCAGACCTTTCAGGTATGCGCAGACATTGTTTCCGGGGAAAAGGAACTCTTGCATATGCTTGTATGTCTCCAGGATTGCATCAACGTGTGCCTTTCCGAAGCAATTGGCGGGCACACCAAAGGTGTGGCTGAAGAATCGACCGATACAGCTGTTCCAGGTATGGACCCAAGAGAGAATGCTCGGGGCAGCAGCGAGCTGCTTGGACAACTGCAAGACATGTGCGAAGACATCTTTCTGATTGATGACCCAATTTCCTGAATCAGGGTCAAGAGTCAAGAATCCAATTGAGACGGACCCAGTTGGCAGTTTTGCGGCGATCTCGGAATCTTCGTAGGTGAAGTCGTCCCCGGTCAAGAGCACAGAACCAGTCTTCGATTTGTTAAGCTCCAGACCCATCAGTGTTGAGTATCTCTCCATGCTCTGCCAGGCAACGGCACACTTTTCCGGTTCTCCGACGAGATACAAATCATCGTGGAACCGGTAGAGAAGCATGCTAGCCTCCTGATTGACAGTAAGATCCATGAAGTACAAGACTAGTTCGCCGAAGAACTTCTCCAGAGCGTGCGCCATCGGAACACCTCTCTTTCTTATTTGAAGTCGATCCGAATCCGGCTCCCCTTCTGAAACAGGGCCCATATTCAATGGTGCTTCAAGAAACTTCTTGAAGAAGGAAATCCAGTCTTCATCAACTCCGCAAAATCTCAACACAGCGAAGAGGGTACTGTGCGAAAGGCCGGTAGCGAACCATTGGAAGTCAGACTGCACAACAGCAACTTGACCATGCAAAGTTTTCTGAAGCTGCACTTCTGTCGCCAGCAGTCTCAGGAGCTGCTGTTTGACCTCTTTCGGCGACTTCATTCCATTGGCCTCATCATCCGAGTCCACCTCGTCGTCGTCATCATAACCTCCAGCTCCTTGCCAGACCTTCGAAGGAAGCTGTGACAAGAAGAAGTCATCACGGAACGTTTCCAATCTTCCCATTTCGACTCCCGTGCCGGTCTCCCTTCTTGACCTGTGATCGCCGAGAAAATATCTCCGGCGATCCTTCACATCCTCTGGAACATTGACATTGTGCTTCCAGATACCGGTATCCCGAGCCACGTCACAAAGCACAGTCTTCATTCCGACATTCCAAGTCATGCCGATGTAATGGAGAAAGATCGCGTCCAGTATATCCTCGTCCATCATGATTCTATACTTCCCATTCAGTTGTCGACGAGGCTCGACAGGCAAGCCCTCCTCTCCCGCATCCCATTCCCAATTCTTAAGGTCCGCTATCTTCATATTCAACACATCGCAAATTTCCGTTCGGGCGACTTCATCGCGGAGGAAGTCTTGCAAGATGGCTTTCTTGTCGTCCCGCAGCAAATCATTGACAAGCAACCCTTTCAAACACCATCTGATGGTTCGATCGTCAAATGGAGCCTTGTTCTTCTTCCTATAAGTTCCCATCGATTCGATATTGCGACGCAATCTTTCAAGTGCCTTAGCACCAACATCTCCAACAAAAAGTCTCTCGAGATGATGAGAGATTTCCACTTCGTCGGTCTCCAGTGGTGTAAAGACCACGGCGGAAAATTTGTCCTTCAGCTGCTTGAGCCTGTCTTTCTCAACAACCTCAAAGGACCCGTCGAGTGCTTCAGGGTCCTCAAAGGAAACCTGCTCGTCACTAGACTCGGTAGGATTCAACCATTCGGTCAACAGACGAGAGTATAGAGCACCCAGATCCAATCGTCGAGTTTGAACATGCAGCTGCGAGCGAAGTTGTTCCTCAAACTGGTGTATCATTGTCTCCGGGATCGTAGAGTCGAAGCGTGATTGTTCCAGCCAGCGGCGAATGTTCGAGAGGTCGACTTCGGATGAGGAGGATGGGTTCAAATCTTCAACGCCTTTGAGCAAGAGAGCGATCTTTGCTCGAGGATCGTCGTCAACTTTCTTAGCAGCTTCGAGAACAGAATTCTTGGATTGAGCGTATGTTTTGCGCTGCTTCTCAAGCTCGCGGATTTTGGTGAGGGTGATGTTCTTCAGGGTCCTCGAAAGGGCTGCGGTGGAAGAAGACATTTTTGAGAACTCTTAGAAGGTGGGCAAGAATTGGATTTATGGGCTCAGATCCGGAAGAACAACGAGTGGCGATCGCTGAGAAGAATTAAAATAGGCATGCTCAGTTGGAAACTCTGAGGAGATGGGCAGACATATATAATAGTTGACATTTGGCACATGAGTCACTTGCACGCCCTTAAATCAACATCTCCTTGTCAATTGAATAGGTAGGCAAGACTCATTCGGATAATAGTTAGGAAGGGGAGTCGAGGGAAATGAAGTGAAACAGAAGGAAGGAGCTGGAACTCGTGAGATTCAAGGCAGCAGCAGCCACCACGTGACCAAAATCAGTTCTTGTCACGTGTGAGCGTTCCCCACCTCTAGGCATGCAAGCAGATTCCTACTCAGCTCAATTGTGGGATACTCGACTGGATGGAAGTTACGCCTTGCTAATTTGGGTACCGCGTGACACTGTGACACTGGGGTAAGTAAGAATTTAAGCGTGAACTCGAGCAAACCAGTAGGTACTGTACATGTATCATGTCTGAAAAAGCGCCAGCGATAAGAACGGTCACAAGTATTAGACGACGTGAGAGTGCCAAGACACAAGTATAAGGGCGTCAATATAATCTTTCCTTAAGGCTAACAGCATCCTACGCGAGTATTAATAACGGCTCGTTCCTTAACGAGTCGAATAAACGGTCCCCAAGCTGAGCGTAGAGAATCTTGGGGTAGAATTCCTCCCTAATCACCCAATTTCGAGAGTGGCTTGATACCCCTAATGCTTTCAGTCGAGAATTAGACTGGCACCAGTATCAGTACAAATCAAATCCTACATGTCAAAGCCAGAGTAGGTTCCCACCTCACGAGGTGTTGGCAACATTTGGAATTCGTCAAATATTCGTGGGCGACAAAATACATATTTGTAGAGGGAGCTTGCTATTTTCTCATTCCAATTCTCTTTATCCTTCCAATGACCCTTCCATTTAGCTCACTTGAGCGCTCGCCAAATCTTTGTAATGCATCTTTCATGGATTGATCGATTTGATCTTACATTATTTCATCAATCTCTTGTGAAGACGCGGTGGGAACCAACAAAATGACCTCAAGGGTGTGGATATTGACATCATTATTACCATGGCGTTCTTCAAGTCTTTTGCAATCGTCGGGCTTGCTATACTCTTCGATTATGTCCCAGTGTTCGCTACCGGGAAAGCCTGTGCCCAGCTACCCTATGACCTTTTCTCTCTCTTTCTACCTATACTTCGGCTTTGTCCCAGTGCTCTTCTAATATCCAGTGGAGTGGGGAGAGGTTGGAGAGAAGGGGTGAAACAATATTATCTGGATCCTACTCTCTGAGGAATTGTAGTGCAATTGAGGGAGGAGGGAAGGGTTTCCCTGCAGTTTCAGGTAGGCTTACACTGAAAAGGAGGATAGCCTGTCTGGTTCGTAGCTTTCGTAACTCGGGGGGTATCAACGGAATGGAGAAGTGGGCTCATATCATCTTTGTTCGCCTGCATCTAGACGCCCCTTTCCCTAAAGTACAGTCAAACCCAGAGAACCTCTCCTGCGCCCCTTTCCGCACCGAGTTTGTATGACCATTGAGAATAGAATGTCCCAACCGTGCTCTGTAAAATCAGACTCAGCGAGGTTCTCTTCCGCATGGCCAATTCTAGTTCTAGGTTGGCGGTTGAGGAGGCGGAGGAGGAAAAAGAGGAGGAGCGAAGAACCAAGGGAGAGGAAGGCGGCCAAGTCCAGTCTCATCCATAAACTGCAGGCATACCAGGTACGGGTGGATATTGGGGTGCTGAGCCGCGAAGGTGCAATAGACGCGATAGACATGGGCCTGGGTCGAGTGAGAGGGGGCATGGAGTGCCATCTCGAGTTAGATTCTGAGTGTAATATTCGGAGGCAATGGGGGAGGAAGAGCGCGACCGTTGCCCTGGGAGTCGTCGCCGGAGCCTATAGTATAAGAATGTCAGCGAGATTGTACGAGTACGCTGGCTGGTGTACAATGAACTGACCAGAGCCTGATGGGCCGTTTGACGCCATATTCTAGAGCAGTGTCGTACAATTGCTTTGTTTGAGGGAGTTGCTATGCTGGAGAAAAGCTTTGTTTTGGTTGTTTGATAATGCTGGCACTTCATTAGTTTCATTGACCGGGAAGGGAGGGAACAATAGAGGCACAGCATACCTTTTGAGGCGCGTATCAGGCTAATTGAAGGAGAAGGAGCTCATGGCACTGGAATTTGCCAGATACAGAAATTATTTCGCTATGCAACCGAGTGCTAGTCCAGGTGCGCGTCCATCCTCCAACTGCCGACACTGCTCCACCAATCACGAAATCAGGAACGGCAAAGGGAAAACGTTATTAAACTATCTCAAAGCAACGCTATAGTTTAATCGGCAATATATTTGGAAGACCTAGATGAGCTTTGTTGCTTCTTTTCTTTGAAGTGTTCCTCCTCTCTCACATTACAAGTCCGCTAGCATGAACCACACAAGGAACATCAAAGCGAGCTACACAATGGCGAATTGCAGATAGAACAGACGGCACGGCAAGCTAACGTGCGCTTCCATATATCCTAATTAATTCCAAAGCGAGGGGCGCACTTTCGTCAATATTGTTCGATTTTGTTAGAGGTTGTGAATAGGGGTTCGATAATATTTCCTAATGCGGTAATCGAAGCGATCATCGCCACCTCTCCGTAAAGCATCGACCACAGTAGCAAGACTTAAAAGCGGTGAACAGCCAGTCCCCCCTTGATACTCTTTGCCCGAAGTGTTACGCGATCTCCCCCCTTTCGTGCGCAGTCCAAATGAGGCTAGTGGCCCGCTCAGCACATTTTGCCCTGAAAACTACATAAGAAAGGCTACTTGCTTTCACTCCATCCGCGGCATATGGTCAACTTAGTGAATTTAGTTTTGCCTCCGGAATTTTGTACTTGCTGTACTTTATTTTGGATGCAGGCAAAGGGGTCAACTTCAGAATGACCATCCACCACCGAGCTGCGACGCATGATATTATGGGCTACCAGACAGATTCTCAGCCCTCCAAATATGGGTTCCTAGCGGCGGGCACCCCTTCATTCATGACTGGTATTATTAACCTGACGAGAACAGCTCGCTATATTTGGAAGCCATTAGATTCTCCATGGGAAGATGCCCTAGAACGCACTCTCGCCATGAGCCGGACGTACAATTTTACAAGCTTGGGGTCGGAGTGGACCTTGGGAGCACCGGACACCAAGAGAGTACAAAGTGGTGGGTTATTGGGAGGAGGAGCAATCTACTAGGGGGGAGGAGCGCTGTGGAAGGACTGAAGCACTCACACTAGGGAGGAGGATATGCTGCGGAAAGAAAGGATTAGGGCAGGTCTGGAACTATAGTTGGAGGCTTCCGAATTCCGAATGAGGAAGTCGTATACTGGTGCTGGATTACACAATGTGGAGTGCAGTGTTACGTTATGGAGAAAAGTAAAGGGATTGAATACTGGAGGTCACGTACACGAGGAGAGCGAAATGGCCAACTAATGGAGAAAGGACTTTAGAGAGACTGATAGTACTTGGTGAACTTCATCCTGGCGGTGGTATCGCAGACATTGATAGCTCGTTTGTCGTTGGTCGTAACTATCTTAGATTGCCACCTCCGATAGCGCAGTTAAGTGCATATCTGCACTATAATCGCATTTACGGAAGGCACCTCCCACCAATGCTGCTAGGCCTGAATCTTCCAGAGTTTAGCAGTACAATTGGTCAAATTTAGCGACTGGTGCCTTGCAAGTGGTTAACAGTATATGGTATCGTAGTGCAGGCCATCAAGTCGGACTCCCTTGGCAACGCTTCATGGCCTTCAGCCGTTATCCAATACCACACTTTGAGTTCTGTCAGGAAGTCTTACCACCTTTGCTTCACAGTAGCTAGAATCCCTCTCGGAATCGGCGGCCCATTCTGCACTCCCCTTGGTCGTTCTGGTGCCTGCATCCTGGGATTCAATGCGTCATCGCCCATACTGCAAGCCACTCATGTTGACCTGCCGCAGAAATTTACCCACATGACCGTTTATGCTTCTGCAGCTGAGCTAGCCTAATGGATGAGATCACGTGAATGGCAACTGACAGGATAGGTACTAAACTGGCGGGCAGGGCTGCGGCTAGACCTTAAAATGATCCATCTCGCTATATTTTAGATTGTTTTTTGAATTGTGCCAAGAGTTGATCTGAAGCTTGTTTAGTTGAGACGGCGGTTTATCATCTGTAGTGGATGGAACACAGCACACCTCCGGATTCCCTAACTGCAAATCTGTAGCACAGACTTACCCTAACTCCAATAGGAGAATTCAGCAGGCCGTTCCTGGATTCCACTTAGTGGCGAGGTTCTCGCACGGTCCAGTGTAAAGCTTTTACAGAAGCACTTCTCCATAATCATGGCAGACGACAAAACTAACAGGGAGGAAAATTAAGACAAAGGGAAGGGAGTAAAAATGATAAGGTCATTGAAATGCTGTTGGCAAAGTCGCAAAGTATCCGCCATCGGAACAATGCAATATTTCTCGTGCATATCAGAGTTTCGAGAAGTCCGCAGCTGGAAAAGTCAAAGCCGCGAGTCATATTCTCGAGCCGTACCTTGCTGAGACCAGTAGGATCATGTATCGCTTGACATTGAACGGTTGAGTCAGATGCAAGCCTTCCAATAACGGTTCCTTGTTATCTGAGAAGGTAAACAACGAGACTCAAATGGGCAGTGTATTGGAGGCAAACGAAGGGAATCAACGGAAACCGCTAAACTCAAGGTAACAGCTGCCAACACGTGGATGGGGCGATACAGCAACCAGATGGTGACCATCCTTTCTCTAGGTAAAAAAAATATTAAAAAATTGGATCCATCTTGACATCCCATAGAAAATATCTGCAAAGATCAACAATCGGAAGCGAGGAAGATGTCACGAATGTCACGATATGACGCGTAGGAAGTTGCCCCGAACCATGTGAAAAAGGCCCAGCCAAACACGTCTGTTGGAGGAAATGAAGAGGCAGAAGAGAAAACATAATGCACCATTACAGAAGGCAACTAGGTCGACCTATTAGGGTCGGTGATACGGAATGGATTTGAATAAGAGATCGTGGCAGAAAAGGCACTTAAACTAAGGGTGGCTCCTTCGCTGGGCTCACGCGTTTCCACCTGTCAGCTTCGCTAAACTTCACTTCCACTACAACCTTGGTGGCTTCAGCGTCTCCGCCCGCGCGGTATGATTTTCACCGTAATAAGTGCAGGTTGCGCTCAATCCCACGGGAATCGCGGAATTGACGAACGGCAAAAGCTCTGCCGCGCACAAGGTGTCGAGATGTCATCGCACTTCGGATGGCGTTTCAGCAAACAAGCCACAGCGACCAACGTCGTCGCGCCTTCTTTTGCTCTACAATTGCCCCAGACCACTAATTAACAGCAAGTAATTAACCATCTAGGCACCTTAGGCAATTGCCTTGCCCAATCTTCAGCTATGTGGAATTCATTCGCGTATTTCAATCTGTGAGTCCAGTTGCATCTCTGCTCCTCTGATGGCCCCTCAATCTCTCGATGGAACCGAGCCCACCGTGCGACCCCTCTATACCTTCCGCTGACCATCTGCCAGTCCTCAAGACTTCATCGGCGCGTTCCTCGTCTCCCAATTCACGACCCTGCCCTACCCCGAAACAGACTTCAGCGGCAAGACACTCATCGTAACCGGAGCGAACACAGGTCTTGGACTCGAGGCTGCACGACACTTCGTACGACTCGGAGCTTCCAAAGTGATCATCGGCTGTCGAAGTGTTGAGAAGGGAGAAGTTGCAAAGAAAGACATCGAAGGGAGCACGAAGCGGAGCGGGGTGGTGGAGGTTTGGCAGGTCGACCTCAGTTCGTACGAGAGCGTCAAGCAGTTCTGTAGTCGAGCACAGAAGTTGGAGAGGCTGGATATAGTGACCGAGAATGCTGGACTTGCTACACCAAAATACGAAGAGGTGGAGGGAATGGAGAGCACGATCACTGTCAATGTGGTCTCAACATTCTTGATGGCATTGTTATTACTCCCGAAGCTACGAGCTGATGCCATCAAGCACAACATCTTGCCACGGCTCACTATCGTGGCTTCAGATGCTCATGAACAGGTATCATTCATCCCATCTTCGAATGACCTATGCTAATTAAAGACATCTAGGCCGTCTTCAGAGAGCAATCGGCACCTCACATCTTCAATGCCCTCAAGTCCCCCAGGTACCAATTCGACAAATACAATACCTCCAAACTCCTCGAGATCCTCACGATCCGCGAGCTTGCTCCCGCCATGACAGCCTCCAGAAAGCCGAAAGTGATATTGAATACGTTAACGCCTGGATTCTGCTATTCAGAGTTAATGAGACATACTGTTTTCCCGCTGAATCTGCTTGCTTGGGTCGGAAAGAGGTTGATTGGAAGGTCGACGGAGATGGGAAGCCGGACCTTGGTGACTGCCGCGAGTGCGGGTGAAGAGAGCCACGGTAAGTACATGACGGATTGCTTGGTACGTGAGCCGAGTAAGTGGGTTAGGAGTGAGGAGGGGAAGGAGGCACAGCAGAGAGTTTATAAAGAACTGCTCATGATATTGGAAGAGATCGAGCCCGGTGTAACAAAAAATATTTGATGGTCGGGAGGGAAGGTACGTGTATAATTATCCGGCAAGAATGAAGCTCCGATAGATTTTCTCATCCACTTCTCCTCCAGGTCTTCTTCCCTACAAAGGCTGCTCCTTCTCGCCCGAACTTCCCTGTCCGTTCCCTAACTACTCCCTTCACCTCATTCCAGGTTCGGTTTTCTCCAGGCGAGTCCCAATCATTCCATGTTAGAGTTTCGGCTCCAAGCACTTCGGCGTATCGAGCGCTGCCACACTCATCAGAGCCTAAGGTCTAAATCGGATTGGTCCCAGTCCCAGGCAGCGCAGCCTTCTAAGACCGTGGACTTTTGCACCGCCCAATCTGGTAGCGTGGCGTCAGCCACGCAGCCAGCCCCTCTTTCTGGTTGGACAAACAAAAGAACCACAGATAAGACTACCGGGTCACCACACTAACCCGAAACGGAGGTTACACAACGGCTTCGAGATCCATATAATCGCGAGGCCGCCTGGCCCAGACGAGGCTGATGAACATTTCTGTTCTCATTTCCAACCCCGCAATCTCTATCTTTTGTATTCCTCTCACTTCTCAAGACATACTGTTGTCTGGGTTATCTCCTGCACCATGGAGCAGTTTGAGGAGTTTGCTGTTCCTCCAAGGCAGGGCTTCGCCCCACAAACCCGTGAGCATTCCTCCTTCGTCTGGGAAAGTCTTCGAGACCAGATCACGCAACTTTACTCGGTGCAAAATAAATCACTGGGCGAAGTGATGGGTTTGATGGAAATGGAACATAGCTTTGTAGCTACGTATGGATATCTCAACCTAGAATTTCGAGTAGGGTCATGTTGAGCTGATATTTTCATAGTCAACGCCAATACAAGATCAAGATATCCGAGTGGCATCTGGACAAGAATATCAAAGGCCTTGAGTATGAATTCATGGCCCAAAAGCAAGCAAAGCGTGCTCTCGAGGACAAGGACACCGATTTTCGCGTCAGAGGCCGCGACGTCGCTCCTGAGAAGATAGCTCGCGCTGAGAAACGGCTGAAACTGTCAGACGAGGATCTTGTTGCCATTCCCGATGTCCGTAAGTATTTCTAATTGTTTGTGGATATATCTTCAGGTCTGAGGCCTAATTTTTGGGTTAGCCACACCATCGGATATAAGCTATGATACCCCTTCGGCTGTCGATCCACGATCCCCATATGTTCAACAGATGGTAGCACAATCTTCAGTCCCATCCATCGATGCATCAGCCAACCACGCTCCCATTCAATCAACATGGAATGCGTCCGAATGGCAGAATCAAGCATTTTTGGTGTCCCCTGGGTACCTACCCGCTACCCCTCTTCCAGTAGTTTGGCATGGACCTAGTACCCCACTGGCATCTACTTCCTTCCAAACCCCACCTGGCATGCTTCAATCTCCGGAATCGTTATGGAACACGGGGCCTATGGACGGAATTATTGAGGATAGTGAAGCTACCACAGCCACAGATGATTCGAACGTCTGCAAAATCAAGTATGAACGACTGATCGAATCGGTCCGAAAAACGGAGGAGACCGAAATATCCGACTACGTGGGTGCGATGTCTGAAGTTAACTCTCTGGTGTACGACCTTATCACTTCAGATCAATCAAAGAGTCAAGTCATTGTTCAAGAAGATCCGGCGCTTCTCCCTCAATGTCATGTCTGTATGGCTTTGAAAGTCATCGGGAATAATGACATGGCGGCGAAAGTTGAATCCGAACGAGTTCTCCTCGAGGCCATAGCTGTTACCGAAGGGCGTTTTGGGGAAGAGCATCGTGGAGCATTTCATTTCAGAGTCAAGTTGTTCCTTCTCTACGAAAATTGGGGATGTCGGGCAGGCTCGACTTATAGTCTGCTTCTACGGATCATGTTGTTGACCTTACACAAGGTACCGACCGGGAAGGCGCCCGATCTCATTTCTGGCTTGCTGGAGTTGCCAGATTCCGCTGAGCCGGTGCGATGTGCGTGGCTTCAAGGCTCATCTCGAGCCCAATATCTGGACACTTCGTCCCATCAGTTGTCTACACTGTCAATCCGAGACAATAAAGTGCGAGACTCGCCACGGAATGTCTGGAGCATACTATTGGCCATCACTAATCGAGTTGAGTGTAGTGTAGACGACTGGCCAGAGCACGAGCTATTTGAGTCATTTCTTGAATTAATCTTGGACCACGGCCCCGAGTCCGCTGATGGGTCTTCATACTTTTGGATGGCAACATTCATTTCGGTCCTTTCTGGCATGTGGGGAGCGATCTACAGGGCAAAGATCTTCATAGGGAACACTGTCAGTGAGCATTTTCCTGGCTCGAATGCCATCAAATCCAGCCTTGAACAACTTTTTGAGAATCCATACCGACTTGAACCCTCAGCAGCGCCTGCTGTCGAGCGTGAACCATGCTTGGAACCAAGCGATGGCGCCTCTCCTGCGAAAGGTCAATCCAAATTCGACAACACTAGGCTGCTCAATGGCCCCCTCCAGAATCTAGACGAGCTGGGGGCGGTATTGGCAGAAGTGTCTTTGTGGGAGCTCGAACGATCAGACCATCGCCAAGCCTTTTTAAATGTTAAGATCATTCACTCTTTCGAAATGTATGGTCTTCTGTGCGATGCGGCCCGTCTCGGAAACTCCACTCTCATCCAGAAACTTGGAAATCATTTCGAAAATGCGACCTTTCGTCCGGATACTTCATTCAGTGATATCTTGAATATTGAGGGTCGAGTGGGAGAATGGGCGAACCTCGACGAATCAGCTCTTCATTTTGCCATCAGCGCTGGTCATTATCGTACCGTGGACGCCTTACTCAACGCAGGGGCAGACCCTAACGGACCAGCGGAATCGGACCAAACGCCCCTTGATGTTGCTGCAGAAAATGGGCATGATGACATTGTACGGCTGTTGACCAGAAGAGGCGCAACTGTGTTTGGCAATACTCGGGTACTGAGGATTGTTTTCCGCGCCTCAGACCAAGAACTTCATGAGAAGTGTCTCGAAACTCTTTGTCTGGATAACTATATGCACCCTCATATGCACTCTTTATTATGCTCTATCGCCTTGGTTGGACAATATGAGAGATATGAGGGTTTAGACATGGTCTCCAAACTCATAGGGAAAGCACTCTCCACAAGAGATAAAAAACCCTCATCAGGAAAGCCAGTCTTAAATCAGATCTTGCGCCCATTCGAGCGTGAGGAGTTGCATGATTTCCTGGATGAGGACGACAGTGGCAGAGGAGTCGAACTCATTCTTGATGTACTCGCTGGAGTCCACATTGAGCAACAAGCGCGAGGAATCTTGAAGACCGCCATCTTCGGCTCCACAGCCGCAATTAATGATATGTTGAATCCGACTGAAGCGTCAGAGTCCCCTCCTATGCACAAGCTGGTATCGAGAAATGCTCCTAACGCACTTGGGGTTTTCTTAGAACTTGGTCCGAACCTCGCAGCACTCGACACACAAGGCAATACGTCTCTTCATGTAGCAGCTGCACGGAATCGAATAGATTGCGCGCAGCAGCTTCTGCAGTCCGGGATAGATGTGGATGTCAAGAATAATGATGGGGAGACTGCGTTTGAGATTGCTGTAAGAGCCGGGAATCCAGACATAGAGAACTTGATAGTTTCACATATGGGATCGGTGGATGGAGAGATTTGAGGTCGAAGGACAGAGATTAAATCAGACCAATGCCAGCTCAAAAGCGTTCTTTCGTCATCCAACTCCTCGCTCTAAGTTCTGTACATCATGTGATTCAATGAGAATATCTGTACGACCGAAGTAGTCTTTCTCCCTTCAATAGAAGCCAGAGAACCCGCCAACACGTTCAAAAGAGCTTGTTTACTTGCATTACGGTCTGAAGTAAGTATCCCAGATGATCTTATAGGTTTCAAGAAATGTAGAGAGGGAAAGGAGGTTAAAAGGAGTCGCCTGTGGGGAAAACCAGGGTTCATTGGTCAGTGTTATTTCACTGCTCGGTCAACATTTCTATCTAACCTTCAAGCAACGAGAGTTCCAGATCGATCACTTTAATATCGTTTGTGTTAATCCTCAACAGACACCTCACGCGCATGCCACCGCATATCATGTAGCGTGCGTTGCGTCACCCAGCACACATAGTCCTGGACAACAGAGAAGAAGTCCTGACCCACGGCGGCCGACCAGTGCGACGCGTATAGGGATATTTAGCAAAGAAGTTTCGATAACTCGGATACGACTTGAAAATGTACCAAGCGATCAACAACGACGCAAAGCCGCAAGCCCGATCTCCAGACAAAAAGGCAAAGACCCAGGCGAGGATGTGGCAGGTAGTCAGCACGAGACGCAACAGCCGTCCCCACGTCTTTCGAACCACGAAACACTGTCGTATATATGTGGCACCTCAAGCACAGTGCATATATGCGACTGGATAGCACTACGCTCCCAACGGAATATCTGCTTGAGAAGATCAGACGAGATCTTCACTGTACGGCGCACTTCCGTCTCGGGCAGCGCCTGGATGGCAATTGTCCAGCGGTGCGACTGCAGCTAGCGCGAGATGAAAGTGTCCTTGCCGACATCCAGCTTCTTCCCCTTCCAGCTGTCGTTGGTGTACCCCTCTAAGAGAGGGTCTTGTAGAATACGTGCCCGGAAGACCCCTGTCGCGTCGGCGAAGACCTAGCACTACCGTGCCACCGCATACATGGCTTTGAGTTGAGAGCTGCGATGCCAGGCGACGGCGACGCGCATGGCTGCAACTTCCCACGGGGTGATAACGTCTCTGCTTTGCCTGTCCTTTGAAATAACAGGCTTGATGGTCGGACCCGCGGCGCCCACAGTCTCATCATCGGGGCAAGGCAGCATTCCATTCAGAAAATTTCGATCGTAAGAGATGTGGTCATCAGAGGTAGCGAGGGTGGTACCCTTGGCGTGTCGGATGCCCAAGCTCAGCTGAGCCCTCTTGCCCTTCGGGGTCGATTCAAGGACTGTGACTTTGGCGAAATCGGCAGCCGATAGCGAAGTGTTGGCCACGGCGGGGAGGACTCGGTCCTTGTGCTCTGGGATTGTCACGGTGGGGACCCTGAGGGGTTGTTGGCGAGCCAGGTGTGCAGGCAGCGAGCTAGAAGCGTGTCAAGCGTGCACACAATCACGCTGGCCTGGTCCGATGAGTAGGTGCATTCGGATGGAATGGGCATGTGCTGATGTAGAGCCAGCTTGCGTTCGTCGGAGGCCTTTTCCACGCGTCCCCAGAGCCAAAAAATCCCCAAGATAAAGGCTGCTACAGACATAGTCGTGAGTGTGTCCATTGCGGAAGGGGTGTGTGGATACAGCCCCGCCGGTTCGAATTGTTCGTTAAGAACGAAGTTGTCGAAGATCTTAGATCCCGGTTCAAAGTTGACATTGAAGGTCAAAACGAAAGGTCGGAGTCACTCCTAAAGTGAATTCCCTTGCCCCCTTCAAGGCAATGCAACAATTTTTGGGTTGTTGGTAGTGTTGATACTTCAGCTTGTTTCAACTGCAAAGTCAACTTGGCGTTTAGAAGTCGGTTTTGAAGAGAGCAAGTATGTTTATGTATTTTGTGGTGTTGATACTCTTGGGATAGTGTTGATATAGAGGGAAAGACCAGATGTAAGTTGGAGAGAATCATACCTAAAATATGGATCTTTGATTCGCTTTCGACTTCTCACCCTCAAATGGTCAATCTTTGACTCATTATCGACTCTCATTTCTTTAAATTATCAATCTGCACTTCCATTTCAATTTCTCTCCTTTCAAACTAGCAGTCCAGGGCCATAGTAGAGCAGTGTCAAGAAAGCTGGGCCACGCCCCAGCCGTTCTGCTCCAAACCACCTATCATTTCTATTAGAAATCTTTCCTATAAAGAGGATCTGCTGGGCAAGCCTCCAGCACATCTCGGAATTGCTCAAGATGGCCCGAATATCTAAAGTCCCTGGGATGCAATTGCCGGAACCCATCGAGGAACCGAGTTTGATTCTGAGATTCGACTGGCCGGAGGTTAGAAGATTCGCTATTGCTTTCCACACCAGGGAAAGGGTATCTGTGAAGAATCTCTTGATTCAATGCAGATCGACGGCCATAGGAAAAATCGCCGAATGCGATAAAGAGAAGGTTAGGGAACGTATGAAATGCCCATGTTGCAAATGCATAAATGGTGCTAGTTTCATCAACGATAGACTCGACAGGGTGTTCGAGCTCTGAGTTCAAAGTGGTTCGAAGGCAGAGGAATTTAAGAGTGCTGAGTTGCTCCAGTGTAACCTGCGAGAAGGTTTCATCCTATGTAGTGATGCACAAAGTTAGCCAATTACTTCTGGATGTAAAACACGGGATTAGACGACATTCGAGATTGGTTACCGTCGGTATAAGAGGAGAAAGGCAGAGTCCGATACACGCAAGATTCATCTGCGTAAAAAGATCTAGAATCTTATCGTTGTCCATATCTGTGTTGCAATCCAACAAATCGAAATCAATGCGTTGCTCGTGATAGACAAGCCTTGTCAAAGTTTTCTTGTGGTGGAATATGGAAGGCCAGTATCGATGCGTGGTCGCAACGCCCTTGCCATTCAAAACAAGAAGATGAAGTTTCCTGAGACCTTCGAATGAATCGAGGAAGGGAGCAATCCAGTCTTCGTCCACTTCTTTACGATATGAATCATTGCTGTTGTGTTGTATTACCAGCTCGAGGGAACGAAGATTTATAGGTTCGCCCGACTCCACTACCTTCCTGAGCAGTGACCCAGAATGAGGACAATCCCGTAAGTTTAGAGAATGCAGCCTGCCTATATTAAACAGTTGTGCTATTTCCAGACCCACATCGTGGAAATTGACAGAGGAAAATGATAGGGACTTCAGAGTAGAGAATGGCAATGGCGTTTCGCCTGGAGCAAGTCCCAACACTCTTTCTCCGAAGAAGTTGTGATCTCTGATCCAAAGTTGCAACTCGTAGTCATCAGCACACCAGTTCCATTGCGCATCCCACCAGTCAATGAGATCAATTTTGAGAACTTCGAGGTTGGTTGATTGAGAGCGTAACATATCTCGAAGGGCAGTAAAGTATTCCCTCGAAAGCCCACCAGACCAGGAGAATTTCTTTAGCGACTTGAATTCGGTGAGAGTTATTTGATACTCCCAATCTTTCTTCGGTAGGATGCAGGGATCACCTGTTATCAAGGACAAGTCTTCGATTCCGCGTTGCCTTGTGGGCAAGTATCCACCTGGGCCAAGGATATCCTTAGGGATGCAAGTACCAAGATGCCAACTAGCATCATGGATCAGAAGTAATAATGGATATTTGTTGCGTCACTTAACATACTGAAAGCTTCTTAGAAGGTTGTCTTGTAAACCTTGAAACAGAGGCCTGATCTGGGGCATCAAGTCCCCAAGGCTATCAATTTTCGACATAAGTGAGTCATCTCTGTCATCTAGAGCCTCTCGATCTGTCTCGAGGAGTTTGAAGTGGATACAACGAAACTGGTCGTTTGTTTGTATCGGTGCGAGGAACGAGATACTTTTCATAGTTTTGAAGTAGTCTCGATTGGCAGTACGTAGAAATTTATCAATATCCGTTTGCTCCAAATTAGACTCATCTCTAGAGGTTATTGTAATTGACTCGTACAAGGTGGGAAGAACAAGAGCATAGAGTTTCTTGGAAACCCGACTGATCCTGCTGCGGTCTTGGTTGTGCGGAATCTAGAGTCATCAGAAAACATACAGAGAACCGCGTGCAGTGAGATGTAAGACCTGATCAATAATTGCACTCAAAATCTCGCGGGGGATGAGGTCTAGCATTGTTTTGCGGGGCGGTAATGTTTCTGCTAAAGATGAAGAGGTGGATTTCGCGACATCCCCTTTTTTAAAGTGGGGTTGAGACACTGAGCCGGCTAGGCTTAAACGGGAGCACTGTACCGAGAGGGCACGTGATATCGCCACGGAGTCTCAGCCTTGTCTTATTTTTAGAAAGCACTTCCAACATGCGATTCCGACTACGCTGCCTTGTACCTGTACTCGCCCGACCTGCTGCGAAACCTTGTACGTTGCCTTTACAATGCTAACACCATGAGGCGACAGACACAGCCCCTGTTCGCCCGGCAACCCCAGTCGAAAGCAGTATTGATTGTACACCCTGAATCTGGCGAGCCTCGTCCTACTCCCGTCTCGCAAAAGGAGCAGCCAGCCAGAATTGTACCGCCTGCACCTCACCCTACCACGAAGGATGCTCAACTTCCGCTCAATACACCACCAGCATTTGCAAATAGGCAAGAATTCCCTCCACTACCAGGAACAGAACGGAAATCTCCAGAAGAAAGCAGTGGCCATGGCCATAATTTCGATATCTATGCGCGCCCTTTTGTCCCAGAAGCTTTTTCTATCCTAAACCAGCTGAATGGACACGAGGTCAATACTCCAGGGATCAAACAGATCGATTTTGGAGCATACGTTGGCCGTTGTATCGGCTGGGATTTTCTACCGGTGATACCTCGTCCTATAGGACCTCCTCCCATGAATGCATTCTGCAGCCTGGTGGACAACACCGTCAATACAGGATACGAGTCGTACTTCCGATATCACCTTGAGGCCGAGATCCAGTCCCAGAAGCTGGAGAACGAGTCTTACTCGCTATTTGGGCATGACATAACCACATTGACTCACGACACTAGTGAGACAACATGTTCTTTCCTCGTTCCTGGCCTCCGAGAAAACAGCCCGTATGTCGAGGGAGACGATATTATCCAGCTTCGCGAGCTGATTTATGACCACGCGGGAAGGCTACTTGGAATGGAGCTTTGGATGACTCAACCTATTCTGTTCAATCGGAGTCAGCTTCAGCCGCAGGGCTTTCCAGCACCAGGAGGTCGATGGAGAGGCGAACCAGCACCTGGGTGGACAGGAATTATTTATAATGCTCGGGTTCTGGCTGTCCGGCGGAAAGAAAGCAGGTTGGTGGTCAAAATAGACGGGAGCCCTGACATGCGATACTCATTTTCGCGGCCGGATGGGTTGAAATTCAACGTTCAGTTTCCCGTTCCGAGCAACCGATACCTGCCAATGAAGCATGTTTTGCCCATCATCCAGGAAGCTCTTAGACATGCCTATATAACCAGATATCAACTTACGAATGGAGTCCCCAACCAGTCACAAGCCTCCTCTTCCAACCCGTCTTCGGGCTCTGGTGGGCCCCTCAACCTCGGAGGTCCTCCCAACACCCCTTGGCTTCAATCAATGCTTTTCCCTGTCGAAGCCGACTGCGATGTGCAGACAATGCTCAACCGCGGGTCTTTCAAGCAAGCGTTCTTCGATCAGCAGCTCAACTGGGAGCAGATGAAAGCTATCGGGAGTATTTGCTCGCACAACTATGGGACTCTTCCGTTTTTGGTATCTGGACCTCCCGGCACTGGCAAGACAAAGACTCTAGTCGAAGTTGCGCTCCAACTCGTTAAAAGCGTCGACGGGGTCTCTCACGTTCTGTTCTGCGCACCATCAGACCCGGCAGCAGATATGATTGTTCAACGCATCAGCTCTCACTTTAACTCGACCGAACTATTGAGGTTAAATAGGCCATCGCGTACATTTGCTGAAGTACCTGGTGCAGTTCTGCCCTTCTGCTGCATTGCACAAGATAAATTCGACCTGCCAAAATTCGAGCAGCTTATGTCATGTAAACTCGTTATCACCACATGCCGCGACGCCTCGCTGCTCCTTCACTCGCGAGTGACGAACGCTGACCTCTTCGCTGCCGAATATGGGCTACGCACGGTCATCAATCCATACGCTGCTCCGCCTTCGCAGGTCGACTTGCATTGGACAGCACTCATCATCGACGAAGCCGCTCAAGCCATGGAGCCAGAGGCTCTGATTCCACTTTCCATCGTGGCACCTCCCTCGGGACCTGTCAAGCTCGCATTCAAGCCCTTGTTTATCATGGCTGGCGACGAGCACCAACTCGGCCCACGCACTTCACTTCCTTCATCGCCGCTAAAGACCTCGCTCTTCGCACGACTCTTCGCCCGACCGGTATATGCTGACCACCCACTTGCACGGGGGAAGACCGGAGAGCGAGCGCCACAGGTTCTCAATAAATCCATGCTTCCCATCGCCCGCCCGGCTTTTGCAAACCTGATCCGCAACTACAGGTCGCATCCTGCAATTCTCGCCGTCCCGTCATCGTTGTTCTACTTCGATACCCTTGAGCCCGAGGCTGATGACACCGATCGTCTGACGTCTTGGTCTGAATGGCGGGGAAGAAAATGGCCAGTGCTTCTTCACATCAGCGATTCAGAAGATGATATGGACTTAAACAACGGAGGGTGGTATAATGTTGGCGAAGCCCAACTTGCCTGTGCCTATGCTGCTCGTCTGGTCCAAAGCGGGCTAGTAGCGCAGAAAGAGGTGTGCATCATGTCTCCTTTCAAAGCTCAAGTCGCATGTCTGCGTCGCACTATCCGGGAGGCGCGGTTTGGCTCTCTCTGGGACGTCGACATCGGGCCCACGGAAGCCTTCCAAGGCCTCGAGCGTGGCGTCGTCATCATCTGCACGACTCGGTCCAAGCCGCGCTTTGTAGAAAGTGACCAGAAAGCCAACTGGGGTCTCATCGGCATGCCAAACGCGATGAACGTCGCACTTACGAGGGCAAAGTTTGGGTTGATTGTCATTGGGAGGAGGGAGATATTGCTCCTCGATCCGGATTGGAGAGCTTTCTTGGACTTTTGTGACCGCAATGGCTTGGTGGCTGGCGAGGCTGACCGACTTGTACAGGATAGGGAAAACATTGAGCTGACTAGGCTTGAGAAGGTTCTATTGGCTCAAGAGCAAGATTCAACCTTGTCTAACTCGAGGGCATTGAAGGTTGTCAGTCAGGAGGATGAGATGTGGACGGGCGGGATGCAGGCAGCTTTGGACGCTGAAAGTGCGAATGGATATGAAGAGAGCGATCTGGAAGGGAACGATCAGGAAGAGCACGACGATAAAGAGCAAGATGGGGGAGAGGGGAAGCAGGTCCCGCTTTCACAGAGGTTCCTTCAGTCGAATCTGTTCTGAATCCTTTGCAACTAAATGTTGGTCACTTGCGCAGTCGCCTGACTCACTTGAGCCTTTGGAAGCACGCAGGGACGGTAGCCTACCTCTTCGGTAATCGTTTCCCGCCTCAGGGGAGACCGTCGAGCAACCCGGTCTCAGTCCACGAACTGACGCAGCCTGCTCTCGCTTCTCCTGCAACGGAGTTTGGATATTCTCCCAACAGATACCACTTGGGAAACGGGCTTACTTCCGCCCTGTCCATTGCCTCGGGTTCGATTAGCAACTTTACGATGGAGAGAAGCCGAGGTGTTGAATAATATTCTGGAATGATCAGGGTAGAGCGGGATTCGAGATGTGTTTGAGTATCCGAAATGAAGGAAAGTAATAGATAGGATTAAGGGGGAGCGCGGCGAACTCGGATTGACTTATAGCCGTAGATTCGTCCACGCGTCTGTACTTTATAAGTCTTAGAGCACGAATGTCTTGTCAAGAAATCAAATGGGCATTTGAAAATTGTTTTTCATCCTTTTTCCAGATTAAAAAAGGTCTTGCACAACTCCGTGTTTAAGCAAGAATAGTCAACGACGTTCTATACAAATCCTCGATGAGAATCTCGTCTCCTGTCTCAACCAGCTCACCATATTCCGGTTGCCCCACGTAGGACATACAAACAAGAAATTCGCTTCCTCAAATGCAGCACATACCCGGGCATACCGCAAAGTCTCCACCGATTTTGCAGTCTGTGCCGGGGAAGACACCATCAAGCCCGGACTTGAGGCCCATGAGGTCTTGATTGCTCCAGTGTGGATGGAGGTGAAGCTCTCTGGAACGTTGTCGGGGACGAATTCATACCAACGTGTAGAGACAGCTTTTCTAGCACCGTAAGAAGAGAACGTGGGAACGCCGAGAGTAGGCGCAGACGGTGTTCAGGGTGTCGACTACAGCAGGGGAAGATGTTTGACTGGCTTCAGCTCCTCGCAAGCGACGGAGGAAAGACTGGGTGAAAGGATGTGCCGTAGATATCCAACTAATGGTGAATGCCTCCAGTGCTCGTCGAAATCCGCTTGCATAAAGTTGGCTGGCTGGGCAGCCATGAAGATTACGTTGTTGACGGGGACCTTTGGGTAAGTATTGAGATATTCGAATGGCTGCTGATCGAACCTACTGAAATACTCCTGAAAATTTGTCCTCTAACCCAAGTCTCTCAGGAGTTCAATCTCCTATTGGTTGCCAGGTAAACTCATGCAATCGTGATCGTATACGTATCGTCCTCGACGTCGTAAAATCTTAGCGGAAGGGAGTCTGATACACCAAGTTTAGGAACAGTGGCGGATTCGTACAGTAAGTCCTGCGCTCTGATCTGACTTCTTTCTTCCTCGCCAGCTTTTCCAAGAAAGGCATAAATGGCAGCCTTGTCACGGACGATAAAAACTTCACTGCCCTAAAACTCTCCGCTCCTCCGGTCAGCCGGCTTCAAGATAAGGCCATGCACAGAACGTTCCCCAGGTTTGACGTTGTGGGAAAGGATTGGACTCAAGTAGGAAGCGCCCGAAGTGTCATCCTTCTCGATATCTAGCCAGTGCACAATATGACAGTCAGGGTTACCTCTTTCTACCCTTACTTGAATTTTGGGCCACGTAGGATGTCCAAGTAGGTAATGAAAAAGCCTGGAATAATTCGTGACTTCAGTCGAACATATCCATCAATCACAAATCCCATTTCAGTTCCACCGGTCGTCGTCACGCTGACATGTAGGATGCCAGCTACAGGTCTGTATTCCTTCCAGTTGCTTTGAAGTGCTATAAGTCCTAGCAAGACCGGACCAACGGTTGAAGCCCATGACTTAGATGGTGCTTGAAATGTGCTAGGGCGTACATTCTCGGTCTACAACGTCCACAGGAGCTGGTGTATGAGATTGGTTTCCCAAAGGCCCGCTAGATATCGACGCGTGAACTCTTTCACCCAGCTAGCCAGACCAGAGATAGCAATCAGTTCGTCCCTTTCAAGTATCGTATGAACTCGATGTATCCACCCTAAATAATCTCCTATGCTATGAAAGCGCTTGGCCATGGATCAGCACCTGATATTGTTTTCGTTGGCGGACCAACCCGTCCATTGAAAGCTGCGGAATGCATCCCGCGTGGGGTTCCTTTCGGGAAAGATTCGCAGGCTGGAAATTGCTAATAATCGTAGAAGGCATGAGAACCTGTGAAGTAGAGTACTCTTGCTGAAAGAATGCGTTCTTGCAAGACCCAACGTCTTCGAAGGAGATTGGAGTGTGTGATGTTGAGCTCCCAGAGGGTACTGTCAAAGCCGGTTCAGCTTCTCGGAGACAGCCAACTTGAAGCGTGCTCTCTGCTGGCTTGGGTTGGGATGACGAATATCCCACATAGTGGTCTTTACCTTTTCTTTGGGCGATTTCGGCTCTACCCAGAAGACTTTTGGCAACATAACTTCAACTTGGCTCTGATTACGATCCGTAAAAAGTCCCCACTTGTCATCCTGAACCTCGGTTGCGGCAATGTTGCCCAAGCATATTTGTAGACGTCTCCCATCCTTGCGGCTTCAACACGCCAGTCGTCCTCAGAATCTTGAATGATGCAAAGCGAAATCAATACATATATCACCAGGACCCAATGAAAGAGTGAAAGCAATTGCGTCTCGAAATGTATGAGACAAATCTGTGGTAATGGTTTCTGCTCACAAGCCGTCGATGTTCGAGGAGGCGGGAACGCCTTGTCATAACAGTGTTCTCTCGGATCCGGGAGGTTCAATCTTCACACGCAAGAACAGGTCCGAAGATGTTGAATGGCGTCAGTTGGATCAAATTGCTGGAGATCGGGTGAGGTTGTGGTGGCGGGGCTCGAGAAAAAGTAAAGTCGCTGAATGCCTTCAGCGCGAGGCCCAGGCGTGGTTTGCCACCAGCACTTTAGGCCGCGGAACAATTCTTCCAAGCTAAAGCAAGCTGAGAGAGAGCCTTCCTGGTAGGTTTCTGCGAACGGATTTTTCACAATAATTACAAAATTAAGGTGCCAGTTTGATGCAGAATCTTGGATTATTAATTTCCATTGACACCTTTGGTCCCATGATAGGTGGTGGAATCATCTTCCACGAAGGAAGGGCAAGCAAATGCCGACCCAATCAGGGGAGTTTGTGCTGAATCTCGAGTCTCTTCGGGTGGGATGCAAAGTCATCTACAATCCTGCGTACCGTGCGCGAATCGAAAGCCGCACATTTATTGAGCGGAGGAACGAGCAGTGATGTGATCGAACCGAACGATTGTGTAAGCAACTAGCATCTCACTCGACATCCGCGGACTGGGTGCCAACTTGTGGATCGGTAGCAATTTTACTATCTTTCTCTCTTTCCAAGGTCTCTCGAAATGGGAAGAACTTGAAAGGCACGTTTCCATCCCCAAGGTTTTGGAAGTGTTCTTTCCTTGCATCTCGGCTAAGAACAAATCCAGTGATCTTCACCTCCCCAACGCCATCTGGGTACTGCTCCTTTATTTCTTTGAGGCCCTTGAAAAGGATCCTTTCCGGAAGCTTGCAAATGCGAACGCTAGGGAGGTATGTGCCTGCTCGCCATGGAGATGGATTTAGGGTTCGGAAAGGTAACTTCGAAGGGTCATGATGAGTACCACCTTTGAGCATTCGCTTTTGGATCTGGAGAAACTTATCACTCAGCAAGTCGTACAGCTCCAGGAGAATGGGTGATGGAGCTATAGCAAAGCGAATGATAGAGGGATGATCCTGTTGTGTTGGCCTCCAATAGAAAGGACGCCCAATGGTCAGACTGAATTGGTCCTGCTTGGACGCCACCTCAGCTAGTATGTATTCGCAGAACTCTTGACAATTCATTGGAAAGGCTGAAAATGCCCTCAAACGTTCCCAGCGATCTACGTGTTGTCCAGGTTGGACGTATTTTTGACGAAGCATATTGATTGTGTCGTCTGGTGAAGTTTGCACCTGGAATCCAACAGAGAAGCTGGGATGGTATAGATTCGGGTGAAACCGTGGGTCATTACGGAATCTACGGTGGTACCTGTACCCTGGAATCCACATAGACCACGTGATCAGATTTTGGGGCGATGTTGCGCTAATCCGTCGACTCGAGGACTGAAGCATAGTGGATATGTTTGGACTGCTCGAAGGAAGCCTGCCACGGGATACCAATTGGAAATTCCTAGCATTTATAATTAATTTTTCGTTCTCGTGTTCTATTCGAGAGGGCCATACCGAAGAGTGGTTGAGTGATGAACCTGGACGCGTCGTGTTCAAAGGAACAGATCAGCTTCTGCAAGCAGAGTGTCAAAAGAGTCTTAAGGATATATCCAAGACCGATTACATAGAGCGGCGATGCTAACTTGACTGGCGTGGTGAAAGCATGAATAGATGGCTTGAAAGGTTGAAATATCTTCCAGCTCGAAGTGGATGCTCAAATCTCGGAGATGAACTTCTGGCGTCAACGGCCGCGTTTGGCTCCCGCAGCGCCGGATTGAGAGTTATATCCTCTCGTTACTTTCTGTGGCGTCGCTCGGCTGTGGTTGAGGTTGATGACGACGATTTGGCCTTGTGATGTGTTGTTTGATGAAGATCCTGAGCAGCTCGCTTAACCTTAATGACGAGATGAGCTAAGATTGAACATTTAAGAGGCTAGCACCAAGACTCGAGGCCGCCTTCCAAGTTATTTATGGACTGAGAAGACTACCCATTTCTTATTTTGTGATTGATCAAGGTCATTTTGATCTAGTTAGCTAGATGTGCATCTCCCGTGGACATCTGCACGTGACTGGTCTCAACCCCTGCCGCCGAACTTGACCTCGGTTCAACCTTCTCCCCTCTGGAGATCAACACCACAGGACATGTTTTAAAAACATGATGGCACGCCCTCCTCCAGGCCATGATATTTGCTCCCCTATTTTCTTCCAATTAACCTGCAGACAGCTTCATGAACCACTGCGATGACGGGGCCACCTCCATTGACAGGTCTTCATGTCTTGGAATTCGCTGGCCTAGCTCCAGGTAAGTTCAGCCCCTCACCCCCTTAATAAAGATGCAGCTAAGCTCTTCCATAGGACCCTTCGCTGGCCTCCTCCTCGCGGACAATGGAGCTTCCGTCCTCCGTATCGATCGTGCGATCACCAATCTCACGCATTCATCCTCCTCTGAGCTCCCTCCACCAACCAACGACCTCCTCACGCGGCACAAATCCTCGATCGCTGTCGACCTTAAATCCGCTTCTGGGATCGCCCTCATCAAGTTTCTCATCCCACACACAGATATCGTTATCGACCCCTTCAGACCCGGGGTCCTTGAGAAGCTGGGACTCGGGCCCGGTGTCTTTCTCAGTCTCAATCCGAGGATAATACTCGGGCGCATGACGGGATTCAGACGCGACGGCAGGTACAAAGATATGGCCGGGCACGATATAAACTACATCGCCGTCTCAGGGGCATTGGCAATGCTGGGACGCAAAGGAGACAAACCTCTCCCACCTGCGAACATCCTTGGAGACTTTGCTGGTGGAGGAGCGACATTGTTCCAAGGCATCTTACTTGCGCTATTGGCAAGAGAGAAGAGCGGAAAGGGTCAGGTGGTAGAAGCCAATATGGTGGATGGGAGCGCCTATCTTGTTACGCTTCCCAGAATGCTAATGAAGACGCCGATGTGGGATAGACCAAGAGGAGAGAACACCTTGGATAGTGGGTGCCCATACTACGACACATATGAGACGAAAGACGGCCAATATATGGCTGTTGGGGCGCTCGAGCCACAGTTCTTTGCGGAGTTGATCAAGGGATTGGGATTGGCTGGTCGGGGTATTGAGAAGACAAGAAACGACAGAAACACGTGGCCTGGGCTGAAAGCCGCCTTCACGAGGCTTTTCCTGCAGAAATCGAGATCGGAGTGGGAGAAGGTGTTCGACGGTACCGATGCCTGCTGCACGCCGGTTCTCGACTATCGAGAATTAGAAACAGACCCAACCAGAGAGGGAGATCAAAGGCCGGCAGTCACTCTGCGAGACACTCCCGGCTTGGCTTTATCGGAAGGCCCACTATCGAGAGACCCTGCTACAGGGCAAGGCCCTGGAATCGAAGGGGGAAGTTTTAGCGGTGTCGTACTTTCCCCCGGCGAAGGTGGTGAAGACACGCTGAAGGAGTGGCTGGGATGGAAAAGAGGTAAAGACTTCGAAGTGGAGAACGGAGGCCTGGTAAGGAAACCATCTTCCAAATTATGATTGGCTGTTCTTACTATCAATACTTTTCCCCCCATCCCTCTGGCCAGCCTTCTAAGGAACGCCTCAAACCCAGTCTACATTTCACCAAATTAAACGAGTGTCCACCCTTCCCGTGCGGGCCCCATCATGCCATTATATCCCATCTGTTCGCACTCTCATTTCTCAAGGCCATGCCGGGCGTAAAGTGTCGTCCAAATCATATCGTTGTATTCGCGAAGATGGATGACCGAACGAGGCTGCCGGCAAGGCTGGAGGGATGACTGCTCAAAATGTCAGCTCGGCTCATTATGCGGCTGAAAATGACTAACATGCCTCAACCCAAATATCCATCATTATGGATATTGTCAATAGTCCTCGAAGGACTTGGAGGCGGGTTGGGAGGAGGAGAAGGAGGGTCACCTCTCGATGCATCAGGCATGTTTGCGACCGAATTTGAGGCCGAGGTAACGAAAGTGAGTTGCTGATTCGAAGTTGAATTCGAAATTTGACGTCGGACAGCGACAGCGCTCTGAAGTCTCAATGGACGAACAGACAAAAGGTCCTGTACAACAACAGCCATCTTCCCCAGCAGAGCAGGAACGACCCGACAATTTATATTCTTCCCTTCTCTCTTCCAGAAAAATAAGAAATCAAAAAACGTCTCGGTTTCCGTTTGCCGAAATCCCAGAGAAAAAGCAAGCAGCAACTAAGCGGGCGCCACTCGGGGAATAACAGTATGTCTCTCAGCTGTCGATGGATCTGCGTCCCTGCAACTCTGCTTTTTGCGGCTGAGCTCTCGAATTTCGAGTGGGAAAACGATCGACCATTCAAGGACTTAAATACCCATGCTCCGTCCCAGCCCTAAGGCATCCCACGGTTCCCACCCCTTTCTTTCTCCAGCCTTGGAATTGCATCCCACCTGCCTCCCGCTTCTCTACACCAGTAATTCGACTGGAGATGGAACAACGCAGCAGCCAAGTCGATTGACAAGCGTCGCACAGCAAACAGCTGGCCTCTGCCTCCCGAGCGGAAGGGAGGGAACGAACGCCTACGCCTCGCCCAAGGCAATACCCGTCTCTGTTTCATCCCCTTCTCCACCTCTCAGCTTGGCCCGAGCCTGCGAGCACCTGGTAATTGCTTTGCCTTGTCACCCCTGTTCCACTTCCACCTGCAGAGCCCTCCGTCGGAGGTGTTCTCTCCGCGCTTCCACAGCTTCGAGATCTTTCCTGCCGTCGGCAGCCCGCATGTTTGGCCGCTAAGCTTATGTGCCACAAACGTGGGCGCGCCCCGGCGCAGGCAGTGCGGATCCGGGAAGCCGGTTCGCTGCCGTTTATGTTTCGTTTCCCTGCTGTCTCACCCTACTTTATTTTTTTGACGGGACCTGAAAGGCGTGCAATCCAATGGAAGGGGAGGCGTCTCCAGTGCCACGTAAGATTGCTTGCCGGGAAACACCACCCTCACGCCAGCGAGTCAATGGCTGATCGATCTGCGGACGATCCCCAAAGCCCTGTCACTCGTTCAGAACACAGTCCAGCTTCCTCCCTCTTTCTTGACTTCAAGCTGTAGACCAATTGGTTAGTTAGTTACTGAGTAGGACACAGGCGGTGGAGATTAAGTTCAGGCGGCCTGTCTATCCTCCACCTTTACTTCTGCGGCAAGGCTTGCTGCAAGGCTGTGGCAGCAAGGGCATAGGTAGGGCCGCTGCAGAAACGAGATCTCTGTGTCCGATCTAGATCGCTGTGCGCTGTGACAGCTCACTCCTCACTCCATCGTATCGAGCCGTTCGGTCGCCTCACGGAAGATAATAAGAATGAAACATGCCAACCAGCCATGCCCTCCGTCTCCACAAAACCAGATAAAGCATACGTTACCTCCCTATGATTCATCGTCATGCTGTGATCTGAACTCGCCTTTCGAGGTCGCCGAGCTGTGTAAAGCAAAATATGTCTAAGGTTCACGTTCGAGTTGAGTGGATTGGCAGGTAATGAATCTCATGCTCGCACTATCTAATGTAAAGGTAGCAGAGAAACGGAAATAAACAGAAGCTTCCATACAATCACAATCTTCTCGCCTCTTCTCCCCATTCATTGTACCCATTCGCCTTGTCTTGCGTGCTAAATGTCCCAAATCACCCAATCAACCCAACCAACCTATCGTGTCCCATCCTCCACGTCATTCATTACTTAGGGTCGTGCGCCAGAAGAGGTATCGTATCAATTGATAATGCTAGGAAGAAAGAGTCTAGGGTGCAAGCATATTATCTTGCTAGTGAAAAGTTTCTATACCATCCGGTCGGATATGCCACCTCCCTTCCCTCGCCAGCCAACCTCCGTCATCCGGTTGGATGGGTCCTTACGGTCAGTTTCGATCCGAGTACTATTGAAGGCGCGTCTATTGCACTTGGCTGACGATCTCGCTGGCACGTGATAGGGATTCAACCATTTGTTGGCACTCCTTTCTCCGACGGATGGTGTAATCGCTCTCCTTCAAGAGGTCATCGAGTGTGTCCGTGCGGTACATGTTCTCAAGGAGTTCGCGTTGCATCTCGTCTTTTGTGAATCTATGGAAGGTCAGCTGGGCCATCGGGAAAGAAGGAGGGGTTGTGCTTACTGCACAAGGTTGAGCATGATTGCCTTTGGCACCATATCAATCATCGTCCTCTTGACAATGTTGTAGTAAGAGTTGATGAGAAGTTCTACGATTGTTAGTCGAAGGCTCTTATTGGCCAGAATCTCAACTTACTAATGACTTCAACTTCAACCCCTTCCCTCTCGGACAAAGTACCTGATGCCTTGAGAGTTGGTGGTGGGGCTTCCATAGCGGCCATCTTCTTCTTGTTCTTCGAGGCAAAGAAACTGCCAAAGAAGCCACCGTTTGGATCATCGGACATGCCAGCGAGGGTTGGACTTGATGCTCGGACTGGCGTAGCTGATGCCGGCATTGGCTTACCAGTCTTGGGATCAACTTGAATGGGCTTCGCTGCATTATGCTTATCGTTGACAAGGGCCATAGCCTGCTGAGAGTTAGATTTGTGGAGGAAAATAGAGATAAGAAACATACCCTGTGACCATTCAAAAAATCCGGATGTCCTGTGTTGATGTAACATGATTCCATAGCTACCAAATCCTTCACCAACTTGTTTGTAGGGTCCATAGTCTTCTTAAAGAAGCTGATGACTACTTGGTGGAATTTCTCTTTCAACTGCGGATATCTTCGGAAGAGTTGCTTGCCCAATAATTGTGTGAGGATTCTGACAAGTTCGTCATAGACCAGTGACACACACTTCAAACTTGGCTCCTCTAAGCGCTTGATCTGTTGCTTGACAATAAGTTCGAATGCGGCTGTGTTAACGAAGAGAGCTGGCGAAGAGCCGGAAGAGTTGTAAAGAATGGTTCTGATATCGATATCCTTGACCTGATCGAATGGATCCACAGCCTTGACGCCATTTGCGTACAGTTCATGGAAAACGAAACTGATTCTGGCACCTCCTGATAGCTCCACGCTTGACAATTCGGTATTATTTCCTTCCAGCACTGTTCGCCATTCGTTCGTGAACTCAGTGATGATGTTGAGAACGATGTTCCCGCTGTTGCCCAGCATCGAGTCTCCCAAGCCCTGAAGTTCCGTGGTATATTTCTGCAGCGAAGCCTGGATACGGGCCTTGATATCTGGCAGGGTTTGCTTGATGTGCATCATCAAGATCAGATTAAGCTTCCTCGCCAAGTATGGGGTTCCACAGTATGAGCTCTTGTTTCGGTATGCTTTGTGGTTTTCGAAGAAATTCTTCTCGTTTTCCAATGCCGCCGTGATCGCCTTCTTGTTGTCGATATCCCTCTGTCCTCTGTTCACCACTGGTACATATCCTAATCTCAAGGGGATAATTCGTCCAGCCAAGATATCCACAACATCGGTTCCTTCGTCCATCAAATCCACCTTCGTCAGAACACCAATAGTTCTTTGGCCCTCGGGGTCAACTTCTCTCGCGAGTTTCAGGCCATCCGAATTGGCTAAATCGGTATTTGCTCCCGTGACGGCTAGAATGATGGCGTTTGGCTTGCTGATCTGCTTGAGCACCATCTCCTTAATCTGCCTCTCGATATCTCTTGGCTGATCACCGACCGGGACCTTTGTTAAGCCAGGCAAATCTACAAGTGTGAGTGTAAGGACGTTGGGAGAATATATTCGCAGGTTGATGGGTGCGGGTGAGATGCCGGCATTGCGGCCAGTCTTAGCTTCTGTCTCCTTGACAATCTCATCTCGGATCTTGTTGAAGTCGTGGAACTTTTGGCCTGGAATATGCAGGAACTCGCCCCATTCATCTACATTTGCTTCCTTATCTTGCCCTGCCGATATGCTCTCTTGCTTGACTCCATTTGTCTTTACTTCTCCAGGCTGACGGTTGATGAGTTGAAGGACGAGCGGCCGTCGAGTCACGATACCGGTACCTCGAGGTAAGCTGTGTAGACATGTTAAATATTGCCATCGACCCAGGACATGTGGCAGCTTACAAGTCTCGGCCTACTATGTTCTCCAGCACGGAGCTCTTTCCACTCGACTGACTGCCTACCACGACTATTTGAGGGAGATCGATAGGGTTCTGTACGCCAACGGTCGTGAAGACGTCCTGGAGCTTGTTCACCAGCCTGCAGAGGGAGTTAGTTTCGAGGCGCAGAACGGAGGATTTCGGGGGGTTCTGACGTTATGAGACCAGGGTCTGAGATACCGCCGGCTGCGGGAACTTGGGCCATGGCGGAAGAGTGCGAGGGATGTTGCAGTGTTTGGTGCGGGTGTGTATATCGTGAGGGTGATGGTGGAGCAAAGGTGAGGGTTTATGGGAATCGTTTCGCCGTTGCCTCGCTGAAATTCGTGGTTGTTGACGATGCATACGCAAGTTGGCGCGAGTGGACCAGCAGGGTTTCAACGTGTGGCTTGCCTCGCCTGTGACAGCTTTGCACTGCCACACCCAAATCAGGAGGACTTCGACTTCCTTCCGCTTTTGATGAAAAATTTGACCCTTTATCGAAAGTCACCAAAAGCACATAGTACATTAACGTCTCTGGGAATTCCGTATGTTGCACTTTAGGTCCCGAATATCTGTTTAGCGATTCACACCCAGAATCAAAAATCTCGTGACTGCAGTCAGTCTCAGAAGTCACTTCTTCTATGCTTTTCACAAAGACTTTTTATTTCATTTTTGAGCATGATCCGTTCATAGGCTAAACGCTCACTAGATAAACCTCATACCGTTCGTCTCTGAAAGTCTCAGAATCAGGACCCGGGCTTACGGGGTGGGTACGACGCGTCCCGTTCCGCCACCAGGCAACCAGATAATACTTCCCATGTGAGCAGACTCGAGGAATTGTGGTAGCGAGAACCCCTTTCCAGCACTAGAAAATCTACTGTTTACTTTCAATCTCAAGAAACACCTTCTCCCGAAGTGCTGCTGGACATTCAGGGTCTCTTTTCAACTACAAAGAACTGCCTCTCCTTGTCTCCCGACCCATTCCATCCTCAAAATGGCACCCAAAACCATCACCATCATCGGCTCCCTCAACACGGATCTCGTTACCGTCACTCCTCGAGTCCCATCAGGAGGTGAAACCCTCACAGCCTCTTCCTTCTCAACCGGTTCGGGAGGAAAAGGAGCAAACCAGTGAGTTCCCTCTCTCTACTCCATAGCCCAGACTGTCCCGAACGGCAACTCCACTCCCCCCCCCCAATAACAACTAACTCCCCCTCTTCTCTCACAGAGCAGTAGCCACCGCCCGCCTCTCCCGGCCCAACCCCTCCTCAACCTCCGGTCCTCAACCCGTCTCCATCGCCGTGAAGATGATCGGAGCAGTAGGCGCAGACGCATTTGGACCCGTCCTCATCACCAGCCTGCAAGAATCATTCATCGACACCACCTCCATCTCCATCATCCCTAACCAGTCCACCGGCGTAGCAGTAATCCTCGTCGAGTCCTCCTCCGGCGAAAACCGCATCCTACTCTCACCCGGCGCGAACGGTACCCTGCAACCTGATGATTTCATGAGTGCAGAGAGTCTGGGCAGTCCGCTGCCGGATTTAGTGATTTTGCAGCTGGAGATCCCCTTGCCGACTGTGCTGCAGATTATTCACACCGCGAACGGAGCAGGTGTGCCGGTGCTTCTGAACCCAGCTCCCGCTGTCCCGTTGTCGGAGGAGGTATTCCAAGGTCTAAATCACTTAATCGTCAACGAATCCGAAGCAGCCATCTTGACAGGAAGGGCTGTGGAAGAAGTAGAAGCCGAGGACTTCCAGTGGGACGTCGTCGCGCGCGAGTTCTTGAAGCGAGGAGTGAAGAACCTGATCGTAACTCTGGGATCCAAGGGAGCTTACTACGCTTCTTCTGTTGGAGGTGGTAAGAGCGGATTTATTAAAGCAGAGAAGATAAAAGTCGTTGATACTACTGCTGCAGGGGACACGTTTGTGGGCGCTTACGGTGTACAAGTTGTTAATGGAAAGGAAGACATGGGGGAAGTGGTTAAGCTGGCGTGTAAAGCAGCCGGAAAGACATGTGAGAAGAGCGGTGCGCAAAGTGCGATTCCGTGGGGTGATGAAGTTGGCGGGCTACATCTAAGGTAAAATAGGTGAAGATGTAGAAGATATCTTTTTGGGAAAAAACAAAAGGAGCCACGCGAATGGAACCGAGGGTACGAGTCAAGGCGAGTTGAGAATCGGCGCATCAAATGGTTACCTACAAAGGGCCTTCTTGCTACGGCCTGCACTCCATTTCATGTCTGCACTCGCATCTCAAGTCATCTACTCCCAATCCCATGCCCGCCCCCGGCCTACAGCCAAAATCACCGAATCCATTACACCCACCAACCAACCCACAATCACGACAATCTATCGTCTAAAACAACGCAGCGCGTGCATGCATGCTGGAACCAACCGGAACCAATTGCAACCCATTCAAACTCCACTCCGCTAGAGAGAAACACCACTGCCGTGCCGTGACGTGCGTGAGAGCCCATACTCCTATACAAATGCGTGCGATTCCATGATCGTTCAAATGATCTTCTCATTCATCTTATTGATCGCTGATTGATTCTGATATGTAATTCACCAACTAATTGATGTATTGTATGAGCAATGCTTGAATGCTTGCAACTCGATTTCTTGAAAATACTGAATATCCAGTCTGTACCCGTGCGCCGACCTATGCATGACATGAATGCTGTGCTTGGTTACGTCCCGGTTACCGGAACTTGGACTCCGAGAAGGGGAATGTCTTGAATGGTTTGTCTGCCATGTCTGTCCATCTGGAAGCTTGTTAGTTTTGGAGTTAAATATGAGCGGAGGGGACATACATTCGAACTTTGTGGTCGTCGCCTGCGGAGGCGAACATGGATGGGTTGGTGGGACTCCACGCTATTGCGTTGCAGCACCCCTTGTGGGCTTCGAGCTTCTCGATCAGCTGACCGGTTTCCTTGTGCCAGATGAAGACGTGGCCATCTAACCATATTAGCAAAGAACAAAGAATTCAAGGGCGTTGGGACCTACCTTCGCTTCCAATAACAACGAAGCTCTCATTTGCACCACCATACGCAGCTCTGATGACAAAATGCCCAGCCTTTTCACCAGACCTGAAAGTTCGAACCGTTTCCCGAGTATCCAAATCTATCATTCGAGCATCGCCCGCCACGTTGTGGGCGAGTAGATACCGAGAATTCTGACTTATGCTCACAGAAGCCAGTTTCGTCGTCAGATCAAGCTCATATTCGAGCTCGCGAGTAACGAAGTTGTACACGTAGATGTGGGTTTCACATTCCATGGCAACCAGGAAGTGTCCATCAGGAGACACGGCAAGATCCTGTATTCGGTGTGCTCTTCTCCAGTCGTAGGTGAGCTCGCCTCTGATATTCCATTGGCAAAGATTCTTTTCCTTGTCGAGACACCCTGTGATGAACGATTGCCCGTCTGGTGCCCACGCAACGCTGCTGACTGGCTGGCCAAACCGAGGTAGTCTTACTTTGACGTTTCCGGTCTAAAATTAGATGTCAGCATCATGCCCCTACAAATGACGAGTTGAACTCACCAGCGTGTTCCATAAAATGGCATCTTTATCCATCGCAACCGTAACCATCATCGTATCATCAGGACTCCAAGCTAATGAGCATATCCCGCCTTCGGAGTTTGTAAGACTTTGAAGGACATCCCATGACTCGACATCATAAATTATGACTGTGCCATCGCCACCACAACTTGCAAGGCGTTTCCCATCATGTGAGAATTGGACTTGCCACACCTCACCAGTATGCTTGGTGAGATCTTTCGAAGGATACCTGGGAAAGTGATCCGGTTGGCAAGCGTGGTCTTGATATAATGATGGCGACGTTGAGGTGTTATGATAAAGACAATTCGAAATTTGATTTCTTTTTACTTGTTGCAGAAGAATGGCGAGTCGGCGTTCTGGTAACATGACCGAAGGGGATATGCATTCTGAATGGTCAGCTTGTGTTTTTGGAGAAAGTTTCACAACTCACTTGACAAGTTAGATAACAGTTGATGCCGTGAAGCTCCTTCCGCGCCATCCCAGTCTGCTTTAGCTTTGAGGTCATCGATTGATTGTGACATTAATAAGCTGATTCGAGATGTTAGACAAGATCAAATTTTGGGGACTGGCAAATCCTTACCTTGAAAGAAAGTGAAGTTTTCCGGTATCCTGGTCCAACGGGGTCAACTCTGAGCGAAGAACCATCAAAGCTCTCCCAGTATCACGTTGTTCTAATAATTCCAAGAACTTTTGCTGTCTTAACCAGAACCGCATTACGTTCTTGTCAACACCAGGTTGCAGGACCAGCCCAGGTCCGTTGATACTGACGCCTCCTTCCTCCGTGGACCCGCCAAACAGCAGTTCTTCTGCTTCTGTCCATTCTCCTTGCAGAACAGCATTTCTGAATGCTGCAACAGTTGGACTCTCGAGGTCATATCCACTTTCTTGGCTTAGGCTTCCCGCAGCACCATTGTATCCCAAGTCCGTCAAAGCCTGTATCAATATCCTCGTCACTTCTTCCCGGTCGTGGCCAAAATAAGACATCCGCTGCTTGCCACCCGAATTCGAATGCCCATTTGTAGTCGATGACCCGTTCATGACTACCGAGGACCGTCTCGTGCCATTTGCCGAGTTCGACAAGGCAGCTTTATGCAGAGGGGAAACCCCGGATCCATTTGCGAATGGTCTCGAGGTACCGTTTGAGTTGCTGCTTTCTCCCTCTAATCTCATTCTAGAACCCTGACGCTGTCGCTTTCGACGATGCTCGTTCTCGGCCGACTGCACATCCACTGAGTCCCTGGGACTCGCGTGAATGTCTTCCTGCTCCTCGGAATCGGGCGAGGGGTCTCGACGTCTGCGACCGAGGATCTGGTTCTGGGACGGTCGGGCCTCCTCGGACTGTTCTCGAGAGGTGCTGGCGGCGGAGCTTGCTGTTTCTTGTGCTGTGGGTTGTTGTTGTGATAGCTGGTTGTTGGGGAGTGGGGCTGAGATTGCTGTGCTGGAAGGTAAAGAGGGGGTTGTCGGGGTGGATGGGTCGTCGGAAGTGGATGGGGATGATATAGAAGGTTGGGAGCGATCGTCAGCCAGGACGACTTCTGCGGGAGTGCCGCCGGGAGAGAGCTCGCTGGGATGGCGTCTCTGGAGACGTGATGGCAGAAACCCGGCTTGTGGTGGTGGTCGTGATGCAGTCAGTCGTTGTCTTGGATTTACCCGATTTAAGCTCGAGCGTGGGCGCTAGGCAGGCAAATAGGTCAGTCGATGGGTGCGTGGATCCCGGGTAATATATTCTTCGATACTCGTGTCGCGATGGTGGTGAATGCTGTCATTCTCGAGGACATTCGAGTCTGTGCCAGCAGTTGAGCCAGGTCGTCAACGCTGGGCTGGCCATAACATAAGCTATCAAGGTCCAGGTTTGGGCTAACCGTGCGGGTCAGATCTCCCGACGGCACAGTGTGCTCATTGGCTGCAGGGCAACTCGAGGTGCTGAGTTATCACAGCCAGGCGGTCCTTGCCTTGCCATGTGATGATGCGGATTGAAAAGTTCGGAGGGAGGCGTGCAGGTGTGTTGTTTGTGTTTATTTATGCAGGACTGACTTTCACTAACATGATATTCACTATCACTCGGAACATGCTAACTTCTGATCGGAGAATTCGCCAAAACTTAAATGTCAACAATTCATGTTCACTGACTGACTGCCCGCGCTCTGTGGTGGGGGCTTTGAATCGAAGGTCCTTCTTCTCCTCGCTAAAGCTCTCGCCAAGGTCCCCAGCCAAGCCCGCACCTATCCTGCCTGCTATCTTCCTGCACCTGCACGACCTCCCCGTAGCTCCAGCTCGACACTGCTGGCCAATTGATAAACGTCCTAATCGTGCGGGTTGATGAACGTTGGCCTTAGACCCCGTCTGAAAGCTCGTCCTTCCTTATACGACCTCGTCCGCAATCGCAACATCGACCAGCTCTCGGTCCAGCCATTTCGAAGCTTCGTTGAAGAGCTGCCTGCAGAGCTCCCCCCATTGCCCTTGTCCCCCGACAAGAACCTCTCAACCCCTCCTACTCCGGTTCTTTCGATCTATCCAGAACCTGCAGAGGAACCGGCCAAGATGGCCCCAAAGAAGGAAGTAGCCAGAGATGCAGATGGAGAGGAGCAATATGGCATGTCTCAGTATCCCCCAGCAGTGCAAACTCAAGCTAATGGTAGCTATGCAGGCTCGATTTACTCGGTTTCTGGGTATGCTATGCTCTTATGCAAGTTGATACCCCGATGTTGACTGTGTGCAGGCCCGTCGTGGTGGCAGAGAACATGATTGGTGTTGCTATGTACGAATTGGTACGGACGAAACTTCGAGGTCAGTGGCACAAGGCTAACATCTCCCAGGTTCAAGTCGGTCACGATAACCTCGTCGGCGAAGTCATTCGAATCGAAGCGGACAGAGCTACAATCCAAGTATACGAGGAGACGGGTATGGGATATCTCTGGAAAATGTGTAGGATAGTGCTGATTAAATATAGCTGGTGTTACTGTCGGAGACCCTGTCGTTCGAACCGGAAAGCCCTTGTCTGTCGAATTGGGACCTGGTTTGATGGAAACTATTTATGATGGTATTCAGCGGCCTCTCAAAGACATTGCGGACAAGTCGAAGAGCATTTACATCCCTAAGGGTATTTCTGCGCCAGCTTTGAACAGAGAAAAGAGCTGGGATTTCAAGCCTTTGATGAAGGTCGGAGATCATATCACTGGTGGAGACATCTGGGGTACTGTTTACGAAAACTCTCTACTGGACGACCACAGGATCCTGCTTCCACCCAGAGCCAGAGGTACAATCACTCGAATTGCGGAAAAGGGGAGCTACAAGGTCGACGAGAAGATTTTGGAGGTTGAATTCGATGGCAAAAAGACCGAGTTCAGCATGATGCATGAGTGGCCGGTGCGCGTTCCTCGCCCTACCACCGAGAAACTTGCAGCGGACAAGCCCTTCGTTGTCGGTCAGCGTGTGTTGGATGCTCTCTTCCCCAGTGTTCAAGGAGGGACCGTCGCCATTCCCGGAGCTTTCGGCTGCGGTAAAACCGTCATTTCACAATCCGTATCCAAATTCTCGAACAGCGATATCATCATCTACGTAGGATGCGGAGAACGTGGCAATGAAATGGCTGAAGTCTTGATGGATTTCCCGGAGCTATCCATTGATGTTAATGGACGAAAGGAGCCAATCATGAAGCGTACCACGCTCATTGCCAATACCTCGAATATGCCTGTTGCTGCTCGAGAAGCTTCTATTTACACTGGTATGATAATCCCTCTCTCTGCACCTTCCCTTCAGCACCGTCCTTCTGCATATAGCGCCTGCCTTCAGACCTAGTGGTTTGCACCTGCCTTCTCAATACGACGACGATATGTCGTCCTCCTCCCAGAAGATGTTCTTCATCATCATCCGCCGAGCATCAGACCATCGACCTCAACGACGTCTCTGTGTGCAAGAAGATCATTGGAGGAGTATCTTGTTGTAGATCTCCCCAGCTGCCTTCACCTGAGCTCATTGAAGTCTCGTTTAAAAGAGGTTATACAAAGAGGTAAGTTCTCCGAGATTGCTCCCATCGCTGCACTCTCGCTAACAGCACCGAGTGGCAAGAATCGGTAGCCCTGATTCCTACGGGTTGAAGACATGAAGCAAGCCTCGGAGCAGACCGAGTCAATTGACTCGGACGGCGTCCAAATCGAGGACCTCGGTTCCAACACCGATGACAGCTCTGAAGAGTTCGACGATCTGGACATCGACGAAGGCGATCTCCTCAACCTCGATGCTGTTCAACGGATGGTCGAAGACATGACATGGAAGCTTGTACAAATAACTGCACCCGATTGGTATCTCAACCCGAGCTTCAAAGTTCTGTTCGACACACGCTCCGCATACGACAGCATAGCCGCATGCTCACCTCTTGAATTCCCACCAGACATGCAAGACGTTCTCACCCGCTCTGAGCCTCCTGGAATCAGCTTCTTTAAGTCTTTGCCGAAGCCTGTTTGTAAAGTGTGGGCAATCTATGGCATCACTATGGAGAAGTTTGGCTGCAACCCCAAGCTGTATGTTGGCTCTGGTACCGATGCCACTCTTGGAGTTTCGGATAGGCTTAAGAACTATGGACCCGGTCACGCCATGCTTCCTCGGCTCGTGCGTGAAGCATTTCGTCAAGGCTACCACATTTCACATCAAGGTCCACTTTGCTGGACACCGTTACCGTCTGCAGGCCTTGTTCCCCGGGTTCGAGCTCGGTTTCTACTACTTGAAGCAATCTTTACATGTCTGTTTCACGCCTCGCGTGCATCTACTTCAGATGTGTTGTACCAAGATGTGCTGCTCTGGGAACGACAGACGGTAGAGTGGGAGCCTCTCGGCACACATCTGCCTCTCCGCGAAAAGATTCTCGGGAATTTAGACTTGAGTCCAGATAAACTTGAGATTATCGCACACCTCAGGAAAGAGCACGATGCCAAACGCATTTCACAGTGGCGGCTAGCAAAGAAAGCAAAAGACCCAGATGCCTTCCGTGCACATGGCCGGGTACAGAAGAATGCTTGGGCTGCGAAGCACAGAGACAAAGTCAACAAGACTGCAAAAAAAGTCAAAACCAAAGCCAAAACCGAGCAACGCTTCTATTGTGGTGTCTGCGAGATGCCCTTGCAGAGTCAGGCCGCACTGGACAAACATCTGGCGAGTGAAAGCCATGCGAATCGGGCGGCCGGAACCGAGAAGTCCGAGACATCCCAATACTCCATCAATAGGAAAACAAAGCGCGCCAAAGCTAAAGCCAAGGGCAAACACCATTGCCACACCTGCAACAAAGGCTTCGGGACTGAGTGGGACTTGAATCGTCACAAGAACACTCCATCCCACAAGAAGGCGGCCCGAGAAGCTCAGGCTTCTCAATAAGTCTCTCAGTGCTGCTGCTTATTCTTATCGCATATCACTACAAATCGGGAGCCTCGATTTCCTGCTATTTTGGGTTTTGCCATCGTTCCGACGCCGTCCATCAAACATCGCACAATCGACACTGTTCATTTACATCGCATACTGGCTGCTGTATCATCAGGCATCTGCTTCTGGCCGCTGTCTCATCACACATTTCATTCTGTTCATCCTCAACACACGCTAATCTTTTATTACACGAGCTAATCATTGTTTTTCATGTAGGAATAAGTAAGATACTCCTCCCCCCTCCTTGCACCTTCGCTTCAGCATCATACTGTTCATCCTTACACATACTAATCATTGCGTTTCATAAGCTGTCGCCGAGTACTTCCGTGATCAAGGCAAGGACGTTGCCATGATGGCTGATTCTACGTCTCGATGGGCTGAGGCTCTTCGAGAAATTTCTGGTCGTTTGGGAGAAATGCCTGCTGATCAAGGTTTCCCTGCATACTTGGGTGCTAAGCTTGCTTCTTTCTACGAACGTGCTGGAAAAGTCCAAGCTCTTGGTAGCCCCAATCGTGAAGGAAGTGTCAGCATTGTCGGTGCCGTCAGTCCTCCTGGTGGTGATTTCTCAGATCCCGTGACTAGTAGTACGCTTGGTATCGTGCAGGTCTTCTGGGGTCTCGACAAGAAGCTCGCTCAACGAAAACATTTCCCCTCAATAAACACCTCAGTCAGCTACAGCAAGTACACCAACGTTCTCGACAAGTACTATGAGAAGGATTACCCCGAATTCCCTCGACTTCGAGACCGTATCAAGCAGCTGCTCTCCGATTCTGAGGAATTGGACCAGGTCGTGCAATTGGTCGGAAAGTCCGCTTTGTCCGATCCCGACAAGATCACTCTCGATGTGGCTGCTTTGATCAAGGAAGATTTCTTGCAACAGAATGGTTATAGTGATTACGACCAATTCTGTCCCATCTGGAAGACTGAATGGATGATGAAGGCAATGATGGGTTTCCACGATGAGGCACAGAAGGCTGTTGCTCAAGGTGCCAACTGGAACAAGGTTCGAGAAGCTACTGGTGAGCTCCAATCGCAGCTCCGAAGCATGAAATTCGAGGTTCCTAGCGAGGGTGAGGAGGTGATCACGAAGAAGGTATGTCTAATCACTTTCCATGATTGAAATTCCGCTGACAGGCTATAGTATGAGGATTTGGTCCAAGCTATGACTGACAAGTTTGCCTCTGTCACTGATGAGTAGATATGGAAAGGGACGAGGAGAAGAAGATTGGTGATTGCATTGCTTGCTCGGGCTGTCGATGAGTACTGTTGCTGATAGAAATGGGTGGATGTAGTATATATTTCTTAGGATGAGTTTATCCTCACTACATTCCTGCACCCTTTGATCCCCATTTCCGCAATGTATTTACCGTGTATTGTATTCTTGAAAGCCCTTGCTTTTCATTGTGCCTGCTGCACATAGATCATGTCCCACTGAGCCGGGTGGTTCAAAGCGATGTGTATCTCTATCATCTCCCAAGACTTGTAGTGTTTTCTCGAATCCGAGCAATTCTGCTCACTCAAGACTACTGTAGGGTAATCAACCCTGGTGTGAGACTGTGTTCCCCTCCACAACTCTGACTCTTTGGCAAAGTCGTCGAACCCTATCGAAATGCCTTGCGGAGGGGGATGGGATCACGTGCTGGGTGGACACATGCTTGTAACCGGGCAGTGGACGGTTCCTCTTGCTTCTAGTGGAGGCCATCTGACCTGCGTGGCTGGAGAGGGCGTGTTGGACAAATGCCAGCTTACCCGCGTCCGTGTCCAAGCACGCAACATTGCATCCGGGAATAGAGCACTTTAGCCTACCCATAAGGGCCCGGTTTCTTCTGCATGTCTTGCTCTCGACCAGTGCTACCCTGATTGCTCTAAAGACCTCTATTGCCCTGCCATCTCATTGGACTCGTCACTCCCTGGCTGGGAGTTGAGTTCAAGGGCAGTATGAGCGCCTGAGAGAAAAAGATAAAGCCCAAAGGTGTCCCGTTGTAACCTGTCCACAGCTCCTGTCGAGGCCCGGCTTGTCAAACCCTCAACCTTTCTTTTAGAAACTTGACCTCGCGGTTATGAAGCCGTCTCATTTCCTCTCGGAGCTCCAGGTAACCCCCTCCGCAATCTGTGTAGCTCGACGATCTTCTTGCCTCTGCCCTGCTGCCACCTCGAGGCCCTTGAGCACCGAAATCTATCACTCAATCTTGCCTCTAGGTGGTGGATCTCGGGATCTAGCTTCATTTTTAGGTTAAATTCGACCGACTCCCAACAATCGCGATCTTCTTCTCGCTTTCCTCTTTGGCGGTCTGTCTATTGATTGTACTTGCTTAACATGGAACATTTGAGAGCCTCCGATTTCGAAGGGATAACGTGACAAGGTTTGAGTTGAATTGTACTTACAATTCATCAAACTTGCCCAGGACTTAATTCTCATTCTACTTCGTTCATATTCAACCTCATGCAGTCTTCGATTTTCCTTGCACTTGCTTGATGGGTATAGTTGCAGTCCTTGGTTTTCATTGTACCTGGTTCACATAGAACATTCTATAGCCCTAAATGTCCATTGCTCTTACAAGACTAGAACCTTTGAGTGTACTCAACTTGGTGTGCTATTCTCCTCGTATAAGCTCCTTTTGCCATCTATGTTGCTTAACAAATTCACCCGGCCTGGTGAATTCTAGCAACATGTTCTATTTAAATTACTTCCCCTCACCCCTTTATATCGCTCTAATGTCTAGTGGAAGGAAAAGGAAAACCCGCTCGGCTCGCAAAGTTCTGCTTTCGATCTCGTGCCCTATCCAACCTCCCACCAAATCGCCTCGAAATCTGCCACGATGGATGAGGAAACCATTGACCAGCAGCCACCGACGGGGACAAAACGCGACCGAGACTCCGATACTCCTTCTCCCGATACGAAGACGAAAAATCCTTCTCTGCCGAAACGAGTCAAGACAGGAGATAACGATGACAAAGAGATTGAGATTGATGGTGAGTAGTACTCTCGCATCGCGTTTTGTTCGCTTTGGGATATAGAACAGACTGCTAACCGTGCTTAACTAGGTCATCAGGATCAAGAACAAGAGCAACGATTAAACCAAGAAGACAATGACATCGACAAAAGCGACGCCGATCCCAATCCCGATGCCGATGCCGAAAAAGACAGCCTCTTCGGCTCTGACATTTCAGCAACGCAAGAATGCTATATCTGTCTTGAAGGGTTTCGCGAGGGGAGAGGCGAGGCGAGGGTCGTGCAGCCTTGTGGACATCTTTTGGATGTGGAGTGTTTGGTTCATTGGTTCGGGTTCCTGCAGAGCGATTTGAAAGTGGAGGTTCGCTGTCCGGTTTGTCGGGGATTGGTGAGGGGGTTTGATGATTGGGATGTTTGATGGGCGGGAATTGGAACGCAGCTTTCTGTTCATATTACTATAATGGGTATTAGAGATTGTAAACTGCTTTTTTCTGGTGAAGGATGGCCGCAGGGAGATGTTCGTGGCTTTGTCTGCAGGAGGAAAGTGAGGCTCTATTCATCGGTAGGGCTGCTGCATGTGTCACAAGATGTGTGGAAGGGAGGAGAAATTGAACGAGGGTGCGAAGAACGAGGAACGAAAGCCCTTGTCGTTGATCATGGGTTCGCATTCGGGTTCGAGTTAGGGAGGTAGGAATGACTACAGTAAGCGGACAGAAAGGGGGCTTTTTAATACCACGATCTTACTGTCTGCCTGCCAAACATCGTGATCAGTGTTTCCTTTCTTAACTCCGCCGAATTCCAATGCTATATAACATCTATTGAAGGATGGTTAAGTAAGAATATCGGTTGTTACTACGTCTCGAGTATTTCGTTTATACTCAGAAAAAGCTGCTTTCATATTTTGCCACAAACTTTTCTGCCGCAATTATTATTAGTCGTCTCCCATGCCTACTTCTACTTGATCCAGATCATTCATTTCCTTCAATAATGGATTCTGATCATCAAACAGTCAGCCGTTTGCCAACAATCTCGTTGAGGGATGCAGAGAAACTGGAAGCTAGGCATAGCCATTCAATCTCCAAGGACATCGAGGCTAAGTTAGCAGCATCTCCACTTCCTCCTCCTCCAAGTAACCCTCCCCCAAATGGAGGAGCCAAAGCATGGCTGCAGGTGCTAGGAAGTTGGATGTTGATATTCAACACTTTGGGCATCCCCTTCCCAAAATAAATCTCACAAACCACCTCTCCCACTAACACAAACCAGGAATCGTCATGATCTTCGGCGACAACCAAACCTTTTACGAATTCGGGAAGCTGTTCACCCAAACATCCTCCAACATCTCCTGGATCGACAGTCTGCAAGCCCTCCTAGTCTTCACAGTCAGCTGCGTCATAGGCCGGATCTACGACAACGGCTATCTACGCTTTCTCCTCACCGGAGCCTTCTGCATCCTGTTCGGGCACATGATGCTCCATCGCGTCGTCGTCGGTATCGAAAGCGGCTTCCTATTCGTCCCATCTTTGCAGTCATGCAGGGTACTTCAGCACCCCTGTTGGCTGGCAGTGGCTGGCAGTCGGTATCGCAGAAACGGGCAGTGCAGCAGCAGGAATCATCTACCCAGTTATTTTCACGAATCTCATTGATAAAGTGCGCTTTGGGTCGACTGTTTGAGTCATTGGTTTTGTTGCTGATTGATTGAATCTCGACCAAAAGCTCCAAATGTACTAGTGCCCAGTCCAAAAAGCCCATGCATAACCCGTGCACACCCCTGCCAGCAGCTGATCCGTCCAGACGCAAAGGACTTTTGGGCCCCTGTCCTCCGCCCGACAGCCCTGCGAGGAAAAATATGGAGCATCCTTCCTGGTAATGCGTTCTCCGACAACCTTATATATTTCATGTCATGGCAGCCTTACCCATCACAACTTCGGATTTTGTCCAGCTCAAGAGGCGCATCTTATCTTCACTTTTTCCCATCCTGTACAAGCTCAGCTTCGGCTTTTTTCGACCCCAGAGCTACTGATAAGCACCTTTTCCTTTGCTCGCATTTTCAACTGCGCCCTGTCCCTTGATTCCTCTCCAAGCATCCATTCCTGCGGCCTTTCAAGACTGACCTGTTCAAGCGACAATGGATGACTCTCATAGTCGAGCGTCAGAACTCGCGCTACCTCCCGTAGCTGGGTCCAACTTCTCTGTATGCCAAAATAATCCCAGTCGCTGTCGGCGATACAGTACCCAAGCATGGGATGCCATGAAACCCCTCATTAAGAAGTTCTATATCGATGACAATAAGTCGCTGCGCCAGCTTATGGAAATGCTCTCAAAGGAGCACGATTTCCATCCTACGTCAGCACATTTCTACTACCCTTGTCACTGCGGACATTTAGCTAAATTTTGGAAAGGTCTAAAATGTTTAAAGACAAATTCAAACTGTGGAATTTTGCTAAAAATCTCACCATCAAGACTGCATGCCCCCTCCTTGATCAGAAAACGATATCGGATGCGACGGGGCGCCCAACAATTTTGGGTCCTCATGGAAGGCCTGTAGACGAGCGACGACTCAAAAAATATCTCAGGAGGAAAGCATGGGCTCCTCTCAATCCCATATCACCAATGCAGAATCTGTCCACCTCTGGCGATAGCACGTCTACCACACCTACGTCACCCAGCGAGCTTTTGGATGTTTCAGACACATATCCAGACCCCCATAATATGCTGCCTGACGGTGGCTCCTATGAGCAGGACTGCCCTTATCGACCGTGGGCGAAGAAGTTTCGCTTTTCTGAGACATATCCTGAGTAGCCTGCCCTTACAGAAGTACTATGTATACTTGGCTGACCCCTCGCAGTGATACGATCTATCAAGGGGACTCTTTCGGATACGGCTCGTACATCAATGTTGACGAGGAAAGACCATGCACTTTTCATTGCTTCTGCCGGAAACACCATTTGCAAGAAGCCTTCACATTCGAGGTTTACAAGTCCGTGAATCAAATGCACATCACCATCTATAGTCATTCTTTGTATGACAAACTGGCTACTCATATACCCTTGGGCAATGTTGAGAGTGGTTTGGGTTGTCCGGCGAGAATAGTCAACGGGCTAGCCCTCCTCAGACACTATCATACCTTGATGAGACTGCTCAAGGATCTCCGCTCGACACTTTGCGACAACCCTGCCAACCAATCTTTGGCTCTGGAGATGGATCTTCTTGTGAATGGGTTCCTTGGGGACGGTCAGGTTTTCCAAAGCTTCGGTTATGAGAACCTTTACAAACTCGGATTCATGGACTACCAGCTTTGGAAATACTTCCAGAAGCAGAAACTCGACAAGGATATCACGGAGCTTGATGATAGTTTCTGTGCAATTGATGATGAGGAAGCGTTATCGACCTCTGAGTCTGAGTCTAGGTCAACAACCACGCTTGTGGAAGAAGCAATGGCAGATGGAGCTGTCGAAGACCTGACGGAGCCTCTACTAGATATCGATGAGACACAAGGGCCATTTTCGCGACCAGCCGGCACTGACAATCCTGAAGTCTACATCTCGACCGCCTTGCATATGACAGATGGACCGGATGCGCATGGATACTCACATCCAAGCGCTATTAGCGATTTTAACCAACTATCAGGAGCCTCGCACCAAAGCGACGAAAATGTTCTAGCGTCGCTCTGTCCACCGATATCTGGCAAATTGCGAACAGGCCTGGAACAAACCTTGTTGAACAAAGAGCTATACCTAGCAGTACGGGCGGCCGATGAAGGGAGGGTGCGGCTGTTTCTTGACCGCGGGGCCAATGTGAATAAAGATTATTCGGAAGATCTACCACTATGCCTGGCAATAGAGGCGGGTCATAAAGAGATAGTGCAATTGCTTCTTGACCGTGGGGCTGATATGAATAAGGCATATCGATGGAAAGATCCACCACTACCCCTAGCAGCAAGGGCGGGTCATGAAGGGATCGTGCGGCTGCTTCTTGACCGTGGGCCGAATGTGAATAGAGTAAATTGCTTGGGAAATCCACCACTATCCCTAGCAGCAGGGGCGGGTCATGGAGGGATCGTGCGGCTGCTTCTTGACTATGGGGCTGATGTGAATAGAGAAAATTTCTTGGGAGTTCCACCACTATCAATAGCAGCAAGGACGGGTCATGAAGGGATCGTGCGGTTGCTTCTTGACCGTGGGGCTGATGTGAATAGAGAAAATTTCTTTGGAACTCTACCACTACTCCTAGCAACAGAGGCGGGTCATGAAGGGATAATACGGCTGCTTCTTGACCGCGGGGCCAATGTGAATAATGTGGATTATTTTGGAAATCCACCACTATCCCTAGCAGTAAGGGCGGGTCATGAAGGGATCGTGCGGTTGCTTCTTGACCGTGGGGCTGATGTGATTAGAGCAGATGGTTTGGGAAATCCACCACTACTCCTAGCAACAGAGGCGGGTCATGAAGGCATAGCGCAGCTGCTTTATGAGGCTAAGATCAATGCCTTAGCCTCTGGCACAGCTTTGATTATGGCAGTGAAGCAGCGGAATGTGAACTTTGTCAGATTGTTGATCAGAGAAGGAGCAGATGTACAAGCTGCTGCACTTTACCTTCAGGGGGAAGGTGGGAACCATATGCAATGGCTGTTAAAAGTGGCTTGGGCCTCATCCGGTGCTACAAATGTTGGCAAAAAGAAAAATTGGCAGAGCACCGATTCAGATGCGTCCGAAAACAATCGACATCTCCGCCTCAAGTTCGTCGACCAATATATGTTGATGACGAAATCCGCGCAAAACTCGCAAACGAGACTACGAGACCTTCCTCGACAATTTCACAATTATCGAGAGGCTTGGAGGGCTGGAATCGAAACAATGCGAGAACTTAGTAGAGGCGAAACACCTCGAGGTGTCTATGAAACAGTCGCATTTCTTTCACTTGGGAGGGCTATCGTGGAGACGCTGCGGGACAGGAAGAATTGCGACTACCTTGAAGATTTCGAGCAGGATCTAGGTCGGTGGGGACAGCTTTTCAACAATGCGGAGGATCTTGAGGCCTATGAAGAAGCATTGAATTTGATGTGGGGTGTTGTGTATAACGAATCCACCTCAAGAGAACGAGGACGCATGGATGAGGATACCCTGATCCGTTTTCAGGAGCTCGCGTCAACTCTGGTCGGCCGCGCAAATGATCTACTCGGTTTCGAAGCATCTCGTGACAGGAGGTCAGAGCACTATCACCAAGGTTGGCCTAAAACTGGCCAGATTCCTATTGAAGACGTTCCACACAGGTTTTCAGATCACCGAAATCCGGGGGCTAAGAGCTCATCGCAACTAGAGGCAACCCCTCTCCAACACCTCAATCCAAGCAATATTTTCGACAGCATGAAGACTGATACGTCCTCTTTTGAGCCGGTGGTACTACTCTTGGTAGCTGGAGCCATATTTGCAGTTGTCGTCATGTTTCTAGAAGGTATGTCTAAGAGATAGCTGGCCACGGCGTTTTATTGCTAACAAAATGTACTTTATAGTAGCCCTGCGGCAGACGTCTAATCCCTCTGCCTTGCGTCAGATTGGGACATTGCAGGAGCGGTATTGGATTTTAGCAGCGTACCTTGGTTTGGGACACACGGGAACTCAAGATTCATTTCACATTGGGCAAGAAGAGGACCCACACGCAGGGTACGGTTTCTCTGTTTATTAGAACATTATTTGTGCGATACGCTCGAGGAGTTAAGGTTTCTAAGGCTAGTTCTACAGTATTACAATATCATTCTGATGACCTCAAAAGCTGCATTTCTCAAGGATAGACGCTACTAGCCTGACAGTTTAATATCCTGAGCACAGATATGACGTGAACGCCTAGTTTCCGTTTGCTGGAGATTGGGGATTGGATTGCTGGGTGTAGCAAAGAATCGCCGTCGCTTCGGAAGATGAGAGCTTAGTTCATTTACAAACCGGAGAGTTATATAATACAATATTAGAAAGAGTATAAAAAGATAAAGGAATATAATACAAGAAAGAAGGGTTACTATATAAATATATAGGAATTTTATAATATATAGTTTTTATTAGCTTATTTTAGTTTCTAGCTCAAGAAAGAAAGTAATTAATATTCTAAATAATACGAATTATAAGAATTACAGGAATTTATTAAATTTAAAATTGTAATAAGGATATTACAACTAATATAATAGTGCAAATATATTATATAGCAAATTAGTATATATATATATAAATAAGTTTACTTACTTTACTTGACTAATTTCTAATAAAACTTAATAAATTATTTTTATTACTTTATATTATTTATTAATTTCGAATAATTTTAAACATAATAAGTAACTAAGTCCAATTCATAATATTTCCTTAATACTTATATAAGCGATTTAATATAATATAAATTTTAATAACACGCGTTTTTCTTTGCTTCGAATTTCTTAATACTATACTTTCCTCGTATATTTGCCCCCACCCCCTCTTAGGTTTTGTTCTGCTTATCAAAGACAAGACGCCAAGGTTTTCCGATAGCAGGTTTGGTTTATACAGATTTGACACTATATTAGGAGAATGGGTGGTACTGGTTCTATCTTAGCGGATGGTTAGGACAACTTTTTCGACGGATGGTCATTATATGGGAATCACCGAGCGAGCCGAACAGCGAGGATCACTTCCCAAGATAGTCTTGCTGCCATTCCCGTTATCGGCGAGGTTGCATCAGTTGTTGGCCGTAACCCCGCAGTAATGACCAGAATCGGCCCGAGAGGTGTAACACAATGACCTGGCTGTACAGCACTATACATTATTTTGGGAGCTGATAACTACTGGGAAAGCCATGGAGTCTTTAGTCAAATCATCCTCCAAGCCCATACCGAAAAAAGAGAGAGAACAGCATCGAGGCGACAGATTGCGTTCACCTAAGTGGCAACAAATGCCACCACTTCTTTGCCGATGAGAAATGGCGCTCGTTTACGGAAGTGAACCATCAACGGCGTATTGCTATTTCACACCAAAGACAATGGCTTCGGGCTCAAGCCAGAACAGCAAGCCTTCGAGCCAGAGTACAGCCTCGGGGCCTTCCAGCTCGCCTCCCATCTCGATCCCGCAGAAGAAAACAGACCTGAAGTCTTTGATTCCGACACCTCTTGCTTCCCACGAAACAGAACCAAAAACGCCTGATCTAAGGAAGAGTCCTGCAGGCCATACCTTTGGGCCTCAATTTCCTCCCACGCCTGGAGATGCACCACCAGAGAAGCCCAAACGGATGCCAAGTCCTTCCTTTGTATTCGATCGGGCTGAAGTGATCCTTGAGAGTCTAAAGTCCGGTTTTAATACCCGCGAGAGGTTGAAACCCTTGACAGAAGAGACGTTCACTAGATTGAGAGCAGCTATCGATGGTGATACTCTATTGCCTTTTGAGGTTGAACCAGAAGCTTTCGAGGAGTGGAGTCAGAACTTCGCTGACCTCGGAGGTTACGAATACGATCCAACTCGGAAAGAGCTGAAAATCTTGACTCTACCAGGGGTCATACACGAAAGAGTTGCCGAAGCTTTCAGTAAGTGGTTTGGGAAGGTCCAAGAGACTTTTCAGCAAGAAGATAGAATGCACTTCACACACAACGAAGGTCTGTTGTACACAATTGAAGCTGATCTTGGCTGACTTGTTTCGTGGCAGACTATACTCTCGAGAACGGATCAAGTCTAACTCCCGATGGATATATTTCAGTCGAAACTGAGGGTCCTATTGTCGCAATCGAGGTGGGAGTTTCGCAACCTTTTGCCAAGCAGGTAGAAAAGGCACAAAAATGGCTCTTGAAAGGCCCCGCACGACTGGTAATACTAGTTGATATTGATATCACCACTCTCGGGAAGGGAGAATTTCCCAGTTCTTTTACGAGCTCGACTTCTTCCACACTAGGGTCTCAAGAAGCTCCACCATACGGGATCACCAAGCGAGACCTTGAGAGCCTCAAGGTTAAAGAGATAGCATCGAAGATATACAATTGGTACGACGACAAGACAGCACTTGCCAAGCTCATGCATGTTAGCCTATATCTGTACCGGCACAAGCCAGGGAATCCCAAAGCGATTAATCAAGATGCCAAGTTTGTTATCTTCGATGAGAGGAGCGGGTTTAAAAATTGGACATCTTCGGAAGGATTCGTGACCACGAATGATCTCGACATACCTATTGGCAACAAGAAAGAAAACATCGCTCTGCCGTTTGATCTTTTGAAAGCTTGCTTTGACCCGGCCCTCGAGAAGCAGCAGATCCGGATCGCAGAGAAAAAGGCGCGAGAGATATTGATCTTGTATGGACATGAACAAGACAACTCAAGTTTCCAACCCTCTTCAGGTACAGGAGAAATTCACTCGCACTTGCAAGATGCAGGACTTCATGGAGATGTCCTCGAGCGTCCACAGACAAGGCAAGAAAAAAAACGGAAGTTGAGTAGCGCAGTCGATGTTGGAAGCGACTTAGACTCCTCATTTGGTCCAGCACAAAGTTTTCAGACCACCAGTAGCGGGGTGTTCCAAATGGACCCTCCGGTTCCATCAGATGCTCCACAATTCTCACAACGATCGTCTCCCATCCCGCCAGTCGATTCACAACTACCGAAAGCTTCGCTGGCGAGTTTCTCGTCGACCGTGGGCTCAGAATCGTCGTCATCGCAACGTTCACCAAAACGCACAAAGAGGAAGAAGAATGCATAAGGAGCCTACTTGCCCCCGGTGCGATGAAGGACTGCGTAATGTCGTATTGCTAATCTATAATACGATATCCGGAACCACTTTAATATGAAACTAACCAATAACGATACTGTAAATGCGCGAAGGACAAGTTCGTAGGAGATAGTGACTCTTCTACACTAGCTATTTTTGGAATTGACGAAGCACAATAAATCGTTGTTAAACCCGAATCCTAATTTGAGACGAGGCGAGGCTGAGGTTTTGGTTGTTCCCTACTCTCGCTTAAGCTGTCCCCTACTTTCAAACTCTGCATAAGCTCGTTTATTTAGCTAATCCCTATTATCACTTAACGAGTAACGGGCCTAGCATAAGTCTGTGTTTTTAGGGCATTTCGCTAAGAAGCGACTGCCAAACACAATTTCGTACATTTTATCTTATTTTCTAAATCGCTTTAAAAGAGTGTTAAAACACACTCTAGCTTCTTTAATCGCGTGTGCATAAATTATAATAGGATATAATTAATAGTTGTGGCATAGTTGTCGAGTGAAGTGAGGAACTTTGGTTAGGCGATGCCTGAAAATGTAGCTAAAAACACGGACTATTGATACTAGGCTCGTTAGAACCATGAGGTTACAGCCGCACAGTGGCTGAGAGTCCTGCAACTTCATCCTCAGGCATTACGGTATCCATTCGACGCCACAAATCAACCCCACTCTCAGTGCCAACGTCGTCGAAGTTTCATTACAACCTCGTCTTCAACAGCCCCTTAATCTGAGCGAGACCCGGCACAGCCTAATTCTCTTTCGGCAAATATGCGTCTCATAAACACAACGTCTTACTTTCTCGAGGAATTCTTCGGCGACAACACTCCCAATTACGCTATCCTTTCCCATACTTGGGGGGCCGAAGAGGTCTCCTATCAGGAGTGGATTTATGCCCATAATCAAGGCATTGCGAGATGGGGCTGGGTTAGGATTGAAGAGGAAGTTGATCGTATCAAAGCCAAATCCGGGTACAAGAAAATCTTGAATGCCTGCCAGCAGGCTCGATCCGCCAGCCACCAATGGATCTGGGTGGACACAAACTGCATCGATAAGAGTAGCTCATCCGAGATGTCGGAAGCCATCAATTCCATGTTCAATTGGTATCAGAAAGCCAAAGTTTGCTATGCCTATCTTGCTGACGTCCCGAGCATGAACGAGCAAGTTGCAACATCACGGCAAAGCGCCTTTCGCAGTAGCCGCTGGTTCACCAGAGGATGGACGTTGCAAGAGCTGATAGCACCGGCATATCTAGATTTCTACTCTTTAGACTGGAATTTCATCGCCTCGAGAGAGTCATTGGCGCAATGCGTGAAATCCGTCACAGGAGTACCGACTTCGTGTCTAGGCTCTAATCCATTCCAATCTCGGCGCCATTCCATCGCAGCAAAACTCTCGTGGGCGTCAAAACGGAGGACTACTCGCATTGAGGACAGTGCATACTCTTTGCTCGGGATCCTCAATGTGCACATGACCCTTCTCTACGGCGAAGGCGAGAACGCCTTCCTGCGACTTCAGGGCGAGATTATAAAGCGTAGCGCAGATCAGAGCCTATTAGCTTGGGATGTCGAATTGCCCTATATCCTCAGTGAAAACGTCTCCCCTCTTTTCACTTACGAAGACGCGTCCGATGACTCACTTGGCGTTGCTTGTACAAGCCTGGCACGCAGCCCCGCAGCCTTCGTGCGGAGTTCCGATGTTTTCGATGACATGGTGTGGTCGAGGCCAACCATGGAAATCCCAGAACCTCACTCCATTACTAGTCTGGGATTATGCGGTTCCTTTTCATTGGTGGAAACTATGAGCAGACATTTCATGTTTGCGATATTAATGTGTGTGGACAGCGAAGACAATGATATCTGGATTCCGCTGAGACGATATACGGCCAGAGCACATCATTACACCCGTCTTCTATTTCCGAAATCCATGGTAAAAGTCCGGAGAGAGCTGTTAAGATTAGGTCGCCAGCACACGGGCAGAAATGTCGATGAAGTGGCTGTCAATATCTCGAAAATTTTTATTGATATCAGCGAACAATCCGGCAATGGGCAAGACATATTTCTCGGTTATAATAATGAGTTTAACAAATTTCCTCGGTTAAACGCCAACAACGCTGGGAAGCTCGGTGTTGTGGTCACCTTTCCTTGTGGAAAACATTCCTATAATCTCGCTAGCTCCTACCCTTCTCGCACTCAGAGGCTCGCATTCGACCTTCACATAGAGAAAGATATTGGAGGAGTAGCCCATGGAATTCTACGATTTCGTCACGACAAAGGTGAAATGTCTCCTGATCTTGGGTTACTATTTGCTGTCCAGCTTGATGAAAAAGGACACGCCCAGAGGTGGACTTGTAGAATTCTCCACATAAACGAAATTGGTCGGGAAGAGCTAAAGACTCGCTCTACGTCGGAGACTGCCCGGATTATGGACTGGAGGAAAAGTGACCATATCGACGGCCATTTTGTTTTCCTAGGGGATGAGTGTTATGAGGGCGAACAGGACATGGGCAATTCCATATGCACAAAGTATCAGTGTGTAGTAGCCCATGTCTTCTTCTCGAACTTGGAGCACGATATCAACCATTGAGTCATCTGAGGACAACAGTGCCGGATCAATCCCATATTGCATCGACAAATCGAACAGCGTCAAGCTTCAGAAGGCTATTCACTCTATGTTTCGCTAGTATCAGGATGCGGTTAATTGCTACGTCTATCTGCCGGATGATTCGATAAACTAAGCGGAAAACGAACGATCAGTTCTCTGAGTTTACTTGGGAGTTGGTTTTTCGAGCAAGTAGGTGGTTTACGCGGATTATACCCTTCAAGAGCTCCTTTCCCTATGTTCGGTTGGGTTCTTCACCCAAAGAGGCAAGCGGCTAGGCGGTAGGAGAACGCTAGAGCGGCAAGTTCATTGGATAACGAGGATTGCTGTTTCAGCGCTTCAAGGAACCCCTCTGTCTCAATTCGGAATTTGTGAGTGATTGTTGTGGGCAGAAAATCGCTATACTACACGCAAAGAAGGCAAGGCGTACTTACTACTAAGCATATTCGACATTTATGTGCCACTTATCTGAGGCGAAGAGAGAGATAATGCGTTCAGGCGGTGAGGGAAGTGGTCGAAGTTTCCACCTGGGGGCTGGTTCGATAAATTAAATCACTAAGTAATTAGAATGTTAAAACCGATATCGCAATATTAATTGCCCTTAATAATATATTATTATAGACTTTAAGAATTACCTTTAAAAAAAAGGCGAGCTATAATATAATAGTAATATTTATAAATTTATTATTAAAGCATTTAAAATATTATTATAATTAAGTAATTAATACTCTTTATTTTTATTTTTATATATAATATATTAAGTATTTTATAAATAATACTATTAAATTAGGGACTTTAATTAATATTCGAGTTTTTAAAGCAAGTTTTATATAAAAATTAATATTAAATTTAAGCTTTTTATAGCTAATTACTTTTATATAGATAACTAAAATAAAATTCTTAATTAATACTATAAATAAAGACTATATTCTTATATTAATTATTAATAAACCTTTTTATAATAAAAAAAGAATTACAAATCTTATATTTCTTTAAATTAAAACTCCTTTATTAAAGCCAGTTTATTAAAGAAAAAAATAAAATAAAATAAGACTAAAGTATTAATAAACTAGTTATATAAATTTTAATAGCTTATTTAAAGTTATATTAAAAAAGATATAAATATAATATATAATATATAATATAATATAATAAATATTACTATTTTATTAACTTTAAAATAAGAAATAAAATTTAATATAAGTCGAGGCTTTTACTAACAAATATCTTCTTTAAATAAAAGAGGGTTTTATTCATTTATAAAGGCAGGAGTATAGCCGGAATTATAGATATAAAGAAGATAGTCAAGGAGAAAAGACGGCTGTATAATTACCTTGTAATGCTGCTGTTCTCCTAATATGCCTATAATTATTAGGGTTTTGGTATTGGTCACATGCCTCCGAGCAATATTGCTGGTCCTTGTACTACTTGGCCGAATTATTTGTTTGATGCCAAGTTAGCAGGGTCCAATTCAAATGATACGTTCTGATCTTGAAATGGGATATTTTGCTCGTTTTATTTTAATCTGGTGAGAATTATTTGCAAGCTAAATAAAGTGGTTAAATACTAAAACGCCTAGCGCGAGAATGTCAAGAAATGTACGAGATGGCTCCCCGCCAAAGGCAATGCAACAATTTTCGCCTACTTACTAACATCATGCTACAATATTTCTCTCCGCTTGCCTTTCTTTTGCGCTTGCCCGCTGGGGCTTGTGGTTACCGTTTGTGTTATGTTACTATCGGCTGGCATCTCTCGAACGCGCTCATCACATACCGTCTTCACACGAGCTTGACTGTTGCCTCTGTCCATCAAATCTCCCAGTTTCAGATAGTCATCTTTCTTCAATTCCCTTGGGGTGCTCGATGACGAGAAAGGCGCTGGATATGGTTGGTTTGAAGGTGAACCATCGGTAACGTACTCAGCATCTTGTCGACTGTCTAGTATGTCCTGAGCCTCGATTGCTGTGCTACTTGTCAAGCGTTGTATGACTAGCTGGCCATTCTCCTCCTCTACTCGGGGAGATTCATCACTTGAGATTGAACTCGTTTGCAAATGTTCGGTGGTAAGTCCAGTTTCGCTGTCGTTTGAAATGTGGCTGCTAGAATCGTCTTCGGGCACTTGGGGAATAGGTTTGCTATTCTCCCAAGATCGTGGCCTGACGGCGTCAAGGAATCCTGATTGCAATGGAGCGATAACCTCCGAACAAGCCTTTCGGGAGCGGTCTGTAAATATAAAGCCACCTGACATGAAGCGACTGACTGACTCGAGCAGTACACGATTCGGACTGCAGTTTTTGACGTCGCGAAGGCTTTGTTCGTGATAAATAGGGCTATTTTGCCCATGCATATGCGATTGGACCAGGCACGCTCCTTTGCACATCCATTCTACTGTGTCTCCTAGTGTTGTGCCTTCCGGTCCATTATGATGCGTCTTCATAAAGGTATGCAATACTGTCCCTGTGGTAGCCAATAGACAGCGTTTAGGCGGAACGCTCTGATAGGACGGGCATAACCTTTGTGGTGACGTTGGAATGATCGGTTGACCGAATCCGCGGCAGAAAAGAACCATGCCACAGTTTCTGGATCTCGCCATCCGAGTCCAGGGCTGGCTCACACGTACGTGTTTGATATCAATAGGGGGCTCCAACTCAAGAAAGTCGTTGAGCTCGACACCATACAAATCAGATCCAATTCGTTCAGACTCTGTGTTCGCAAAATCCAGCCCATCACGCACCTTATCCATCCCAAAAATGACTTGCTCAATGGTATCAGAAAATTTCTCCTTGTCGTCAGATACTTGAGATGTTCTCGCTTCAAGCAGCATAAGTTCATCTAGAGCCGAGAAAGCTGCACTGGCTCCATCGGCATCAGGTTTTGCATGCTTGAAAGCTGTCTCCTTGCCTTCTGAAATTAATCGGTGCCCGATCTGCTCGCGTCTTGTGAAAATCTTATAGGCCGAGTAGAGTATTACGCTTAACCGGGGTAATAGCCACCCGATTTGTTGATCGGTGTCGTAGATAAGGAGGCTAAATCGATGTTCATCAGCCAGTGTGGCACGGGTACTTTTGAATCTGTTCCATGTCATCTTTGAAGGTTGAGAAGTTTGCCAAGCCATGCTGGCATTGGCAACAATTCCTACCCCAGATGTACCTATCGAAAAGGCGTGCGATTTTGTAATGTGGTACTTTTTGGAACATTTTTTCGCTCGAGACGGGAATACCTCTGTTGTTGAGAATTGCTCGGCCCCAATCATAACAGCAACCTCTTCTGCCCAACCAAGGAAACACCTTTTCTGGAACAATTCGTCGGGCTGTTGGGACTTATACCACTTGGAATTTGGTATCATGGCGAAGATTTCGGATATGGTTCTTAACTCTGGTGGCTCTGTTTGCCTCTTGTGCTCCATATGCCATTGGATGGCTTTATCTTGCGAGAGAGCTTCCATTGGTATCAGAACGGACCTAAGTCCTTCTACAATTAAACCATTATCATATTCGGTGAAACTCATGCTTTGACTCAACATGGCCATATCTGGAAATGAAATCTCAAGACCTTTTCCAGCAGTTCGATCTCGAATCGGAAATCCTTTTGCTATTACAGCATGCGGAAGCAAAGGATGCCAGCATAGCTGATCTGTCTGTATTTCCTCGAGTTCTGCAATGCGAATAGCGATAGTTCGTGGCGAACTTGGCAATTTACTCGCCGATACAGATGCGGAGGAATAAGCAAGGCTAGTGGTGGGCGAGTGCCGAAGTGAAGCGGCGATCCACGAAAGGGCTAATATTATTTGCTCATGGATAGCATGGCTTGCAGACACCACGACGGCTGTATCCGAGATAGGAGTAGACTGATATGGGTTCGATCGAAACTTCATATTGAAAGATATGTCTTCATTGGTGTCTGCAGTCCCTGGCTTGAAATTTAATTGATGTTTATACCGAAATTTGGTTTGGGGGGGGCTTACCTTGAGTATCGAGGGACGATAAGTCATGTTGCAACGACGCTAACAGAGCTGGCCCTACCTTGGGCCAGGTTTGGACTAGATAATCACCGCAGCTCTTCGCCTGCGCATTAATTGCCCCTCCAGTGATAGTTAGAATTTTGCCAACTTCTTGCCCCTTTGCGAAGTAAGTCGCAAGAAAATGTGGCACCTCCCATTCCAAAGAATAAGTAATCTCAAGTGTGGAATCCCTTGGGTGTGTGATTGGCCAGACTTGGAACAGTGCCTTCTTGATAGGATCCGGATGGACGAATAAGTGCAGGTTTTCTTTCAGCATCTGTAGCGCCATCGAATTTGACATTAGAAGTTCCAGATCCTTTGAGTCTTCTTCTACTTCCCCTTTATATCCGAGCAAACCGTCATCATCACCATCATTGTCTTCTTCTCCTTCCTCTTTATTTTCGAGCAAACAGTCCTCACCACCATCTTCGCCTTCTTCAGCAAGCTCTTCCAGCTCGCCGTTTTCCGATTTGATGGTCTGATGTGAATTTCCCTGCAGGCCATTGTCTTCAAGCCTAGAGTTTGCTACAAGTTCCAGAGACTTCCGTGTAAGGCTTGCTACATTTATTGCACATCCGCGGACTACACACGCTATATGTGCCATTGTCGATGATGTTGATGTTGCCTCGGTATTCAGATGAATAGCGAATTGAATAAGGGTCCGCCGTAAATTATCCTCGAACTTACCTGGCGAGACTTTTTGCAATGCTTCTTTTGACAAAGTTTGCAACCAATCCTGATCAAGAAGAAAACCGCATAACCTTTGGGTTTCACTGGATCCACTATCAATAGATGGGGTAGTAGTGGTGGACATGGCATAACTGAAGATCGCGCTTTCGACATTGCTTATGATGGAATCACATGACCTGCGTCGAGAAGGACCCGAGCTTCTAGCATCTGATATGGTGTCCGACTTAGCCTGGTGTAGTGGACTAGAAGATTCATTGGCGGTCTCAGAGACAACGGGCTGTGAGCAGAATTTCAGTTCAAATAAAGGTTGGGGACGCTCGAGGTCACTTCCTGGGGGTGGTGCGAATGCCGATTCAACATTGAATCCAGCTGGGTGTAGTACGGGATCAATGGCATTCATTGTGGGTGATTGCTTCTGCGTTTTGGATATAGGGTCCAGATTTGACAGACCCGTGAGTGGAGTAGATGATCCATCAGCAAGCTCAAACCCCTCGATCGGAGAAGATATTGATGAGGCGGGATCATTGTAGAGTGGCTCTAAATTATTATGAGAGTGAGCAGAGGACTCAGAGGGGGAATATTGATCGACAGGGGCTGAATCATCATCCCGCGTCATTGTGTTTTGGTAGCCAGCAATGAATTGAGGTCGATGTTTGTCGTAAACTTGGCCAATAAAAAACACTTTTGCGTTATACTCGATAGTATAAACCTTCCCGTAGTTGATACGGGATGCTTCGGGAAGCTTTTCTCTCGGGGACGTCACTTCAACCCGGATTGCTGGATTCTCGCCCTTGTACTCAACTCTCTTATCGGAATAGATGGGTGCGTAGTGGTGCGCTTGGGCCCTTGGATTTTGTGGATCTTGGCGTCTGTAAGTGTGGATTGGCCTTCTCATCTATTAGTAAACGTTCGTCTCCTCAGTCAAGGGTAGCTTACAGGCAAAGACAATGAGCAGAAAAAGTTTTTACCACTACGAAGTGCCGAATTTTGTGCAAGAATTGTTCTCCGAATTTGTAGGAAATAGATGTTATAGCTTCTGAATCTGAGAACTGGGTTCTATTGATACCTGTTGGCTCTGCCCACAAGGTCTTGAAAAGTCGTCCAACTTGAAAGTGCGACCCAGAGAAGACTTCGAATTCTAGAATAATCAGGCTTTGGTCTGGTTAATTTTGCAAAAACTTACGAAAGTCTAGTGGATTTTCTAGTCCATATCTTCCCAGACCGATGTGGTTTTCGGCCATTTGAGCCGTCGAACTTTGTTGGGTAGGGTATTTGTTTGCATTGCCTATGAGCATACGGACATCAGCGTTGGCAATGGGGAGGACCGACCAATAGGCCGTACGAACTTTGAAATGGTTGAGTATCATAAATTGGATACTGGATTGACGATGAAAATTTGTTCTGAGGATGTTGCTCAGAGTAGTAAGGCTTCCCGTAAGGCAGCGTAACGGGATTCTGAGTAGACTGAGAGCCATGAATGTTAGAGACGGCTTGGCTCGATTTTCCATATGCTGTATCTTGGGCTGGAGCATAGCGAGGAATTTCTCGCTCTACAGAGCCTTGGTAACCGGATGTTGCCGTGGATTCGCTTGTTTCTCCTGTGCTAGATTCGTACTCATATTCTCCTTGTGGAATGTTAGCAAGCTCCACCGAAGGGAATATCAAACGCGAAACCCCTAACCATTTTTGTCGAGGCGATATCGATGATGACACTCTCTCTCCTCACTCCACTCCCACTCGCTCCACCGCTTAGGAAGCCGCTCGACCTTCGACCGCCCTTCTCTGCGAGAGTATTCTGAAGACATTGAAATGATTCGCAAATCACAAAACACAGATTTGATGAGAAGGATACGGCCGCACTCTTATAGATGGGCTTGCCTGTCAGTGACGCCCGACAGCGCTGAAGATGTGCTAGCGAACAAATCACGATTGCAGGGACCTGCTGCAATGTAGGGCAGGCTTTTACGAATATTGTGGCATAAAGTCATGCGACTACAGGGCACATGATGTCCCAGCCACTAATCACACGCTGTAATCAGTGAAACTAGCCTGTAAAGCCACCACCGCTAAAGTGCCCTGGAAGCACCTGTAGCTTAGTGGGTCCGTACCTAAATTAGGCTACCTGCCCCTGTAAAGCGAGGTTTACTAAGGCCATAGGCTTAAGCCATGTAAGGAGTTTCAGGGATCAAAAGATAATTCTAGGGTGTGCCCCTGCAAGTATAGGGGCTTGATCGCTAAAGGGCCCTATAAGACCTCAAAGTTCCAGTGTCTGAGCGCTATAGTCACTGGGCCAACAGCGTGGCGCTATAGCCACAGCCACTACAGGGCACATACGCTGAAGTCGCATGACTTTATGCCGCAATATTCGTAGGCGGTAAAGAATCAAAATTCTAAATGGAAATGCAAAAGTACCTGAATTTGGCGCGCAATCACGCCTAAATTCAAGTACGAAATCACGTGCAAGCTAAGTATCTTATAAAGAATGATTTCTTTTACTTCTCCAATTAAATAATCGCTTTTGACTAAAAAAATGAAGAAGAAAGAAGGAGTATGTGAAGCAAAGAAACTTTTTATGTGCCCGGTCGCTTGGCCAGCTTAATCCTCGCTAGCTAGCTCGCGCAGATAAAGTGGGTCTACCTTAAGATCTACCTATTAAGAGCTATCAAAGTACAAATTTAAGCCAGTTGACGAGAGCACAGATGAAAAAAAAATCTTCTCGTCGATTTCTTCTTTGTATTTCTTTTTCATGAAAGGAAAGCCTGTCGCAAACTGTTTTTGAGCAAAATTTAGGGGGGGGGGTTTTTTTTCTATATAGAGATATTTCGAAAATAATTCTTTGCCAAAGTACTTGATTTTAGGCATGGTTACGTGCCAAATTCAGGTGCTTTTGTAATTTCGTATTTCACAGTTTTTCTCGTTTAGAACTTTTGATCCTTTAAGGTTACCGCCTAAAAACCTGCCCAAGTGGCGGGCCGCTTGAGGCTGAGCAGCTGAACCCAGCCCCACGCACTTGGCCCGTTGAGTCAACGCCAATTATTCCTTTCAATCGCAGCCTGACATGACCACTAATAAATTCATTCCATTCGGACTCAATGTCAATCATCACGTCTATCCTGCATAACAGCCCTGTGCCGAGCTTCCATGGCCCCGAAAGCCAAGAAGGCGATTTGCACAGCGTGTCGCTACGGTACCAAACCACGCAAGATAGGGTTCTATATCTTACAACGCAAACTTCAAAGATCCGCGAGTGGAGGCTGTGAAGTATGCACTTTGATTCTCCAGCGAATTTTCAAATGTCTTCCTTTGTTGGATTTGAACAGGTCGGCTACGGGCGTGGAGAAGGGAGGGAACTGCTTCATTTGGGATCCGAATGGGATGTTGATCCATACTCGTGTGGCCGGAAATAGAACTTATGAGTCATATGTACCTCCCGGTAAATGTTCTCGACAGCTGGGTATCAGCTAGTTACTTGCATATGCTGTTGGTCAGTGTTCTAACAACCTTCTCTAGGTAGCTTTAACCCTTTCCCGAGGATGATTAGGACGGCTTGTCATGTTCCAGGCGACACGGCATCTGTCTTGTCTGTTCTCCAAGTCCAGAGATGGTTGCGACGCTGCAGTGCAACCCACTCAAAATATGGGAGCATCGGCCTCGATGTTTCTCTTCCCACACGACTTATCGACGTTGAATTTGGATTACGTCTCGTGGAGACGAAGGGCATGCATAACCGCTACGTTTCCCTCAGTCACTGCTGGGGGGATCGAGACTCGACTACTGCAAAACGGACTTTCAAAATCACTCGGGAGAACCTCAGTTCAAGCCTAGAGAATATTGATTTTACCTCACTCCCAAGAACATTTATAGACGCAATCATATTCACGAGAAAGCTAGGTCTGAAATACTTATGGATCGACTCTCTCTGCATCATTCAGGATGATCAAGACGACTGGCGCCACGAAGCAAGTCTCATGGCCAACATTTACGAAAACGCCGTCTTGACTCTCGGCGCCACGGCATCCGCATCAGGCTCGGCAAAAATACCTAAATTTCCGGTATTGATACGTATCGATGCCAGAATCGTAAGGTATCGATAGTGTATCGATTCCCTCAACCTAATTTTCCCCTTTAATTACAATTAACTTTCGAACTACTTCTCTTATAAGAAAGCTTTTGGTAGTATAAATATTCTCCTTAATTTAGGCTTTCTATCTAGCTACTTATTTTATACTTTAGGCTAAAACTAATCTCAATATAGCTATTTAAGTAAAAATAAGCTTTTGAGATTTTTGTAAGGCTCGCTTATATATTTAGTACCTTAATAAGAAATACAAATACGGGGCTTAATTCTCTAAATACGAGAGGTATTTTAAATTTAAGATATTATTAAATTTTATTAATAATAGTAAATAAAAATTTTAATAGAAAGACTAGAAAGACTAGAAATAAAAGAAATTTTATATAAATATATTCTTATATAAATAAAATAATAAAATAAAGAGATAATTTTTAGGGGTAAGAATCGATAAGATATCGATATATATCGATTCTTACGATACCTGAAAAATACCTAATACTATTAATACCGGTATCGATGCCTCAGGTATTTTTGCCGAGCCTGATCCGCATCCGACGCAGAAGGACTCTTCACATCAAGCTTATCGATCCACGATCCCATTGAACTTCGTGGTAAGACTTCAAAAGGAAAAAGATACATCGTGTACGCACAACGCCAACTCCCCCACTTGATGCAATACGAGCCATTATACAAACGGGGCTGGATCTTCCAGGAACGCTACCTGTCACCTCGCTTTCTGCATTTCGCATCCAATGAACTGATCTGGGAATGCAGAGAAGGTATGGGCTGTGAATGCAACGAAAACAAACTTTTGGAGACCACAGATAGCGACCCCGTTGGCTATTTCAATGCCTTCAAGTCCTATTATCTGGAAGCTTTTACAGCTTCTCCCTATCGCGTACAAGTCGCTTGGCGAGATGTGGTCCACGCTTATACGGAACTTAATTTAAGTCATGCCAAAGACACGCTGCCAGCACTTTCCGGCATCACGAAGAAATTTATAGGACTTCGCCCTGAAGATATATATCTAGCTGGGTTGTGGGAGTCCTCTTTTGTGTACGATCTGCTTTGGCATGCAGAATCCTATGGGATTTTGAAGAAGAGCCTTCGACCGCGGCTAGAGAAGTGGAGAGCGCCTACTTGGTCGTGGGCATCTATTGACTCGGCAGTTATGACTAGAGGCACTTCACACAATTATGGGAATGATGACGAGCCAAGGATGACTTCATGCATAGACGTCCTCGATGTTAACTGTATTCCAGCTGGAGACGACATCACGGGAGAGCTTTCTAGTGGGTATGCGGTTTTAAGGGGTTCGGTGTTGGCAGGATATTTCAGATTCAAGCCGCGCAGCTATGAGTCGCATTGCATCGCCAAGGGGGGATACGAAATGAGTTTCTTCCCGGATTATAGGTTGGATACTGATGATGACTCCCGTGTCCAAGATGGAGACTGCGTTTTTTGCTTGCGGATCGCTACGGATAGTCCGAGGAGAGAGAATAGCTTAGATGATTTTCTCGTGCTGAGGAGGAAACGTGGTATGATTGGGACGTTCGAGAGGATTGGGGTGATGACGCTTGCGGTTGACGGCAATGACTTCTACCGGATGTTCGAATCGCGGCGAGAGGAATGTGCCATAACAATCGTTTGAAACATCGAAAGACGTTGTATTCTCAGAAGGCTTGAGAGTTTCTCGACCATCGTCATGTCCAATGGCGAAGTCGAATATCCTGACTACACTTCCATGCTCATACTCACTCGGATTTCAAGTGTTACTTGGGACGGTGAGACCAGTCTGCTCAATCTTGGCCTGGGCTGGTCAGATCACTAGCACTCCCCTTCCCTGCCTCTATCAGGCCATGGCCTCAATTCTCAGAGGTTCTTCGAGCTGCAGAAGGCGCTTTGAATGGGCTGAGCTCATGGCAATTCGTCGCGTGTGATGCACGTGCAAGGATAAGGAGAGTAGTCTCGGGACGAATGAAAAAGTCTTTGATGTATGTCATCACATGACATGTGGTTGCTTGACAATATTCTCACAGTACAGTAGACAGTCTCATCCATCTGATATTGCTGTATTGAATATAAAGAGCAATAAAATCGAGGAAGTCTCGAACTCGAGCCTTTCTGACTTGATACGTGGATCGATTTCCGACTCATGACTATCGCCTCAACAAACGAGGTTTAAGATAGGGATCAAACAGGACATGGTCGGGGAGGGTCGGGGGTAATGCGACTCAATGCTGGTTCCCTTGGTAAAAGATTATTTTATCAAGTCATTCTCATTGAAGGCTTTCTGTTCGGAATGCATTCTGAACATCGCATTGACCCTCTCTTGTGACAGCTCTTATGCTTGCCCGGGTTTCAACAATCAACCTCATGCTAAGTTTGGAAGCAGGCTTTGCATTCTCTACTTAATGCGCGACCGGTGGTATCGGTTTGTAAACTGATATTGGGCCATGAATTACATCTGTTCTTTCACCTTTCGTTGGCGTGAACGCCGCCAGCCCGAGGTCGCTCACTTCTTCTGGCAGCACACCAACACTCAGATCATGGATCTGCTTTGCTTTTTGGGCGGACACAAAATATTTTAAGGAGGTATTTGAAAATGCGATAATTGGAGATGCATTCTATATCCCGATTCTAGGAGCGAGGAGTCTTGTCAGAGGCTAGGTACTGCTCTCCAGTATCCAAAACTGCCAGAGCCTCCTCGGACCCCTCAGTGCGCAATGAAATCAGGAGCATACCTCGTACTTATAACAGAACATACGCAACCGTGACAGAACTTTCTGCCATAAATGATTTTGTTCTTGATGACGAGAGATGGGTGAGATTGACCTTGATGGAGTTGCCGCCTGGCGTGGCATGGCAGCAAGCTTCGGCAGAGATGGCACAGGCAGCGCAGCCCCCGAAACTTCAGGTTGCCTGGCCATGTAAAGTATAATAAGGGCTCCTTCATTTTGTGGGGTTCATGAGGAACAATTGATTTGCATCCAAATCTTTCTATAAACAGCAATTTTTCTTTCTTTGTATAACAAGAACTACTTGAGAAGTGGGATGAATCCGTCGCACCTCAAATTTCCAGTCCACTCCGCTCTTAGTACGGGACCTGAGCAGCAAAAGACTCTTCAATCAACTTAGTCTGAGCAGGTTGAGCAATCGGCTTCTCATCAACGCCATTTCCCACTCGAAACGTCACATTCCTCGCTGAGGTCGTCTTGGGAAAGTAAGTCAAGTTTCCCAAAGAGGCTGGATACGAGCCTCCTAAATTCGGGTTTGCAGTCTTTGCAAAATTCGCCCAGTACGAATTCATCTTCTGTGCAACAGCGCAGTCGTCAGTAGTCCATGGCTTGTCAGTTCTGTACAAATTGTTGAGAACGTGGTCGACATGTTTCTCTCACAGACCACAATTGTCTGTCTTAATCTTTGGTAGAAAGTGGTGCTTTGAAAACGGGATGTACAGGAAAGGACGAAGAAAACTTAAGTGGGAATGATTAAATCCCAGCTCCAATCTCAGCGAGCACAACACATGCAGGTAAAAAGTAGGAAGAACAACACCCAGACGTAAACAATGAAATGATTACGCGTACCTCTACCCTAGCTCGGTGAATACTTTCTTCTCAATGGGTCGGTCCGTGTGAAAGGGGGGGAAGGGGTTCAAGCGAGCCGATCACGTGCTAAGAGCATAAGCTCTCCTTCCCGGGATGAGGTGAGCACGATATGGAATCGATGGGATGTCGGAAAGTATTGAAACACCAAATTCTGGTTGACATTCCCCTCGATAGCTGACGATTCTGGCATCGATACCTATCGATACCGGAAATTAAGGAATTTTTGCCAAGCCTGCTCTACATCCATAGAATTGATGCACCTAGGATGCAAGGCTCTGCGCTTCGGAATTTCGGGACCTTCAAGCAGTTATGCGGGGAAGAGTTCTACAAGAATATTATGCTTGGAACCACCTGTTGAGACTTGGTAGATGCGACGACAATTGGAGAAGAGCGAGAAACTCAGTTGAGAGAGAAAGGAGGATTCTGGCATGCGTTGTTGCAAAAAGGTTCCGAGATCGTCCGAATTCCCAGGGAGCAGGACTCAGCTCGAGATGTAATCTTCCACTTGACGTCGAAAGACCCTGCCTTCCTCAACTCACAACTAGAGATGAGCACAATGGGCCTTTCTCTGGATGAGGTGTCGGCTACTAAGACCATCAATGAAGAGCTGGAGAAGGCCAAGGCTGCGAATGAAAGGATTAGGCTCCAGGAAGAAGAAATTTTTCTGAGATTACAGCGTGGACGAGAGGAGAAAGCCAGAGCAGAGCAAGAAAAAGCGAGGCGACAGCATGATCTCATGCTCAGGGAACAAGAAGCAGAAAAACAAAGGATCTTGCAAGCACAACGTGAAGCACAAGTTAAGCGTGAGAAGGAGATGAAGGAACTCGAGGAGCAGATGCGCCGTATCCGAATCCAGGAAGCAGAACAAAGAGAAAATGAGAGAAAGAGAGAGCAGAAAAGACTCGATTACACACAGTTTCGCCTCGACTACAAGACCGTTTGCCGAGCCCACAAATACGAACTGCTCGGAGGGACTATTATTTCCTATTTGGAGATTTGCGGTCACTGTGACAAGTTATTAGAAGACGAGTCGTATATTGGTGAGACTGATTCCCTTCAATACTCTTCCGCAGGTACTTTGGCCAAAAGAACTAATTTGCGGCTCAGAGTGTCCCCATTCGGACTGCAGAGTCTTCATGGAGCCTTTCAGACTTTGCTCGGATTGCGGGCCACTCCCAGGTGTATATTGCTCTGGAGGACACGCCCATTGGTCACAGAAGCAGGAACGGCATGATTACGGAGGGCCTCCAGACTCAGTGCCTACTAGATCACCAAAATGTTGGAGATGCAACACGAACTTAGGCTCAATGTTTTTTGGTGATTTTTTTTCTCTTTGTACACCTGTCTACAAAAAGAGAGAGGGAGAGAGAGAAATGGGCAGAAGGCTGACTCTTTGCTCTTCGCAGAGTGTATTTCGGATAAATTTTGTTTGTATGTGGGTTGCCTCACCTCGGGGAAGGATTGTTGTACTGGCGGAGGGGTGTATATGCGAAAACTCGGCAGAGGTTGATTCTAACCACTCTGGAAACCTTGATTGGCTTATAGTAGATTGTAACTCCATACAGAAAGTTTTTATGAGGCGCAAATTAAGGAAGTTTAGGAAGTAACCAATGAATGTCGGGGAGGGGAAGATCCACGCTTGAGCGTTTATATCGTCTTAAGATCTATATATATTATGAATATACTATTGCGATATCCATGCTGCTGTATCTGCCGACTCGGCAGTAAATTTCATTGAGTTTGAACGAATTTGGGACTAAAGGAAGCACGATATCATTCTCATTGTGGGCCTTTTCGGGGAAAATATGACCTCGAGAAGCAGCCCAGAAACAGAGCACATAATTTAGCTGGTTCCAGGTTGGAATAACTCTAACATTCCTCTCTTCTCTGTTTTGAAATTGAAATTCAAATGCGAAAGTCACCTCAACACTTTGCTTTCGCTATCACAACCCCTTTAGAGCATAAATAACACCCTAAAGCTTCCAGACAATACCGCTCCCGATACTTGAACCGCAACGGCCCCATTTCCTTCATTGTCTCTTCTGCAGCCTTCACCATCTTCGCATGCAGCTCTTTATCAGCTGTCAAACTCATCTGCTCATCAATCGTAACTTCTCGTCCTAGCGGACCGAAAATCGATCTAGCCAAGGCGTTATCTTTCAAAAGGCGCAGACAGAAATCGTCGAATAGATCGTTGGCGCTGAGGAACTCTAAGATCGAGGGGAGAGAGTCGGGATCAGGGATGAGCTTCAACAACCATTCCGATGGATCTCTTGTCCTGAAAATTTCCCGGGTCAAAGTTGTGTGTTCCAGTTCTCTGATGAGAGACGCCTCGTCCATATCAAGCCTTTGTTGAATCAAGGGGCGTTCGTAGCCGATTCTATTCCGCCACAGGTAATTGCAAACTATAGATGAGATAATGCAGGGAATGAGAACGGGATAGCCTTCCCAATGTGTAGCAGTAACCAGTGAAGCCGCACCAGCTGTGACTCCCGTGATGGCATATATAGCAGCATGTGTCTTGACTCTGCGAATCCGACGGAGAAACACCACAGACCTCACTTCTTTGGTCGCTGCCCTGCCGTGTCGATGAGCTCGCCTCCAAACATAGACAGAGAACCCAGTGTTGCACAGACCAAAAATTGCAACGGGTGCATTGCCAATGTATCCAGATAGCAGATTACTCGCGCTGAAGATCCTCGGGTTCGCGCCTCCAATTGCGAGGAAGGTACCAATGCCAACCATGATGGCTCCGAATCCCATCGCAATGTCCATTCCCAGACGTTCCACATATTCTGTGCCCAGTTCCCGGAAATTCATATTGAGCTGACTGTCCAAATCTCGAGAGATCTCTGCTCCCAGATCTGCCTTTTGTGCCCACAAGAATCGCCGTTCTTTTCGGAGGTTTCGAATGTTCTCTCGGCTCAGGAAGGCATCGCGGAATGCGAAGATGGATATTGTGAGGGCTAGGGTGCCACCAAGTGCCACTGGAAGCAGGAATTAGCTTGTTTGTTTGTACAACATTACGGTTTAGTGCATCCAAGAAACGTTGGAAACGTACTCAACGCCATTGCAAAGTGAGGAATGGGAATCTGATTCCAAACATTGGCCGCGAAATCCCCCGCGTTGCCTAGCTCCAGCAGTCCTACGCCAATAAGCAGATTATTCTTGAGCCTGTACTGTTCCTTTGGTATCCAGCCGTTCTTCTGACGGACAAAGGTAGTGTCCAGAAAGCTCGATTGCGACCCAAAGGTGGGTGAAGGAGAGTCCATGAAACTTGGTGTTTTCAACGTCGTCACTCCCGTCCCATTGGAGGCACCGTCTTGCTCGCTAGAGGGTGAATCCAAAGTACTTGGTGCCTGTGATTTCTCTATCATTATGGGTGGCTTCTCGTCGGATTGGGAAGAGACATCTTGAGAAGATGATTCTTGAATCGCGACTGCATCGCCAGCGGACATAGCATAGAATAAAAAAGATCGCAGTTCGAGATGCTCGCTCGCAGAAAGAAGAACCAGACGAAAAAGCTAGCAGTTAAGAATAAAATAAAATAATTAATTGCTCCATATCCAGCTGTAAACGGGAGAATCGGCGTGCCGGACTCCTCACGGCAAAACATCGGGGAGCCCTCGGGAAGCCCGTGCGTCTGAGTCCTGAAACCAAAAACCGGAAGATCGGGACCTGTCACCAAAAATAAACAAGATCCACCAGATCGATCAGCACCCGCGTGGGCCTTCTCAAGTGCTTCTACTTCGTAGAAAAAGGTGAGGCTTTAGGGATTAGTGCCGTGGGTCCGCCAAGTATCAAGTATCAAGTTGAAGCCGAGCAGGCAGCCGTGCCTTCCTGAAGTGAGGAGAACTACTGTACTGTAGCTGTACTTTTCACTCCTCGCACACCTCATCAATTGATCATCATCCTTTCCCCTAATTATCTGCAGCGAGGAAGCGGTTAGTGGATCCTGAAAATGCTGACTGATACATGGGTATTACTTCCACCCCGTAAATGATTATCCCTTCGTCCGGTGAGACATGGTCCGTACTAGCGGCCGCATCATGCGGATAGCCTGATTGGAGGAGACGGTTGTATTCTTACCTAACAAGGGATAATCGAGTGCGGCCGCTAGTACGGACCATGTCTCACCGGACGAAGGGATAGTAGGCCCTTGGGTAACGTCACCCGGAAACCTCGTTAATATCCGCCAGGGGTGGCATATGTAAGGATTTGGGAAGACCAATATTATTATCGATAAATTTATGGGGTTTAGACCAATAATATATAATAAATGATACTATTTATAGGTATTCTTCCCAAATAGGCTAGAACCCACTCTGAACCAATACTTCGTAGAATTACTGCAATTGCTGTCACGTGCGGACAGAATTTCGCACAATTATCTAAACTTCTCTTAATATCAATTAAGTATCTCTGTTTTCATCCCTGTTCTTCGTGATTTTTATACTAATAATGCATAAACACCATAAATTCTGCATAAATATTCTGCATTTATTACTGGCTAGACCAATATTATTTAAGTTAGCGCTAGACCACTATTATTTACATAAATTAAATAAATTCGTCCATCCCTAATATCCCCAAACTACGGTAGGAGATATCAGGTGCTTTCTAGAATCACTATTGGCTGTACACCCTGAGTTGGCCAGTGCAGGAGTGGTTTTATCCTAGGGCCTACTGCAAATTATTCATGGGGGGTAGTAAAGGTGACAAACTTCACTCAGGGCACTCAAAAATCTTGTCAAGCACGTCTGAAGACACGTAAGACGGACAAACTCAAACTCTCAATCAGGAACAATGCCACGATTTCGAAGGAACGGTGACCCAGAGCCTCCCGATTTACCCCGCGATGCCCTATGAAACGCCTCCAGTGACTACATGCCACCCCCGTAAAGGCCCCATAAAAGGCGCAGTAGCAGGGCTGCAGGCTCGCGCATATGCGGCATTTTGTGGGCAGCCAAAGAAAGCACTCGCTCGCTCGCCTCACTCCACCCCAGCCCCAAGTGCGCGCTTTCTCTGTATACGGTGTAGGCACCAGATACCCACCAACCCTTCACGTCATGAAATGAAGTAGATAAATATCTCCTGATCTCCTTCTACATCGTAAGCCAAAAGCAACAGGCCATGATCAACTTCAAGTCTATTCCAACGTCCTAGAGGCAAGAAAAAGATGGCACAGCCACAATCAACAACAGTATCTCGATCGAGCACTCAATCAAGCACTCAATCTCAGACGAGTGAGAGCACAACACCAGCTCCCGTACCATTGCGCTCCTTATCACCAAGACGCGTCTCGCCTACTCGTACTCTGAGGTCTTCTCAGAGATCGCTACCTGGAAGCCCGGCGAGAAGCCAGACCTTCACAACGGTGGACGAGGATGGGGTGACGCACCTCCACCACGCCAGCCCAGATCACACGAATGTACACACCGAGTGCGGGAGACATTCAGACGAGTGGCTTTTTGGAGGAGTGAGTTTAGCAGAGGTTTTGAAGGGGTTGATTTGGAGTGCGAAAAAGTGATGGAGACGAGAGTTGTTTCGAGGTTTGGGGAGGAGAGGAAGAAGGGATGGGGGGGTAATTGGAAGTGGCTTGGGCGTGGCTCGCTTAAGTTTACAGGGGCTGCTGGGCTGAGTTGGGGCTTTGCAGAGGAAGCAACTAGCGCGCCCTTCCGCCGTGGAGAATTCTTGGATTACACTCTCATAGATTGGCATTATTGATACCCTTGCGTCAGCTTCCATTTTTAAGCTAGCCGATCCGTATAATTGTTTTTAATACTATGTAGCCGCCTACTGGGCGTCTGCTTGGCTTCAAAGCTTGAAATTGTCGACGCCACGTCCCAAACCGCTCAATCCGATCAAGAGCTCACATCCTGCTTGCAAACCACAGATAGTCTCCACTCTTAAAATTTATTGATTAGAATTAAAAGGATGCAACTCCTTACAAGAATTCCTCAACATAACCCCCTCTCTTCTACTGCGTGAATTTGACAATAGTGTCAACAAAGTGTTGTCCCCCAACATTATCCGCAGAGGAAGCAACATCCATCCCATCCACAGTAATCATGTTTTGCGTCCCAACAGTTTGCAGACCGTACACTGTGATGTCGCTGCTCTTCTCGACGCTGAAGATGCGTGGCTGGCACCATTCGCCATTACCCTGTGGAGAGAGTTAGTAATTGCTTGATAAAAAGTTGCTTGGACATCAGAGAGGATTTGAGCAAACGTACAGCGTCGGAACAGTGAACATTATAGTTGTAGAAGAAGCTGTACAATCCAGCACCGTAAACCAAGATATTGTTGCTGCTCAAAATACGAAGACCAACTGCATCGCTTGCAGTAGCAGGATCGTTCAGACTGGCGACCGCTGGGAAAGGAATTGCCGTATTCGGGTTAGGCTGATAATATGGCGTCTCCGTTTGAATCTCACCCATGTAGATATTCGCGGTGTTGGCTAACTGGTATTGGTACAGAGCATGATGCTCGACTGCTGTTCCATACATCCAGATTGAACCGGCTGTGCTTTCGACAAGTAGACCACGGCCGGCGAAGATGGTGATCTGAGTCACCGTTGCATCGTCGACATCGTGGTCAGCAACCCAGAGCCAGACATTCTCCATGTAAAGGCCTGCAGCATATTTCGTAACGTGCATGGACATGAAGGCGGCGATGCATTTTTGGGGGAGGTTGGTTGAGGTCATGGTTACGTTCCCGTTCCGGCTATCAAAAGTCCCAGTTGGACATTGGGCAAGCTGGAGATCAGAGCCGGTAAAGCCTCCAATACGGGTATGGACATCCCACATGCCTGCCGGTGCGAGCCCTGTTGCATCCAGGTTCCACTCGATGAGGATAGCACCAGCTGCGGCCCCCTTCGTACTAACCATCATGTTGGACCATTCAACAGTCCCTTTTTCCCCACCAGACTTTCCAACCTTGACAACAGCGGTTGGGTTGTTGATATCTGCAAAGACGGGCCCACTGGCTAGAATAACTGGGTATCCTTCACCAGTGATCTTGCTTCCGGGAGGAATGTAAATGGTGCTTGAAACAACATAGTAGCCGGCATCGACGAAAAGGATTGACCCAGAACTGAGTGCAGAGTTTATAGCGGAGGTGAGTGCAGCGGTGTCATCAGTCACCCCGTCACCGTTTGCACCAAAGCTACGAACGCTGACGAAGGACGAAGCTTGAGAAGTCTCATACTGAGGTTTTGAGCGTTGGTAAAACTCGCCGGTCGATGTTTTGAGTACGCTTGGTCTGGTTGCGGGTGTGATATTCCCTTGGATTCTAGTATGCCCGGTTGCAGTATATGAAGGGCCTCGTCCCCAACCAGCAATGTTGCTTGTTCCAGTCGTTCCCGCAAGTAAAGTCGTCCCTCCTAATATCCCGATCGCAGTTGGAACATTGGTGAGAGAGAGATTCTCAATGATCAGGCTTTCAACACTAGGTGTGGTTGTGTCTTCGTTTGCTCGTTGCAACGAGATCCCGACGGGGGTATTTACAATACTGCTGTCGATGAGGGTCAAGGACGAAACTCCAACTTGACCATCCGTACTTGCTTCAAATTGGATTCCAACCGAGCAATTGGTGATCGAAATTCCTTTGTAAACCCATCCCTAGAGTTCACGATTAGCTTAAAGGCCTTTTTGACGGGTGGCATTCCATACCCAATTAAAGTTCTGTTTGATTGCAACACCTGCGTTGTAGAAATTGAGGTTTCTCATGGTGAATTGCCTGCAGATGTCAGCCGTCCAAATCCTACAAATATCGTGCCAGCAGGTACGTACTGGTTGGCAACATCGAGCCCACGTGATCCCCCATAGAATGTCAAATTGCCCATGAAGCCTCCCGATCCTTGTTCAGAGAGCATACCCCCCTGCGTGGTGCCAGGAGCGTCGGACGCCTTGAAAACTACATTTTCCACCGACGTTGCTTGAGCTGTTGGCCAGTGAAGCCCGAGGATATTAGCGTTAGCGCGCACTGCAGTTGTATCAAGAACGAAATTGCGGAATTGTCGCCAGAAAGTATTGGTTGCCCCATACGCCAAGTTTCCGGTAGTGCCGTAAGCGTTTCCATCCACGATATATGTAGAATAGTTGGGATTGCCGGGAATTGGGAAAGTGCTCTTGGCCTTGAGGACTGGCGGACAGTTTGGATTGCCAATGAGCGAACTCCCATAATGCATGAGGATCGGCGTTGAAATAATATAGGTACCCGGTGGGAAGTAAATCAGTGCTGGAGTCGTGCTTGAAGACTGACAGGTACCGTCGGGCGGACAATTCGAGCCAGTGCTGATGGCTTTTTGAATTGCAGCAGTGTCATCAGTAACGCCATCTCCTTTTGCCCCATAAGCTGCATCTTTCACATTACGGAAGACTTGATATCCGCTGCCAGCAAATGGTGCGATTCCTTGATGTTTGATGTTTTCCATCCAATAAGAACAAGCTGTAGGAGTCGGGGTGGATGGGCTGCTAACTGAATATGAACTTGATACAGTCGACGAACTGCTGACACTCGTGTTTGAAGCGGATGCGGTCACTGAGCTAGATGTGCTTGGAGAAAGCGTGCTACCGGATGTTGGCTGATATGTAGACACGGAGGAGGCTGATGATACGGTTGGTGTGCTGACTGGGTAGGTCGGGCCGGCAGAGGCCGAGGAGGATGGACCCGTCGGGCCATAGGATTTGGTCTCTGAATATGACTTTGAGACAGATCTTGACGGGCTTAGAGAAGGAGAGACTGGATAAGACGAGGAGCTTGGTCCAGTAGGCGTTTGGGTTGCCGTGACCGGGCAGATTGTAACGTACGAGGAGATAGTATCCGTGACGACGTACGTGTGTGTTGCTTCGGTCGCCGGGCAGCTTTGAACGGTTGAAGCACAGCTCGTGATAGTTTTCACAGTGGTGATATAGACAGTCGAGGTGGTGTATTCTTGGCTCGGGGCGCTCGTACTTTTGGGAGGGGGAGGGGGAGGAGAAGGAATTATGACACCGCTGGAGCTGAGACTGCAGGTCGTGGCGGGAGCAGAAATCGTATAGACAGAAGACGTGGTGATGCAAGTTGTTATAGTCTCGTACACAACCATGGTCTCGTACTTGACCGGGCCATTGTTAGGCAAGGCATTGGCAAAGGCCACAGAAAAGAAAGCGCAAACAGCAAAGAGTGACTGGAGTGAGGGCCGAAGCATCTTGAACGAGTGTGTGAAAGAAAGCACAGAATAGAAGAATCCACACCCTACCTCTTGCTAAACTTTGGGGGGGTGGGGTGCAGGCCTACTATTTCTACAGAACGAGCTGCAAACGCTGCCTATCCAAAAACAGCCGTTTGCGCCTACCACAGCTGGCTACTCGGTCATGCCATGGCAAGCCATGTCCGAAAAAAGCGCCGTCTGCGTCCTTGCGCAGCCGTGAGGGCAGTTGGCGCCGCTGTGGCTTTTCCTGCTCGAGCTGTGCTGGGCTCATTTGAGTCATCCGAGTCTTCCGCCGAGTGTTCTGCATCCTGAATTGCGGGGAGAGAGTTTGGAAGCAGGTGATGCGCCAATCAACTGGGGCAACAAGGGGGGTGCTTGCGGCACGCCCTCTTCAAAGTGAGGTGCAAATTAAGATTAGATTGGCTTGGCTGTTCGTGTTTCTGAGGTTTGCGATTTTGCCGTCAGCCCGCGCCAATAATCCGCCGACTGACGATTTTACCCCTACCCAAGCGAGCCCCCCTGTCGTTCGTCAGGAACGACCGCGCCGACGGGTCCTGCATAATTTGACATCTGGAAATATATCAAGCAAGTGGCGAGATGAGCGCTTTCAGTTGCTGCCGTCGAGAGTTCCATCGTTCCAATTTGTTTGTTTTTAAAGTGATTGGGGTTTCAGGTTGGTTGCGCTTCTCAGCGCGTTATTGTTTTCTTCTTCCCAAGTGGGGACTGTGGCGGTAGATCTTCGAGTCATGGTCTTCAGCTCATCACTAAAACCACTAACATAAATAACGGAATTAACACGGCTGAGCTGAGAGCAGAGCCCTCAGAAGTGAATTGAAGACTCAAGGCGCGTCGTGAGTCCAGCATCGCGACTTCTTTTCTCACCAAGGTCTGTGCCATGCCATTGCTGCTTAGCCGCAATGCCCAGCGGTTGTGCCACTCCAGCACATATATTAATTACGAGTGGGCACCTCGCCAAATGAGCTTTTGCTTCTACTTCCCCTATGGTTTCGATTTGTACTTTAGCCTACGCTTTTCATGTTGTTGAAAAGATTCTGAGAGTTCTGTTGGTAAATGACAAGCAGAAGCAATCTCAAGGGATGTGCATCATGTGGTACTGTTGGCGACAGGGCTCCAATAAGGTTTGAATCAGTGTGTTCTGATCTATAAGCCACAGCCCAGCCCTGCGCCACCCCCCGAACCCCGCAGCCTCCCCTATATCCATCCCCTTTCGGAAAGACGAGATTAAACTTTAAACCTCGATTTTAGTCTCGATCGAATGCTAACAATTCAAAAACACTCCGTGCAAAATAGAATGTCCTTCTTCATGCGGCCTTTGACTTCTTGGACAGTTTCGCTTGCTCTCAAATGCACTCCGAAAATCTCCGGATATCAACTCAATCTTGTGCCCGACGTGTAGTAACGTGATTGATAGCGTTCAACTTTATTTCTGCGCCTCGTCTTAATTTTTGACCTAGTGGTCGCGTAGAGCTTTGCATGTGTCGTGAGTGAAGTTTGGAAGTGGCCGGGGTTGTTCTCTGGAGTTGTCGGCCGAAGTTTCCCTCCCCGAAATGAGTAGGGCCTGGCAATATTGCACCTGAATCTGGAAGCTTCTTTCTTAGTGGGAAGGTGGTTGGTTGTGCGCCAAATGGAGGTCTTAGAACCCCACATATACAGTGGCATTCTGTTCAACACTCCTCTGATGTTGCGTTCCGAATTGTTCACAGCTTTTAACCTCTAAGTGTTGGATGGAGTCAAGGAAGATCTTCCATTGTGGAGACTCGACTGTATCCAGTATAACGATATCGATTGGATGTCTTTATTTAGAACATTTCCTGGTGTTTGGAGTCTAAAGCCCGCCATCTAGCTTCAAGTATGCCGCACCCTTCACAACTTCGCACCTCCCCCTTCAATCTCAGCCAACAACACCCCTTCACCAACCTCATCCCCCGCTTCTCCCTCGTAAACCCAACCCAATCGCCCCCCTTTACTCGCCCTAATCTCCAACTCCATCTTCATCTGCCTCACAACCGCCACCGTCTCCCCCTTCTTCACCTCATCTCCCACATCGACCAAAATCTCCATCAACCTCCCTGCAAACGGGGTAATGACATGGTTCTGATTCCCCGGGTCGCCGCGCCGGTGTGTGGCAGCGTTGGAGAGAGAGCCGAAAGATGCGGTTGTTGAGGCGAGGGTGAGGGTGAGGGTGTACGGGATCGGAGTTTGTTGGGAAGGGGTGGTATAGAGGATCGACGCTGTGAGAGAGGTTGGGAATTCGTTGCGGTGGATGCGGGTTAGTTGGAGATGGGAGGGTGCTGGTGTTAGTGTTGTTTCTGATTGGGACGCTTCAGGAGTGAGGGAGATGGACCAGGCGTCTCCTTTGCGGAAGAGGACATTTGATGATACTGGTACTGAAGTACTTGGTTTATTCAATGTGGCGGTAGAAGTATTGGTTAGTTGAGAAGAAATCCGTTTTCCTGATTCTACGGCAGACTGGAGATTTGCTTCCAGCCACTGTGTATCACAGCCCTGAACGGCGAAAGCATCGCTAGCAACGATGCCTCGGAGGACATCCAGGCTTGTCTTGACACCTTCAATGTGAGTATCTGCCAGAGCTCGCTTTGCTTTTCGGACAACATCGTCCCAAGTTGGCGCAGTGATGATGATCTTCGCGATCAAACTGTCGAAATCCGTTCCAATGACTGTTGCTTGTGAAAGGAGAAGATGGCTATCGACCCTGATGCCATTTCCAGCCGGGAATCGAATTGAGTTGATCTTGCCAACGCTTAACGTCCAATCATTGGATGCGTCTTCGGCGGTCACCCTGAGTTCGAGAGAGTATATTGGCGCAGGTGTCTCGGGGCTTTCAGAAAGGTGGGAGATGCCCATTTCTGATAGGGACTGTCCTTGAGCGAGGAGAAGCTGCATTTTCACGAGGTTGATGCCCATGGCAATGGACTCAGTTATGGTGTGCTCGACTTGGAGCCTGGGGTTGACTTCTAGAAAGTAAAATTCTGGGGGTGATGCTCGTACGAGGAATTCAAAAGTTCCAAGGGACGAATGGTTGACCTGCTTCTGTCAGCATGAAATGGAAGGTGGGCCACAACAACACAAACCTTCTTCGCCATGCTCAAAGCTGCATGGATCACCTCCCCGACCAATTTTCGATCTGGTATCGAGCTCGGGGCAAATTCCACGACTTTTTGAAATCGTCTTTGAATGCTGCACTCCCTCTCCCAAAGATGCCTCACATTTCCCCTCCCATCGCCGATAATCTGCACCTCAACATGCCTATATCCATCAACGGCAGCTTTCTCAGCAAAGACTTTCCCACTTGGACTTTCTTGCAACGCTCTCTTTGCCAGCGAAGTCAAATCTTCATCTCTCTGAACAATCCTGATCCCTCGTCCGCCGCCGCCGTCGACAGCCTTGATAATAATAGGGTACCCAACTGAAGAAGCAAATTTCCAAAGCTCAGATATCTCATTAGTGGGCATTCTGAGAGCGGGGAGTACTGGGACGTGGCATTCTTCTGCGAGGATTCTGGCCTGTAGTTTGTCACCCGTTCTCGATAGAATACGAGGCCCAGGTCCGATAACGAGAGCGCCAGCCTCATCCCACATCCGTCTAGCGAACTCAGGCGATTCCGAGAGGAAACCGTAGCCTGGATGAACAGTGTCTATTCTATGCTTCTTGACAATTGTGATGAGTTCTGAAATGTCTAGAAATGATGCTGGGGAAGTGAGCTGTACGGAATGAGAGGAGCCGAAAGTGTGAGATGCATCAGATGAGGTGTAGATTGAAATTGTCTCAATATCTAATTCCCTGGCTGTTGATATGATTCGTGTAGCAATTTCTCCCCTAGCAATTGTAAGTTGCCTTCTGATTTAGAGAGACATATAATGATTCGCGCTCACCGATTGGCCACGAGAAGGCGCCTTATGGGTCTCTGATGTGGGGGAGACATTGAGTCTATAAAAACAGGTGTAAGATCTGTTCCGCACGTTTCACCATTTAACGAAATGAGTAAAACAACATGTTGGTAATCTTTAATTTTGAAATGCGTACTTGAAAAGGGGAATGGTTGAGATATTGCTGGCCCTTGTCGGCACTTTCCCCGCCAAAACGTGGGGTAATCTAGCCGAGGCAACTTGACAACCGCAACTCAGTTCTAACATATCTCAAGATGGAATCAGATTCTTCCCTTTCCCTCCAACACACCCTCGTACATCCATTCTTCCATATGTCACAATGGCAGACGACAATGGGAACAATTCCTCGAAAACGAGTCCTGCAGGGCGACTGTCCCAAGTAGCTAACCACGTTGCTCCACCAAAAAGACGCCGAGCTTCCAGAACGAAAGACGAGCTCCCACCAGATTACTCCGACATTCTCGGGCAACTTGACTCCCTACGAACGATAGCAAGTACACCAGACACGAGCAACAAAGGCTACGTCCGCCAAAAATAAGCCGGGAAGCTTTGGGTCCGAGAACGCGTTCTGGAGCTTCTAGACCCAGGAAGTTTCCACGAAATAGGCTCCGTCTCCGGCACAGTGGAATGGAAGAAGCTTGAAGGTACACGGGAAGAACCTATATTATACATACCCAGCAACAATGTGCAAGGATTTGGAACGCTGCGGGGGAGGAGGGTGGTGTTTACCGCAGATGATTTTTCGATTCGAGCGGGACACGCAGATGGCGCCCTGATGGAGAAGACATTATACATGGAGAAATTGGCTATTTCCTTGAGGCTTCCGATTGTTAAACTGGTGGACGGAAGTTCTGGTGGGGGCTCGGTAACGACGATCAAGACGGCGGGATTCTCGTATATTCCTCCAATGCCGTCGTTCAAGATAGTGACGGCGCAGTTGAATCTTGGAATTCCGAACTTGGGAGCTGTTCTAGGACCAGCTATTGGGCTTGGAGCAGCACGGGTTGTGGCTTGCCATTTCTCGGTAATGGCAGCAGACGTTGGAGCTTTGTTTAATGCTGGCCCGAAGGTCGTTGCTGGTGCTACGTTTGAGGAGGGCTTGAGCTTTACAGATCTCGGTGGACCGAGTATGCACTGCACGAATGGGACGATTGACAACCTCGCCGCGAACGAACAAGAGTGTTTCGAGCAGCTACGGAATATTTTGAGTTATCTACCAAACTCGGGAAGTTCTCTGCCTCCAGTTTTTTCATCTGAAGACCCCCCAGACAGACTCTGCGAGGAGCTGCGAACCATAATACCAAGACGAAAAGCGAGAATGTATGACCCAAGGAAGATCATCACAACAGTTGTGGATAATGGAAGTTGGTTCGAGATTGGTGCACTCTGGGGAACGACAGCCATTATCGGTCTCGCAAGACTTGGTGGCCGCTCGGTGGGCATAATATCTCTGAACTGCGAAGTAAATGCTGGTGCTCTAGACGCGGCAGGCAGCCAGAAGATCACTCGGCATTTGAAGTTTTGTGATGTTTTCAATATCCCAATACTCCAATTTGTCGATGTGCCAGGATATGCTATAGGCACGATTGCGGAGCGAACTGCAACGATGAGACATGGAGTTGCACTGGCCACAACATATTTCTCTACTACAGCACCGGTATTCAGTGTTGTTACAAGACGAGTATATGGCGTTGCTGGCGGGATAATGCTGGACTGCCGAGACCCACGAATGAGGGTAGCGTGGCCAAGTGGCGAATGGGGTAGCCTCCCACTCGATGGTGGGATAGAAGTTGGCCACGCGGCGGAGCTGAAAGCGATCAAAGACATGGGGCAACGTGAAGCGAGATACAAAGAGCTGGAGGAGGAATATACCCGACTCATGAACCCAGTGCGTACAGCGAACGCATTTGGGGTTGAGGAAATCATCGATCCAGCCATGACCAGGCGGATCGTTGCCGAGTGGCTGAAGCATGTGTATGAGGAACTTTTGCCAATGAGGCTGTTGGATCGAGCAAATGGGAAGATCCATCCGATTTTTTATTGAAAAGCAGAAATCTGGTGACCACTGGATTTGTTCTTGGATCGCTTGGAAAAGGGTTGCATTTGCGTGCGGCATATCCTTCCCAACCTTCACAACCGAGAAAACGTCCGCATAGCTGCGGACAAACCCGAGAATATCATATTCTGGAACAGCTTATTCGATATCGGAATCTCGACATGAGCATTTTCCATTTCCGTCTTTGGACCTGAGCTGTTGCTGCTATAGCCTGAGCTGTGGGTGAGCCAGACCTGAGCCAGGCTGAGCAAGCGAGCCAAGGAGGTGAGCCCACGGTGGACAGGGGCGACCTATTTGGGCTTCTCGGCTACGACTGCTGCCGGCTAAAATTGGAAAGAGTAAGGCAAGGGGTTCTTTCGGGGCCGATTTGAGATCCCTATTTGCAAAGAGCCGTACCAAATAACTTACCGAACCTCACAAATTCCAATATTAATATATGCAAGCATATACCGATCTATTTAGCACTTATTCAACTACTATCTGCCACAAGACATTGTACTCAAATATATATAATACTATACCTCAATAGGAATCGAATCAATACTTCTATATAGTTTCAAAAGGGTCTAAAAGACAATAATACAAATTCTGGGAAGTCAATATTTAATACTCCTTATAAGTATACTATCTATTATATAATGCTACCAGATACTTTCCTAAAGTAAAGTATTATTTATATAAGCTTATATAATAAGATATGATATAGCAGTTATATTAAGGGTTATAATAGCTGGTTTGCTAGCCTTACTATAGTGAAAGCCTTAATAGTATAGCTAGTTTAAAGCCAGAACCCTTAATCTATTACTCTGAATTTGATTCTCTTAACTATTGCAATAATAATTATTTCTCTAAAAGGTATTATATTAACTATAGTATAAGTATAAGTTCAGCTTATCTCCCTCTTCTTACTATTTAGTATATTAAAGAATTATTCAAGTTATTTAAGTTATTTATAAATATTTATAAATAACTTAAATAAAATATGAGTAACGAGTAGCTTAAATAAGTTAAGTAAAATAGAATAATTATTTATAAATAACTATAAATAACTATAAATAATCACGTATAAGTCACGTAATTATAATAAATTAATATATATTTAAATTTTTAAAAAAGAACTAAGATCCCTATTAAGCAGCCTTATATAAGCTAAGCTAGTACTTATATAAGGATACTTAAATACTAATTTTCTATAATAATAAACTAGAAGTATTACTAAGGTTTAATTTGCTTACTAAGTATTATTATTACCTAATTAAATAGCAAGATAGTATTAGATATATACTTTCCCGGAGCCTTACCTAATTAGGCTAGCTCAATTACGTATATAGATCACGTGCGTTATTTAAGTTATTTATAAATATTTATAAATAACTTAAATAATATATAAATAAAATAAAAGTAATGGGTTTTATATTTAATTAAAATAAGAGTAATAACTATTATTCTATTTTACTCTATTTATTTAATATACTATTACTATTATACTATTATAATTCTTCTAGTAATACTCTTTTAATAAATATAATAGTAGAAGCATCTTTTATATAATATAATTTAGCTAATAGAAGTAATATCTTATAATAATATAGCTAATTTCTGTCTAACTATATTATAGTATTTTATATTAAAGGAAGAATCTCAGTATATTCCTTTATATTATAAAGAAAATAATATATATTATATATCTAAATCTAGGCTAATCTATAATAAAAAGGATCTTAATAAGCTTTCTTAGGCTAGTAAAGATAATAATATATACTAATATATAATAAGTAAAACTAATTTCTATCTAATATAGCTATAGTAAATAATAATTTATATAATAATAGTATTATTAAAGCTTTTACTAAGTATTCTATAAACTAAATATAGAATACTAGTAATAGGGAAATAAGTTATAAATAGGTAATATAGTATAGCAGGCTATACTTTCTAAAAATTATATTATTTTAGTAATTTTAAGATTTAGATTATATAATAAAGGCCGCGGCCTTTTATATATAACTTGCAGAAATTATATAAGAAAGCTAGTTTTTTTATAGTCTTAGAAAATAATTCCTTATAAATATTTAATTAATTAAGCTTTTATATACTAAATATTATTTATCCTTTATTATTTCTACTTTTAATTTATTATTTTACTATTAAGTTACGTTTTATACTCTAGTATACTTTATATGAGTTTTTGTCTTATTATAGTTTTCCTTTTATATATTTTATAATAAATAATACAGGAAAAATTAAAACTTCGTAATTAAGGTAATACTTCTATAAAGTTCTAAAAGATATCTATAAGGCGGATTATTAGCTTAGTAAGTTAGGGAAGAAAAGAATTATTATAATACCTTAAGCCTAAGGCTAAAATATTAAGAATATATAAGTATTAATTTTAATATCTTATATTAATTTCCGATATATCTAATAACTTAAATACGAGTTAGCTATAAGATATAATTACTAGTATAATATATAGGAATAATAGAAATAAAGGCTAACTAGTATATTAAATAAATAGAATAAAATAAAATAATAGCTATTATTCTTATTTTAGTTAAATATAAAATCTATTACTTTTATTTTATTTATATATTATTTAAGTTATTTATAAATATTTATAAATAACTTAAATAATATACGTGATCTATATACGTAATTAAGCTAGCCTAGTTAGGTAAAGCTCCGGAAGGGCATATATCTAGTACTATTTCACTACCTAATTAGATAGTAATAGTACTTAGTAAGCGACTTGAACTTTAGTAATATTTCTAGTTTATTATTATAGAAAATTAGTATTTAAGTACTCTTATATAAGTACTAGCTTAGCTTATATAAGGCTACTTAATAGGGATCTTAGTTCTTTTTTAAAAATTTAAATATATATTAATTTATTATAATTATATAACTTATATATAATTATTCTATTTTACTTAACTTATTTAAGCTACTCGTTACTTATATTTTATTTAAGTTATTTATAAATATTTATAAATAACTTAAATAACTTAAATAATTCTTTAATATACTAAGGCTAACTATAAAAGAAAAAGAAATAAAGGAAATAAAATAAGAAAAATTATATTAAGATAATACGAGTTAGATCTTAGTTAGAAATAGACTTTAGTACTCGGAAATAAAATTATATTATTAATTTATATATTATTTTTAGTTATAATAAAAGCCGGAATTAAAATAGCTTTAATTTTAGTAATAAAGCTTATTCCTAAGTCTAAAAGGAATACCCGAATTAGGAAATACCCTTAATTTCAAATAAAATAATAAATAGGAATTAGAAATAAAAATTAAAAAGAAATCGGAAATAAGAAATTATATAAATAATCTAGAAAAGCTTTTAGAGAAAAGAAAGAATACTAAATAAAGAAAAAAAAAGAGAATTCAGAAAAATTAAATAAATTAGCGAAATTATATTTATTATTTTTATTATTACCTTTAATAATACTATTAAATATATCTAGTTTAGTAAAAATAAGGAGAAATACTATAGGTATTAAGCTAATAAAACAGAAAAGAAAGTATAAGTAATAAGAATAAAACTAGAAAAGCTATTATATTATTATTACTAATACTAAAACTCGAACCTAGACTATATTTATTATTATTAACTAGTTTCTCCCAAATTCCGGTTCTTAAACTAAAAGACATATTTAAACGAGAAGTTAGCTCTTTAAGAACCTTATTAGTAAAAGTCTCAGGTATAGAAATTCTATAATTAATTATAGAAGAAATTATTAAGATTAATATAGCTAAAAATAAATATATACTAGTACCGGGTTTAAACCTGCTATTTATAGGAGCTCCTAAAGTACTATAGTTTCAGGGAAATAATATCTCTATATTCTTGAAATAGTATATAAATATATATAAGAACTATTATATTCCCGATAATATTAAAAGAAAGAGAATTATTTATTATATTTCTCCTATTTATAAGAACTAGATTAAAGCTATACTAAAGTATTATACTAATAATCTTAGAGATTACTAGGAGACTAAGTTCTTTAAGGTCTTACTAAAGGAATTCCGAGAGTATAACTAGGAAATACTTAAAATTAGCTATAACTTTCTTAATTAGATTATTATATAAGCCCAGAATAAAGAAATCTTTTCCAAGTCTTATATTAATATATTTAATAAAGTATTAAAGAAGTTATTAAAGAAAAAAAAGAAATTACTTAATACTAAGAATTTATAAGGGAATTATTTATTCTAATAAGAAATTATATTCTTAAGAATATAAATTTCGAGTTTATAGATATTTCTACTTATAAATATAGTAAGATATATAAGAAGATAATAATATCCTATTAGTATAAAGAGAAGAAATACTATTTTAATATTACTAATAACCCAAATATATCTAGATTTAGATAAGAATACTTAAATATAATAGTCTATAATATAGTTCTTAAGCCAGAAAATAATTATTTTTTATTAGTTCCTCTTATTATATTTCCTAAAGCTATTATAGATATAAATAAGAAAAGAATCTAACCTATAGCTAATTATATAAAACCTACTAAAAATAGTAAACCCAAGGAAAATAATATTAATTAGCTAGTAAAAAGTCTAGAAAAACTATTTATTACTATTATAACTTAAGAAAACCTATAGAAATAACTTAATATAGCTACTATTATAATTCGGGAAGATATTTATAGCCTGTTTATATAATCTAGCTAATTATAATAAGTATAATAATATTAATAACCTAGTAAGTATAATTCGGGTCTTTAGGGAAAATATACTAGAAATTATAATAAAGGTTATAAAGAATATTATAATAGCTATAGTAATTAAGCTAGAATAAATAAAAAGTCTAAATAATTATATTCTAAAAAAAGTTAGTCTTAAGTATAATTAGAGAATATTACTTAAGTTAATATAGCCTATAATATAGACCTAGAATTGAGAGAACGAATTTACTATAGATATTATAATAGGAATAAGAATAATAATATTAATTCAGAATATATTTATATTTCTTAGTTCTATTACTTATTAATAAAGAAGCTTATAAATTATAGATATATTTACTAATTTAATAGAAGATAATATAAAGGGCTATTTAAGCCTAAGTAAGAAAGCATTTCCTTTTTCCTTACTAGTAAGTATTAGTAGTTTAACTAAATTATTTCCTAAGTCCGAAAAAGAAAATTTAATTATAACTTAAATACTAGACCTAAAAATATCC